TCTTGAGCGGGCGGGTGGTGGAGAGTCTGTTCTGGAGCAGAACAGAGCTCTTCCTGTCGAGCTTCTTCTTTGACTGGTAGACGGAGTGCCGCGCGTGCTGCTGAGGCGGCTCGCGATACTGCTGCACGTGTGCCTCAGCTGGAGGGCTGGCGGGGAGCTCCAGCGGCTCCAGCGGTGGCTCAAGCCCTAGGCCAAAGTTAGGCGCCAGTCCCGGCACTGGCTCATCCGGCAGCGGGTACGCCTTGGGCGGCTTCAGAATCGACTTGGGCTTCTTGGGCGTCGGGGTCGGCTCTGGCACCTCGATGATGGCGGAGTGGCGGAGGACGAGGGAGGGCGGGTAGCTGGACTTGTTGCGAGTATGCGATGCTGCTGGTCCGGGCAGCGGGTGCTTGGGCGGTGGCAGGCGCTGCTGCTGTGGTGGGGGCCCCGTTGGTGGAGCGTAAGTCTGGCGGTTTCTGGATGATGGCTCAGCACTATTTTCGGCATGTGGCACGCTCCTCTGGCCGTCCGACTTCTGCCCAGGCGCCGCCGCAACGCTCTGCGGAGGGCTGGCCCGTCTCGAGCTGCTCTGCGAACCTGGAGCCGAGCTCGGCGCAGCCTGGCCCAAGATGGTCTGGAAGTTGCGGATGCGGTCCTGCTCAGCGTCCGCCAGGTTCCGCAGCCACCACTGCAGCGCGCGCAGGGCCGGGTTTCCGTTCTTCTTGAGGACCATTGCGTGCACGGGAATCCATAGATCTGGTGCTGGGGACTCGGCTCCCCACTCGCGAAGGGCCATGCTGATGCGCCTGATGCGCTCCTCGATCACTTTCAGCTGATCTGCCACCGGCAGGTAGAAGCCCTTTGCTTCGCTAACGGGCTCCGTTTTGTTGCTCACAAAGGCCACCAGGTTGTTCTTGAAGGGACCGGCTGCCACCCTCAACAGGCAGTAGTGGTCTCCTCTTGCCGCCATGCTGAGAAATCCCTCCAGATCTTGCATGAGCCGGTCCTCTGCCGTCGCCTCGCCGTCTTTAGTGGCTGATGCTGGGTTTGGCTCTTCGATAACCTCCTCGACCACCTTGGCCGGTTCCCTAGCTGGAACCGATTCGCCGGACCCCTGGAGGGCCTTCTGCTCCGGTAGCGCTCCATATACGGACGGCAGGCTGTAGACTGACGCTGACGGGCCGTGGAATCCCTTCGGGGCATAGACTGACGGAACACCGCCGTAGATTGACTGCGAACCGTAAATGGACGAAGACGCCGACTGTCCATGCGCCGGGGACCCGTTACTCCTTGTATCCATGGGCATGGCCATCGGCATGACGGGGGGCCCATTATACCCTGCCGTTGGGCTGAGGACCTGTTCCACGGATCGGGCGTGTGTCTGCAGCTCGGCGATGGTTCTGCATCGGAAGACGTCGTCGGCGGATACGGCAATACCAAGCTGCTTCAGGCGGCCTTCGAGCTGGAAAGCAGATGAGATGTTTCCCCCTAGCTCCACAAACGAGTCGAAGAGGGGGATCTGGTCGCGGTCGATGTTGAGTGTTTGCGCAATCTCCGTCAAAACGATTTCGGGGATCTGCTGCTTGGCGGCAGAGGCCGAATACTTGCCCACGGCCTTCTCCTGCGCCATTGTAGCTTGTTTTCTGTCGCGCTTCTAAATTAACAATGTTTTACAAATCACGGGTCCAGGCAGACTCCAGAGGCTGCGTCTTGGTTACAGAGCCGCCAGCATGCTCCGGTGTCAAGAAACCCAATCAAATGCTCCCTATCTCGTCGATAATGCGGTGTGTCTCGTCGGCGGTGTGTTGGCCGTTGGTAGCTGGGTATCGGGAAGGGAATGCGGATGCGACAGAGAGATAGATGCAAGAAAGTAAGGAAAGAACAGATTAGAATCAATTAAGCGCGCAAAAAGTGTAGAAAGAGGACAGAAACCAAGCGGAAGGCGGCCGAGTCGGATCTTGGACATGAATATACTGCCCGCCCGTAGTAATACTGGTGGTCCCGTCGTGACAAGGGTCTACGCTGCCGTAAGGATGTGTATGACATAAGGCCAGAAATAGCAATTACTAGGTCTGTTCGGGCATGAGACACGATCCACCTCTGGAGAACAGTCAATGCACCGCACCTGGTTGGAGGGGCAGAGATAGAGCAGCCCTGGCTGCTGGGCAGTTGGTATGTCGTAAGACGGCCAACAATGCCCTTGCTGGTAGCGCCCATCTCTTTTCCCTGCAGGCAATTAGAGGCGCGCTGGGCTTTGGTGGAGGGCAGCCAGACCGACACTACCTAACACTGCCCGAGGGACAGAGATGAGCCAAATATAGAAAACGCTGACGGCGGCCAAAGGCGCTAGTAAACACTTCACATCAGGCGTCCTCCAGAGGCTTCGACAGCCGCTCGCCTCCATCGCGACTGACTGCCGGGCCTGATGGGAGACAACGAGCAACAGAGCCCAGAAGATCCAAACACCAACTACACCTACTAGGGATGACACCTTGTTCATCAGGATGCGGCGCATGCACGAGCAGCCGCATGGCATGATGCGACGCACGGTTCGGAAATGGAGTGCATGCTGCTGTGTGCTCTGGTAGGGGCTGGCTAAAACCGGCGCCCAGCACCCGAATAATTAGGTGCAATTGAGGGAAGCACATGCATGAAGGATTCAGGCCCATTCTGCCAGTCCATTTTTGTGCTTCCCTCCTGCGCCAGGCAGCGGACCCCTTCACCCATTACCACCACCACATACCACGACAGCGTGTTTCATCATATTAGGGGAGGGGCATCGTAAATTAAACCGTTGCTCGTCATCTTCCTACGTACCCTCGAGGCTCGATCACGGCGGGTGGATTCCCGGAGGCCCCCAGAAGCGTGCTAACTGCTTATGCCCAAGCACAAAAGTAATTGCCGTCCACCCATGCCAGGCCCAGGTGGAAATGTCTCGCCCTGCTCTCAGCTGGATCTGCAACGGGTCTCAAATTTGGAAACAGAGAGCTGACGCCTCGCTTGAGTGTTGACTGTTGCAGCGACAGCCACTTGCTACCCTCTGCCGGCTTCACTGCCTGACCTATCAGCTACTAAATACGCATGAGACCAACCAGTAATGGCAACACTTGCCAGAGATATTATGCTTTAGCCTGTTAAATGCGCCCATATCTCTGATGCAATGCCATCACTGGCTGGTTAGTAAGACACTCTACACCATGATCTCTAGCTCTCTTACCGGGCTGTGCAGACACCTCTTTTACTCTATGCCATTAGAGGCTAAGTATATATAAGAGCTGAAAGGCATGCCATTACACATCACGATGTAAGGTAATATTTCATTCCAAGTCAGCCGTTAGTGCCACGGCAGCCAGGCCATGGGTTCGGTATTGACAAATATGATGCTATCCCCAAAGAGGCACCTATCCCAGGTTTACCTGCCTTAACGAAATACAACCTGGAAGGACAAATTTCAACGAGCAAGGTAATAACGAGAGATCAGACGGGGATCTCCCCAGCCGCGGAATGATCGGTAGTACTTACTGTAAGGCAGAGGAAGGAAGCCTGGCCGCGCGCGATCACCCGTCTGACCAACGCTATTTTTGCTCTTATGGTATATTACCCTTGCCGGTTATGATGCGCAAAGGAGCGAGCTGCAAACTCGCCGGGTTGCGTACATAAGCGACTTCCCCCACCACCCCGATGCCTTCGATGACGCTGCGTTTCCATCCCTCGACGGAACTACTTGTGAACTTCTGTCTGCATCACCATGGATGATCACGATGCGGCTTCTGTTCTCATAAATTACCCCAGAGTTTCAGGATTTAGGTTGTGCCTCCTCGTGGTTCTATTCCTTAGTGGGAGGCAAAGCAGTTTTGCCGATCGATTTAGAATTACTTGCCATCTGTAGTATGTATCCCTCTATCTATGTAAAATATATATTTACGCCATAGTCTTCCGACATGGAATACCGTATTCCCTCGTGTTCTCCTCTCCAGGTCCTGCTGCAACGCCTCTCTCGACAATAATAGCACCCATAGGGTAGAGCCCCGAATGTGAAACAGATGCAGCCTTACCCAAAATCCTCCACCACATGCCGCGCCGCCCCCAGCCATGAGTGCAGATTTTCCGGTCCAAGCCAAGCCAAGCCCAGGCGGATGGGTGGGATGCCACCTTGTCCTACGTCAGGCCACACCACACACACACACACACCAACCAGCTTCCCTCACGAAGGCCCGGCTGCGACCGCTGCCGTCCCTCCGGACAAGCTGAGGGAGGCTTTTTACCGTCTGCCATGTGGTGTAATGTTGCGGCGGTCGAAAACCGCCCAGCCGGAGCTTATCTGTTCCCTAGTGCGTGCTTGACAGTGTCACGAGGCTTTCTCCATGCCACGATCTGTTTATAGTTCCCCGGGTCAGCAAAAAAAAAAAAAAAAGGCAAATAGACTCGAGAGGGCGTATGAGCCAGTAGCTTCGTCTTACCCGTAGATATACACCGACATAGAGCGCCAACACGATGGCAAAGAAAATTCGGGCGAGCATTTCCCCACTCTATGGCTCAAACACCTCTCTCATGAACATCCACGATGCTTGCTAAAAAAAAGGACGGATGAGCTGGAATACGGTTCAATCACCAGGCACAACCTGCACCAAGGATAGGCGCCAAGGGAAGAGGCGACAACTACGATGTGAACAGAGCGCGGATTTAGTTTGTGCTATTTTCTATCTCCGGCTGTCCTGATGGTGGGAGGGCGGTCACGCGAGGGTGGTCCTAAGTGGTATAGGGTATGTCATCATTCATGGAAGGGTCTCCAGCCCGCTTATCTGATAATAGCAGCCTTGGGAAACCCTCGCTTGCACCGTTGCTATGTTGGACGACCTCGATGTACATATATTACACTGCATTTTCTAAGCCAGTATTACTAGAAATTGCATTCTCGCTCTTCCATCCAAGGGCGGGGTTGAAAGACCTCATTCGCCTATATCTTGACATATCGTAAGGGTAGGCTGTGTATCCTTTGCTCGCTGTGACTCGCCTGGATCTTAAACAACTACCTCGTCCTCATCTGGGTCCTCAATGCTAGTCCTCCTCTTTGCCTCTATTACCTGGGGTGGGTGAGACGCGCTGCTGTCATTCTCAACCCCGATAGCAATGCCCTGTGCCTTGGTATCATCTTCCTCTGCATGCTTCTCCTTCTCGCTCTTGGCACCAAATGGCCAGAGCCCACTCAACCCTCGGCTTCCTTCCTTAGCTGGGTTGACAGCTAGTGGTTTGAGGACCAGATTCTCCGGGCTGTCGTTATTAGCTTTCTCATCCCCGGCCATTGCAAAATCTCCAAATTCTTCGTCGTCATCATGGTCGTTTTCATCATCAGAGTCCTTGAAGTCATCGTTTCCCGGCCGCCGTACAACCCCTCTCCACCACGCACCTCGACCACTATCTCCTAAGGTGTCTTGGTCGTCATCGTCGTCAAAATCATCATCGCCGTCAGCAAATGGGTTGGCGATGTTGCTATCATCTTCATCGTCATATTCGTGTAGTGTTGCCGACGACGCCTCTGTGGCTTGGTTGTTTTTCTGATGCATTGCTAACCTCGCAGCCAATTGTAACCTAGCCCGCGAAGGGGGAATGTTCAGTGGTGGTGGTGGTGGAGGCGGCGGAGGGATGGATGGGGGTGCCATGGAACCATCGGCGTTGTTTAAGGAATCTGTGTAGGCACGAAACTGCGAAGGGACATTAGTGTCCCGATCAAATCTTCCACAGGATAGTATTCCCGACATGATTGCCTTTCTGCACGTCCAAAGGACTATCAAAATCAAGATCAGCTACTACTCACCTCGGAATTCACGTCTTCTTCGTCCCCTTCACCGTCCTCGTCCTCATCATCGTCCTCATCGCTGCTGCTTCCGAACCCTGACATCAGCGGGCTGGTACCGCCAATGGCGAACGGCCCTATCCCGTTTCCATTATTCTCACTCAGTTCAATACCGCCATTTAGACCAGCTTCGGCCAAAGCATTAGATCCGGTAGCAGAGCCAGAGCCGCTAATGCCAGATAGGCCAATGCTGCCCAACCCGCCAACAGCTCCCAGGCTACCTCTATGACCCAAGGCTACCTCAGGTCGAACCCCTCCGAGAATAGCATTATCTCGCTCGCGAGTTTCGGCCAAGGCACCCTCAACGTAGTTGATCCAATCCTGGCTCATGACCCTGTCAAGAACCATTTCGGACAACAGCTCAGGTGGGTGTCGCTCCGTGAATTTAACAACCTCCTCGGCAATGAGAGTGAGGTGGCCCATGTATCCCATTCGGGTCTTTGTCTTGGCATGCGAGTCATCGCTAACTCTTTGACCATTGATAATGGCTGATGTGATATTAGCTGCTTCGAAGAGAGACACAGCCAATGTGGGGTTGTGGCTACGATCCATGGGACCGTTAAACACTTGCTGGATAATATCGTAGACGACATTGTGAAGAAAGTTGTTCCATGGATATGCGAAAAAGAAAGACTTGATTGAGCAGACATTAGTTTTTGAGCAATGGAATAAACAAAGATGTCATCCTTACCAGAATGGTGGGCACAACTCGATGCTCCACGAACTGCCTCTTGAGGTAGTCTCCCACAACGGGTTCGGTGGCCTTCTTCGGTTGCTCATTCGACTGAGTAGTAGATTCTAGGCCGGGTGAATTGATTTCAGTGACATGCACTTCAGGGGTGTTGAAAGACTCGGATGGCTGATGAGCTGCGGTGCTGTCTGACTGTTCCTTTTTGCTTGATTCGACTACCGTCGAGGAGGAAAACAGAGGCGCAGGTGTATCTTCAGGATGAGGGAAGAAGGTGCGGTCCAGTGTCTCTGCTTGAGTTTCTGGCTCCTTTTTCTCGGTCTCAGAGGCGCCCGTGCGGCTCAAGATTGGCAGCGTAACATCAGCCTCTGAATCTTGTGACTTCGTTTCTTTACCTTGCGATACACTTGGACCATCGGTAGATTCCTCAACCTTGGACTCACTTCCATCCTTCTGTTCCGTTGAAGCAGCCGGGACATCAACGGTGGACGTAGAGGCTGGAACTGGTTCTGCAGGCTTGGGCTTGGACGGAGACAAGGGGGCAACCACGAGATCTGGTATTTCGAACTGTTGCTCCGTGACTTTTTCTGCTGCCACGGTCAATCTTGGAGAACTCAATGGTTCATCCACAAAGTCATCCTCATCCTTATCTAGGTCCGAGGCTGGCTGGGGCAGAGTGATGTCAGCCTCTGCCTTGACAAACTCATGAGAGGTGTCTTCGCTCATCTCCTTGCTGGGCTCGACTTCTTCAAAGCCATCATCGTCCGCATTTGTAACCTCTAGACGGCGGGGTTCTTCTTGAGTAGGATGAGACATGCGCATCGTTAGGTCATCTGCGGAAAAGTTTTCATCCTTTGGCTGGACAAGTTTCCCGTCTGTTCGTAGCCTTTGGCGTTCTGTATCTCTCACCGCAATCAGTTCCTCCGCCCCGACTTCATTCAGGAGACCCATGTTGCTGCAGTGCAGGAGCTCAGCCATAAGTTCGCAAGTTTTGAAACGATCAAAACCAAGGGGTTCGAGCTTCTCGCCAAATGTGGAATCCAAATGCTTCTTTTGCGATGGTGCGTCCATGATTAGGCTCATGAATTTCGGCACATTCTCCGCAAATATGCGCAGCAGTGTTCCCAAGTAAATGGGGTCATGGCTTGATGGCACCACATTGGCTTCTGTCCCAACGTCTGGGTCATAGTCCGAGTTATTCTTTCGGATTACTTCAATGATAATGCCGACAGCAACTGTCAAGGGGTTACCTCCACCCAGCATGTAGCCCACCAGTTGTTCGACGCAAGGTTTCGATACAAGCTGCCGAGTAAGCTCGTTTGGGCCGATGCACTGCTGTTCGTTCTGAGAAGCATTGGCAGAAATTGTAATGATGGCTTTGATAAAGTCACCGGCGGCTGTCTGTACAACCCAGCTATTTTCAGGGCCCAGGCATGAAAGCAGCGTCGGGATAATGTTTTTCGAGTATAGCCACTGATTGAAAAGAAGGAGAATAGATTAGTAAATGGAAAGACACAAGGTGGGGTTCCCCAGTTGTAGACAGGTTAAATGCTTGGTTACCTCGACAATTCCTTGCCCGCCCTCACTGCGGTCCAAGGCAATAATTTTTAGAAGAAGGTCCATGATCATTGGACATTCGACATGCCGCAGGAGATTTTCTACGGCATTTGGCAGGTTGCGTAGAAGGTCCATCATATCGTCCGTCTTCTTCTCAAATAGTGACTCATTAATTTTCGTAAAATAGCTGGCCTGCAGAGGGTCGAGGGGAGAGGGACGAGAGAGGAAGGACCAGAACTCGCGAACCATGTGTCGATTTTCCGTAAGGGCCTCGTAAATGGACCAAGTATCTGAACTCAAGACCTCGCAGGCAACAAATGCATATCTATTGCGCCTCTTTTCCTGCTCGTCGTCATCAGCCTCGGTGGTGTCGGTGGCACGCGACGAGGCGCGGGGTCGTGAGAACGGGAGCAGGCGCCCTTTGCCCTTGGTCCCGGACTCATCCTCGGCTTCTTCATCAGGGGTCTCGATGACCTCTAGTCGTGGTGCGACGGCATATTCAAGGAGCCTTTCGAGGGTCTTGTCTTCTCGTAGATATTCGATGAGTTTCGTGTTGTGCTGCTTGAGCTCCTGGATCAAGTCGCTCTCATCGAGAAGCTCCTCAAGCGTAAAGTCGGGCTTGTCGAGGATGGTGTCGATGGTCGAGATGTTGGCGTAACCGCCAAATCTCCAAAACATGGTGGCGGGCTCTACGTCACGGCGCCGGGCGAGGAACTGCACCAGCACCGGATGGAGAGACGAATGGAAATAAGCTCAGAGGTCCGGCTCATGCAGATGCACAGCAATTCGGGTGGCAGGCTCGAGGGGAGGGTCCGGAGTCGCTGTCGATGGAAGAAATCGCCCAGGGTCAGAGGGGAGAGTGGTAAAGTTGGTCGTGCGACTGCCAGCCGGTAGACTAGCAGAAATGGTGGTCAGGGGCGCCTGAAGGAAGGACAGTGAGGAGACACTACAGGGAACGATGGCAGGAGCCGAAGGCAGAAGCGCACGGTGAATGAAGCCGCAGGCTCAGGACTGGTGTAGTGATGATGCACTGCAAGGTGCTCGGCTCCGGAATTCTCAACAAGCTCGATGCTCAACGTGCGGTTTCGCTTGGCGCGGTGTCGCAGAGCTGAAGCAACCACACACACATGGGGGGGGCGGTGGTGGTGGAAGCAAGTTGAAGTGGGATTTGTCACTCGGACGCTGGCGGCAGACCGAAGTGACCTGCTCGCTAGCGACATTTCCTAGCCCAAACAGTGGGGGGACGGCCTGGTCTAAGGTATCTGATATGGACGAGCGCTATCGCGGTACCTGCTAACCCCAAAGGCAGTTTACGCTCCGCCGGCACCAGGCGCTGGAGATCTGCCTTGTCCTCCACCATTCAACCCTACTACTGACGCTTTTGCAGGGCCGTACCTCAATGTCAAGATTACTTTAGTACTAATGCACCTAGACAATCTGTTTACTCCCCTCATCTGACTTTCCGCACGCACTCTGGATGGATTGAACCAGCCGAAGGGTTTTCTCCCGTCAGCAGCCCTGCCGCCGAATATTGATGACAGAGTCGGTGCAATTTTCAGGTTGGGCACCCAGGGCCTGGAAAGCGCAGCCCAGCATCCACTGACTGCTCCATCCAGGGCTTGCTATCCGATCCGCTAGGGGTGGAGATTTCACTTCTTTGTTACATAATTACGGGGACCACATCTTGACATCTACAGTAGACGACAACCTTCCATCTCCTCACTCTTGGGCCCTGTGCAAGCTGCAGGTGAGCTGCAGGCAAGCGAACACCAATCGATAAATGAGAGACAAGAGCTGTGCGTGCCTGCCATGTACCCATCCATACGCATCCACTTCGCAGTAGGACACGATTCTGAGTGAGTCACGATAAAACAGCCCAGCGGCGGCAGAGAAATAAAAAAGACATATGAAGTTGCTTGACTAGGACCGTATCGATTTATCCCCTTTTCCCTTACTTTGTCACATCTCTCCCCGTATCTTGTTTCCAAGACAACTGCTGCTAGTCTGAGTCGTAATCTGCTCAATCTCATACAGGCTGATCGTGATTCAGAGAGAGTACCCGGGATCTGTATCATGGAGAAAATGCTATTAGTAGAAATGGCGATCAGAAAACCGGGAGCTAGAAGATAAGACAACGTCCCTTACGTATTGTAGGGAACTAGATGGGATAGTTTGTCTCGAGCTACGTGGTGATATTTTTCACAGGCTCATGTTAAAATGTTGAGACGAGCAAACACACAAGAATCAAGATTGATGAATTCAGGAACCATCTATCGATCAGAACCGGCAGTTGGATAGTCACTATCAAGTAAATGGACTGCCAGCAACTTGATACACTTGTCCTCACACTTGTCCTCACCACCATGCCAACACCCATTCTCTCACGACTTTGTACGCCCAGCGACCCTCACCGGTCCCGCGCACACACTATCTGCCACCAACCTTATCCTACACGTACTTATCTAGGCAGCGCCGTTGTAGGCCAGAAGATTTGGGCTTCCCGCTCCCGCATCGGTGACGACACCCCGTGTGGCCAAAGCAAGGATTCTTTGCGTCACAGCAGCGGGAGAGGTCAAGCCTTCCTTGCGCATGAGGTATAAGGCCAAACCCGAGACGTGTGGACAAGCCATGCTAGTCCCGCTCAGCCTTGCCGTTGCTTCAACGTTCCCAACGAAGGTGCTGAGGACATCAACACCAGGTGCGAAGAGATCCAGCGAGCGGCCAACGTTGGAGAATGAAGCCCGCCGGTTCCTGATATCGATCGCGCCAACAGTGATGGCAGTGGGTTCCGATGCTGGTGAAAAGTTCTGGGCATCCCGATTGCTGTTTCCGGCAGCAACCACAGTGAGGATTCCGTGCCGGTTGTACGCATTCCTCAGGGCGGTATTAAGGGCTAGGGAGTAGCCACCTCCCAGGGACATGGAGATAACGGACTTGCCAGCTCGACCGGGGGTGTTGGTGATATTCCTAACTGCCCACTCAAATCCATCGATGATTATATCAGTCGAAGACTGGGATGTATCGTGTAAGCGACCATCTGGTTGAGTGGTCTGAGCGACGAGGCAAAAGATTGAGACTTACACTTCCGCTCCCAAACACCTTTACTGCAATAATGTTCGCTTTCTTAGCAACTCCATGCACCCTGCCGGCAATGGTACCAGCGCAGTGAGTTCCGTGACCCTGCTGGTCAACAAATTGAGTGCCGGGATAGGCGTTGTAACCTAGATGTGCCCGGCCCTCGAAGTCCCTATGTTGAACGAAGACCCCAGAGTCGACGACATAGGCCCAAGTGGTAGCGCCGGCAGAGTCGTCGTAGACATACTCGCTCCAGTTGGGAGTGCGGTGAGAGATGGAGCCCAGACCCCAAGGAGCGTTCGACTGTCTGATATTGGCTCGGACATCAATGGCACCAGATGTCTCGACAACCTGTACCGGTTCAACAGCAATGACCTGCGTCGAATAAGCCAACATGCGCATGGAATGGGAGGAAGGTTGATTCAATATACTAACATCGTCGCTCTCTTCGATTTCTTTCACAGTCTCTTGGTCAAACTCGCCAGAGTAGCCTTTGAAGTTGTCATTCCAGACTTTGTCAACGCCAATCTCCTCACGCCTGGTCAGGCTTCGCTCGTGAACGCTCCTGACCCATGAGATATGCGACGAAACATCGGTGGCATTGGCATTGTTCTTGAGGACAACAATGAATTTCCCTGAAATATCGGGCCCATCCTCTCGAACAGTTGGGGCAGCGAGGGCCACCGAAGCGGCAACGAAGAAAAGGTGGATGGCAACCATGATGGTGATCTCAATTAGCGGTCTTCTTGGTGTCTACTGGTAGTGGATTGGCTTGAAGAGGAGCTGAATTTTCAGGTGAATGAGGAGGGACCTCCTTTATACTCTTTCACATTGTTCATATTTATATATCGTTCTTTGAAGGACAACCATAGGTGACTGTGTTCCCCCTAGGTAAATTAGCCAGGAGTCAGGCTTGTAGCGATAGTACGTTCGTACGACTGACGCTGTCTTGAAAAGGCCTTTATTGGAATCTCATACATTTGGATCTTTTATATTGAGCACAGATTGAGTCTAGCTGGTGGTGATTCAAGTCGACGGCATTGCCGGCACCCTGTGCCTCGAACGTTGGGCATATTTCTCGAACCAATGTCAAAACTTTCATCTGATCTTGAGAGGCTGATGTAACCGGGAGAACGTTAAACAACAACTTTTGTAGCCCTGTGGCGTTCATGAGAGATCATAAACGGTCACGGATGATGAGATGTGTCTTAAATACTCAATATTCTATTGATCTCTGTAGATTTTTCTTCGCCTCCGGCTGCCTCACATGTGACCGCTATTCTACACTGTGTTCATGATTCTAAGGCCCTTATCCAGCTCGTGCCTCACACCATCTGTTGCAGCATAGTCTTTGAGCACAATACCTCTCCACCACCCGTACCATTCGGCTATCTCTCCAAGGTCTGCTTCTTCCAGTGCCATCCACTCCTGAAGCTTCGCGTTCCACATGGGGAACATGTCCTGAACCAGAACCTCGGTGATCATTGCAGTTCCCAGCAATGCACGCCACTTGAGGATACCTGTGAGTATAGGTAGGTATGGTTCTTGATCAGCTGGATCGACCCGGAAGTTCCGTCTCATGTATTTGCCCATGGATGGTAAGATGTGGGACATGATGAGAGGTCGCCACTGTTCCTCCAGAATGTTCTCCCACTGAGGAAGACCAGGAACGACTCCTCGCTCAAACTCCCAGACATCAATGAGCTGCCTGAACTTTCGCCTGACATCTGCCACGAGCCCAGTTCCTCTCGGGTCGAGATGGTAGGGCGGCAGATATTGTAACCACGGAAAGAGCCAAGTATGTGGCAGCTGATGACTTTGCCGCCTCTTTTTGGGGTTCCAGTCTGAAACAGCGTCTTCTAGCTTGCGTACGATGCTGTTCATTAGCTGTGCTCGCACAAAGGGAGGGAGAAGTTCGTCCCAATTTTCCAATATACGAAGCATTGGTGTGGGGTCTTGAGGATCCCATGTTCGAACTGCGGCCAGGACCTGTGGTAACCAGATCTTGTACATCAAACTCTCGTAAGGGGTAGTCGCTTTGTGATGTGTTCGGTAAACGCCGTTTTGATGGTCGGCGGACGAGTCCCATTTGCCAACTGATTTCGCATTGCCGGTCGACTGGAGTAGCAAACTCGAGAGATCTTTCATCTCCGAAGCATATTTCCCAGGCTCGGCCAGGGGATCCCAGTCGGCCTCCTGCAGGTATGGCTGAAGGGCGGCAACGGCGATATCAGCAACCTCTGCATTAGCGGAGCCAAGCTGCGCAGCCTTTCTCAGGCAGCTGATGGTTTGGTCCCATTCAGTGGCTGAAACAAGCTCCTGGGACACCAAGGTCGAAAACACTTGCAGTCTTTCCAGGTCGGACCGAACGTCCTCCAACTCTTGATCCCTCTCCTTTAGTTCCAGCTCAACCCAAGACTTCCTTTCTTCAAGGCTCCTCCATTCCTCTGAGAAAGCCAATAAATCCGCCTGAGCTCGCTTAACGAGCTTCCTTGCTTCAACAATCTCGCTGGACTCAGACACTCCAGATGTCGGTGTCATAATCCCACTCGTAGACGTAAGCATCTTGCCACCAGGTCCGGTCATATCTAGAATAGGGGTAAAGGCTTCTGGTATGTGTAGGCCAGGAGCAGATGTCTTTAATTCTTCTGCGGTCAGGTATTTCGTCTTTTGGCGTCGCGGCGTGCTTCCGGCGCTGTCGAAGGCACCTGCGATCGTCTTCTTCATCTTTCTTGCCCTTTTCTTCTTCTTTTCCTCTTCATCAGAGTCGATGATGGTTTCCCCACGCATCTTAGCCTGTCTCTTTTCCTCTTCTCGTTCTTGGGCTGTTTTCTCCTTTACTGCACCAAGACCGACACCTTGGGGACGTAGATTTGCCTCAACAATGACATTTCTTCCCTGGCCCTCTTTGCCCAAACCTTGACCTTCTACGTATCCCATCTTGGCCATCATTCGTGCACCAAAGGACTTGGCATTGATTTTGCCCTTGGTACTAAAGGCGCTGGGCTGTGGCTTGTTGCGAGGTGGCGATGCATGTTTGATAGCGGCCTCACTTAGGACAGGTTCATTCGCCGAGGAAGGCACAAAGCCTCTTCCCAGAATATTTCTCCCATCGAATTTGCTTTTGAGCGAGCTGTTCCTAGGCTTGCTGGTCGCCTGGCTGCTTTCATTAGGCTGGGTCTCAACTTCTTCGCTCGCTTTGCGAAACCCGAATCCCAGGCCGGTGCCGAGAAGGTCGCTGTCCTCTTCATCCTCGTCGTCGCTTTGTGCAGGGCCATTGCCAAGAACTGGCCTCTTATCTTCGTCCTCCTCGTCTTCATCCTCGCTACCCTTCCTCGCAGCAGTCGAGACAAAGCTCATGCCTTTGCTGCGCAGATTCTTCCTCTTCCATTGCCTTCCACTGCCTTCATCCTCGCTGTCCGAGCCGAAGATGCCCAGAGCTGCCTTCTCTTTGTGATTGCCGCCCAGCCGCCGACGTTTGCGGGGATTAAAGTCGCCAAAGTCATCGCCATCCTCCCCGGGAATGTGTCGCTCGTCTTCCGAGTCCGAATCTGAAGAGGAGTAGTCGGCGGCAGAGGCCTTGGTGAAGCCTGGGTGGCTAAATGTAGCTCCGTCCATAGCTGCGTTTACCGCGTCTGGAATCGCATTTCCTATGTCGCAAGCTTCGTTATGCGGTCGCCAAATAGAGAAGCAGAAAAAGAAAGCCTCCTTAATCCCGAGAGTAGGAATTAGAGGCGATGAAGAACACCTGGGAATGACCTAGGCAACGATCACACCAATGCGCCAGGTCGTCCAGGGACTGTTGATGCGATTCTCTGGAAATTCTTATCGCCACGTGATGCTATCGCTTCTGGGTATTTTAAGCAGGGGAATAATAATGGAGCACGATGATCAATCAGGCAGCCGTCTGGGATTAGGCCTGCCAAAGGCTGTTGACAGACATACAGCAGGGCGCGAGGGAAAAGAAGGTGGCTCGGGTGGCTTATAGAGGTACCGATTTTCCCTTGGCTTCTCTGTCAATTTAAATGGTTTCCATTTAGAGGACCAATCACTCTTTGTACAAGGTAGGAGCTCTGGTTTTCTTGTGGAGACAATGAATCTACCCTGGTGGGATAACATTGGAATATTGTAGCTGAACATAATTGAATGATAGTATCTAGCACTATGGAAAATGAAACTCTGCGCAAACGCATGAGGCCTAGTAAAATGGTTCTTGACTTTACTCTGGTTGATGAAAAATTAGTAACGGTTCATATTGTAATGCTCTCTGAGACTTATGCCATGTGATTTTGATGGTCATTCACAGCTACTACTGAGAGCGTGACTACTTGATGGATGGGTCACTGTCTTGGGCCCCTAAAAAGCAGATTGAGCAGGGAATATTCGGCTCACTACTCCAGCGCATAATTACGCCGTCGGCTGACTTGCTGTTGAGGATGCGTTGGACAGCATCTTATATAGAAGCGACAGGACGCATGACATCATTTGTGTTTCCGCGGCAATGGGTGGCTCAAATGCATCTGGCTTCAAAGCAGTCTCCTGCAGCTGCTAAATCGCAGTAACCGGGCTGACGCGCATAATGTCATATTTCATGCGCCGGAACAGTACAGCAAATCAGCTGTCGCATGGAATTGCCTTAGTACAATGCCAAAGAAGCATAAGGGATCGAATATGCCGCCGGCTTCTCTAAACGGCGGCACTGGGCCGGATCCATGGCCGATGTTTTGGAGGGCAGGGACCTGGGCGCACGTACCAAGTGGGGTGTTAGGCATTGTTTGTAGCGCTCCCGTCTCCCAAGAGTGTTTTTTCTGGTGGACAAATCAGGTGACGCGCCCTTGCCCCTGTCGATGGGGTTTGTTGACTTTTAGCATCATCCTGGGCTGCCCCCTCCCTCTGCATAGGCGGTGGGTTATATTATCGGCGACGCACCGCATCTGGGGTTCTTTTGGCGTTAGAGATCAACAGCTTCTTCATGCCACCTAATGTCCTTGGTGTTACGCGCGCAATAGAAGGCGAGTGTCGCAAGGCCTTTCTCCTTTACTCTCTTTGTGCGACAGGACTGGCTTAGTCCATTGCGCTTTGAAGCACTTTGCAGCTAGCTAGTGCCGCCCTTCCTGCCCAAAGCATTGGCTAACTCAAAGACAGAATCCGACTACTTCCTTCCACTCGACATCTATCAATCTACCTTTATGCGGAGGTGCAGACCGGCCACCCTGATACCCGAGTTCTTGTCTTCCTACGTGCCTGTACTTATTGTCTTGTCGACCGCTGCTACACCTTGGTATATAATTTTCCTCATTCCATACGAATTTCAAAATGGGCACCCAGAAACATTTTTTACATGTTCGCCAGCTAATCAACAAAGTAGTTCATCGTATCGTCCACCCTCGACGACGTAAAAGATCACTAGACGTCCGTTACTCTTCACCAGAGCGCTACTTTTTCCCACAGTCCGGAAAGAACTTCGGCACCCGCGACCAAAATATGGGTGACCAAGAGGTGGATCTTAGCACTATTCCGTTGCTAGACCGCTTCGAATCCAAGGTGATTTCGCATTCTCACTGGCCGTAACTGGCAATTTACTCACGTCGATCTTCCCGTAGAATTGGAAATATCGAAAGTCGGGATACGAAGACGCCGCGAAACAGTTCTCAACATCGGCGGACGAATCCGACCCATGTTTTCGCCCATTCTTGAGCAACCCCGGGCTCTGGAAAGCCGCCGTCCTCGACTCCAACGTCGCCGCACAGCAAGAAGGTGTAACCGCCTTGTGTTCATTCCTTAAGTATGGTGGGAGTGAATGCGCGCTGCGAACAAGGGGGCAGGCCGTCACACCGATAGTCGAAAAATGCTTGTCTTCCTCGAAGGCCGCCACGAAACAAAATGCGATCGAGGCTTTGCTACTATTCATCGAGCTGGATGTCGCCGATCCAGTCATCGAGGAGATGCTTCCCGGTCTGAACAACAAAGTTCCAAAAAATGTGGCTGCGACATTGAATGCTCTCACACAAATATATCACAGCTATGGATGCAAAGTAGTGGACCCGAAGCCTGTTCTCAAGTGCCTGCCCAAGGCTTTTGGTGCCGCAGACAAAAATATACGCGCCGAAGCATCTAATTTAACTATCGAGTTGTATCGCTGGTTGAGGGAGGCCATTAAGCCTGTGTTCTGGTCAAATCTGAAGCCAACCCAGCAAACGGACTTGGAAGCCCAGTTTGAGAAGATTAAGAACGACCCGCCGCCAAAACAAGAAAGATTACTTCGTTCGCAGCAGGCGGCTGTGGATGCCGGCGCTGGAGAAGAGGAGGAGGATGGCGCAGAGGATGGCGAGGATGCTGCTGAGGTGGACGCCTTCGACTTGGCAGAGCCTCAAGACATCACAAAGAACATCCCCTCGAATTTTCACGAAGGCTTGGCATCCTCGAAATGGAAAGACCGAAAGGAGGCCGTCGAAGGTCTCTACAAAGCTCTAAATGTACCTCGTATTAAGGACAGCGATTTCTCAGAGATAAATCGCGGTCTCGCGAAATGCATGAAAGATGCTAACGTGGCGGTGGTGACGCAGGCCGCGCAGTGCATTGAGGCGTTGGCTAAAGGTCTTCGACAGGGCTATGGGAAGTACCGATCAATTGTGATGCAGCCCATCATGGACCGACTGAAGGAGAAAAAAGTGACTGTTTCCGATGCGCTTGGTGCCGCACTTGACGCTGTCTTCACATCAACGAATGTGACGGAATGTCTCGAGGATATCACAGCATATTTGGGCAATAAAAACCCACAGGTGAAAGAAGGTACAATGAAGTTTCTCATTCGATGCTTGCGGACAACAAGAGATGTACCCAGCAAACCCGAAATCACTTCCATCTGTGAATCCGGCAAGAAGCTTTTGTCAGAATCAAGCCCGGCTCTCAGAGATGGCGGAGCGGAAATATTGGGAACTGTGATGAAAATCATTGGGGAAAGAGGAATGAATCCTCATATCGACGGACTTGACGACATTCGAAAGACCAAGGTAAAGGAGTTCTTCGAGACTGCGGAGGTGAAGGCCAAAGAGAAGCCAAAGCCAGTTCCCAAGCCAGCTCCTGCGGCCGCCCCAAAGAAAATCCTCGGCGGCAAAAAGCCGGTTGCGAAGAAGGCTTCACCGGCGTCTGCACCGGCCGCGGAGGCGGCTCCCCAAGCAGCACCCAAGTCTCTGGGGCCTGCGAGCAAATTAGGAGGACCAAAGTCTGGACTTGCAGGGCTCAAGGCACCTCAGAAGCGGACGCTTGCCGCCCCCGGGTCAGCATCCCCTCGACGCCCACAAACAGGCCCCCCTGCTATGCCGGACGATGATGATGCGCCTCCCCCCCAGCCACGAGCTGGCTTGCGAGGTTTGGCAGGACGGTCACTTGCTAAGCCGGCGGCATCGATGCCTCAGATGCCTCCTGACTCACCTCCGCCTGCCAGTGGATTCACAGCTGTAGAGCGTGCTGAATTGGAGGAGTTGCGGGCTGCCAATGAGCGGTTGACCCGGCAAGTAGACGACATGAGACAGGAGAGGAATAAGTTTATGACCGAGATTCAAGAGCTTAAGAACCAGAACGCCGGCCTTATCGAAGATCATACGCGTGATGTTCTCAGCATCAAGGCCAAGGAGACGCAGCTTGTGCGAGCTAGAAGTGATGCCGAGGCCCACGAGCAGGCCAATGATAGATTAAAGCGTGAGCTTGATCGCTTAAAGAGAGCTCTCGCCCGTGCCGAGGGTCTTGGTTCGGCAAGTCCAGGTATGAACTTTTCGTATGATTTTGACCTTGATAGTGAGGAGAAACTAACAGGCAATGGCAGGTCTTGGGTCGCCAACTCATGATGATGCTGGAATCTACCGCGACTCGGGTTCTGCCTCCGGTGGTAGGAACAGGATGAGTTTTACCAGCACACTTTCAGAGGAGAAAGAGAACGGAGAAACGGCTTATCCCCGAAGTAAGATCAGCCCTGAGTTCAGATACGCAGGGAGCACAACCTCATCTGGCCGGGGTTCTCCAGCTAGAAGCTTCAGAGCTCCTGCATCATACCGTGATAATGACAGCGATGCTGGTGGCGTGGGCATTGGCATTACTAGGGAACGTCCAACATCCTCGCTCCCAACACCATCAGGAGCTAATGGGGCCGAGAGTTGGAAGCGAGCGGCGGAGGTGACAAGCCAGCTCAAGGCTAGAATCGAATTAATGAAGGTAAGTTGGTATCTTCCTATATGTCCTTCCTACCGACCACATACTGATCCTTGTCACAGGCCAAACAAGGCTTCGCTCGACCTTAGATGTTAATTTGTGGAGACAAAGAGTAATAGGCGAGACCCAAACATTTGTGATAATATATGTATTTGAGGACACATGGGGGTTTCACAGGGGTTCGAGGAATTCTCTAGCTGACGACTGTTGAAGCAGTGCTTTTTTTTCTTTGGGATGCACTTCTTTTGGGATCTTAATGTGCATTTGAATGGCGTTTGCCGCATACCCCTTTTGTTAACGCGCTTGTGGTTCGCGAACTTCATACATAGACCTTCGTTTTGGTTGATTTGCATTAAGGAGACATGCAGACGAGCAATGAAAATGCATAATATAACAGGGTGGATTTGGTTTTGATACATTGACTGCATCTACTGATATTGCTTAAAGTGAATCCGGTCGCTGAGCCGGGGATTAACTTACAAAGGTTAAATGACAAAGGTAAATAGGCTGGATTGACTCTTCTATCTTTCATTGGGAGCTCACTCCCCTCGCTCCCTGGTCACCTTCATCATCCTTTAATCCTTCTTGTCACCATTATCACCATCCTTCCCCTTTTTATCATCCTTCCCCTTCTGGTCATCCTTTTCCTTTTGGTCATCCTTTTCCTTTTGGTCATGCTTTTCCTTCTGGTCATCCTCTCCCTTTTGGTCATCCTCTCCCTTTTGCGTTTCATCCGCCTCAGACTTGGATTTGTCGCTGTCAGGCTTTTCCTCCCCCTGAGCCTGCTTCCCCTTGCCACCGTTCTTGTCTTTTGTCATCTCCTCTTGTTGGTTCTTCTTTGCCTCTTTCTCTTTCTGCTTCTTTTTCTCCTCCTTTTCCTTCTTAATTCGCTTCTTCTCTTCTGCCTCAACCTTTGCCCAGTCGGTGGTAGTATCGGCCATTCCGGGGCTTTCTATGCTCTCACTGAGATATCTCCCGCTCAGTCGCTGCGAAGTCTCGATGCGGGAGCGGCCAACAAGAGAAATAAAAAGAGCAAAGCCCACCATGGCAGTGAGAAGGAACCGGTAGTGGCCATACCACGGGGGAGCCCAGCCCCGGATAGTCGCCCGGGAATCGGCAAAATAGAGAGCGACAAAAGCACCGAATTGGGTGATGAGGCCGTATTCGAGGGGCATCAGGAGAGTTGGCCAGGCAATGATGGGTGCGACGACGCCCATCCCGTAGCGGAAGCGGGTTCGCTGAGGATGCGGCTCCTTTTCGGCATATTCCAAGCCCTGACGATTTCACGACTCTGGTCAGCGACAAAGGCTTGGACACTAAAGACGTGCAAGAGGTTATAACATACCCAATGGACAGCTCCGAGGAAGGATATGATGACTGCACCGTACCCCAGCTGGAGAGGCTCGATGATGCTGAGGAGATATTTCGCAGTGTCATGATTGATCAATATAGCGTTGTAGAATGGAGTGGCTGCGGGGATGTCCTTTGTCAAATCCCACCTCAGGAAGACAGACGCGGCAGAGGTTGCAAAGTAAGGCACCGTCCCCATAAGCCCGAGGATATGAGATTCGCGGGGCGTACGGCTGAGCCGCAAAGCGTCTTTGACTACGTTCTTTGGAAATCGTGTTAGCATGCAATTCTAGTGTTGGAAGTGATTGGGACTGTACAATGTCATGTGCGAGGCCGCCGCCATCGACTCCTGCAATTGGGCGAGCGCCTGGGAGGGTCAGATCATCGAATGTTTTGGTCTCTGCTGCTATCTTCGATGGGTCGGATTTGAGCTTCTCGTCGCCGCGTTTACTTTCGGCCTCCAAGGGTGAGACTGAATGAAACGAACGGGGAGTACTGAGGCCGCCGACATGGCTAATTCGTTGATGTAATTGGGGTCTCTGGGCTGCTGGATAGGTTGAGAGTAAGGCTAAACTAGAGGTTCGGTGTTGAAGAGCTATAGTAGCTCTGGAGCGTACGAAGTAGCTTGGGATGCGGAACATGGCGATGAAACTCCAAGATGGTGATGTGAGATAGGCCGCACGGTAGAGATGGCATCAATAAGACTAGTATTACGTATTGAGGCACCGGTTACACGCTATTGTGTAAGATCGAGATATACTCGTCTTAGGTGCATGGATGGGATTGGATCTTGTTGTGATCAAGTATGTAGTGGATGGAAGTTTCAAGGTGTTTTGGCTATGGGTTTGTAGATGTTGATTGTGATCAAGTGTCTAGAAAATAAGATATTCGGCATCAAAGGCACTGCACGGAGACGTAATGGCATCGTTAGCATCATAATGAACGAATCGGTTTTCCAACGGTCTCATCGATGCTTCAGGAGCTCCGATCAGGTGTGACGTCATGACATCCAGGTTCTGTGGATGGAGCTCAGGGGAGCTAGACGGATTACAATCATCCAGGTGGTTTGACTTTGGCATGTTGGAAAAGAAGAATACGCTGCTGCTATGCCTTTTTGAGGATGATATACCGGAATAGCGATGCTCAATTGCCATGTCATGTATCGCCACTCTTATGCGTGCTTGATGAAGCTGGGAGCAGTGTCTTTCCAGCTGGTTGGTTCTCAGCCCAAGTACAAGTTTAGCAGCCAGCGTCATCGTGAATCGATGCAACTATTTCAGTTTAGCGCTCTTGCTGCTCTTGCCATTTCAGGTTCCTAACCAGAGCGGAACTCGATTATAAAACTTGGGCTGCGTGTACGTAGACCCAATAGACGGATTAGTGACTTTTATTCAGAATAATTCAAGCCCATTTCGAATTTTAGGAAATCTCTGAGATCTTGGCTGCACAAAAAGAACCTTGAAAGAAAAATGACAGTCAGAACCTGACTCTGCATTGGGCTCAACAGCACCATTATTTTAACCATCAAATGACCACACGGCAGCTTGTTTCTTTAAAGCGGCGCTGCACTGTCTTAGCGGAAGGAACTTTAGAGGTTGTACCTGGCCCACAGCATTTGCATGCGCCTTCCAAGTCCAGCCCAAGGAACGGATCGACTGCAACAGTTGCGCCCCGATTGGGTATGGCCAGGGCAGCAGCAGACTCGCCCACTGTCCAGCCCCTCCACCAGGTCCATCGCAAGCACTAACCCTCTATGAGCACCACTACCGGGACATTGAGAGTACCCGCGTCATACTTCCATTTCTCTCCGGGGGGTTTTCAGAGCCTCTGCAAGCGGTGACGTGCCTAGCAACTGCCCCAAGCTGTGCAAACCTGACCTCTGGCTAATGCCAGTAATCCCTCTTTCCTGTCACTATCCGCCTTCTGGTCTCGACCGACGACGACACGGTACAACCGCGAGCAATTCCATACCGACGGCCTCCAGCAGCTGCATCTCCCCCTCAGCTGATTGTTGGACTAGTCATTCCTTTGGGCACCCACGACGAGCGCACCCACCACGCAACTGGGCTGCCTTTAGATTCCGGCCGATTTACAACACCGGCCTAACAAGTCCGACCACCATCGAGTACGCCGACATACAGAACAGTCTTTTCTTCCCTGCCGAACGAGAACAACTCGGGTGGCGAGGAGCGTATACATACGTTGCTATTATCAGAAGCTTGTAGCACGATTTCCGATGTCGTCTTCTTAGTTCCCACATCCGATATCCATAACCCTCATATCCCAGGCCCGGGTTACGGCACCCCGCTCTCATCATGTTGGAGGGGCTTGTCGCCGGGTTGCTGAACCGCTTCCTGGGCATGTACGTTAAGAACTTCGACCCTACCCAGCTAAAAGTCGGTATTTGGTCTGGCGATGTCAAATTGCACAACCTACAGCTGCGGCGCGAGGCTCTCGACCAGCTCAAACTACCCGTCAACGTTATCGAGGGCCACGTCGGTGACCTTACCCTTGCCATTCCCTGGTCAAACCTGGCTGGTGCGCCCGTCAAGGTCTTCATTGAGGATGTGTTCCTCCTTGCGAGCCCAAAGGAGGAAGCTGAATACGACGAGGAAGAGGAGGACCGTCGCAAGCAGCGCCTCAAGATGGACAAGCTCGACAGCGCGGAGCTGCTCAAGGAGCGAAATCAAGAGGGCATGAGCGCCGAGGAGCAGAAGAAGAACCAAAGCTTCACACAGAGCCTTGTCACCAAAATTGTTGACAATCTTCAAGTGACTGTCAAGAATCTTCACATCCGGTACGAAGACTCGATATCCGCCCCTGGACACCCCTTTGCCCTTGGCGTTACTTTGGAGGAATTCAGCGCCGTGAGCACCGATGGACAATGGAAACCTACTTTTATCCAGAATGCAGGAGACGTTACGCACAAGCTGGCGACCCTGGGAGCCTTGGCTGTTTACTGGAACACGGACTCTGAACTTCTCGGTACGGGAAGGCAGACAGAACCATCCCCAGAAGAGGCAATGCCGCATGGCGAAATGATTGAAAAATTCAAAGCAATGATTAATAACACAGATCAAGCAGGCTTGAACCACCAGTTTATTCTCAAGCCAGTCAATGGACAAGCAAAGATTGAGCTTGATAAAACTGGCAATGTGAATGTGCCCCACTTCAAAGCAAATCTCCTATTCGAGGAGATTGGCCTCGTGTTGGATGATCACCAATACCGTGACAGTTTGATGATGGTGGATTTATTCCACTACTTCATCCGCCACCAAGAATACAAAAAGCTCCAACCCAAGGGCGTCACACCCTTGGAAGATCCCAGGGCTTGGTTCAAATTTGCGGGCGATGCAGTATTAAGTAAAATTCACGATCGAAATCGACGATGGTCGTGGGAATATTTCAAAGAACGACGTGATGACCGTCGGCGATATATTGAGTTGTTCAAGAAGAAGAAACAACTTCAGCAGCTCACGGCCACTGAAAACGATGACCTCAATAAGCTGGAATGGAAACTCGGTTATGAGGATCTGCGGTTCTGGAGATCTCTTGCACGAAACCAGCTAAAGAAGGAGAATGCCGAGGCTTTGAAGAATCAGCCACCCCAGCAAGCACAGCAAGGCTGGGTGTCGTGGCTCTGGGGGTCTAAACCCCAGGAAACCATCCAGGAGAATGAGGAAAACACCCAGATGACAGAGGAGCAGCGTAAAGAGCTTTACGATGCCATCGAATGGGATGAGAAAACCGCACTGGCAGAAGCTGTTGATGTTCCCCGAGAAGCTGTCAAGCTTTGCATTGAAACATCTCTGAGTACTGGTAGCTTCACTCTAAAGAAGGGACCGCACGACGATCCAAAAGATCTTTTAAGTCTACATTTTGACGTCTTCAAAGCAAAGGCCCTTCAGCGGAAGGACTCAATTCTGGGCAATCTTTCACTGGGAGGTTTGCGAGTAGTAGATGGCACTACGCCCGATAGTTTATATCCCGAGATTGTACGCGTTAAGGACGCACCGGATGCCAAGAAGCGCAAACGGTTATCTCTGAATGAACTGGCGGTTGTGGATGAAGAGCCATTCTTCCAAATCGAGGTGGAGAAGAATCCCATCGAGCGTGAAGGGGATATTGCCGTGCTCGGTAAATTGAAGCCCCTCGAGATCGTGTGGAACCCGAACTTCGTTGTTGGAATCGTCGACTTCTTTAGGCCACCTGAGAGGCATATGGAGTCTATCACTGCATTGATGGAAACCGCCGGTGCCACCGTTGAGGGTCTACGTGAGCAAACCCGAGCTGGCCTCGAATTTGCTCTAGAGGAGCACAGGACCATCAACGCAGAGCTGGATCTTCAAGCGCCGCTCATCATTCTCCCTGTCAGCATCACCACACCGGAGTCGACTTGCCTGATAGTTGATGCCGGTCATATTCATGTCAACAGCGAACTGGTTGACCAAGGCACCCTTAAGGAGATTCAGTCAAAACAACGCCAGTCATACAACGAGGAAGACTTCAAAAAGCTCGAGTCAGCCATGTACGACAAGTTCATCGTCAAGCTCACGTCTACTCAGGTTCTTATCGGACCATCCATCGACGAAACCAAGGCACAGCTGGTGGAAAAGGACGACGAAGCGCTTCTCCATGTGGTAGAGAGGATCAATGTAGAGTTCGTTGTGGAAACCTCGATTATGCCCAAAGCGCCCAACTTGACAAAATTCAAGGTCTCTGGTCACCTTCCCATGCTGCACGCCACTATGTCCGATTCGAAATATAAGAATCTGATGAGAATTATTGACGTGTCTATTCCCAAATTCGGGAACCAAGAGGAGCCAGAGCCTCCTCAGAGCGGCAAGAAAAAGACTCGTCCCAGGCTTGCTACAGATGCTTCTACGAGGTCGGGAAAGAAGTCCGGGCGAGATAGGAGTCAGTCCGATGCGTTCCCCTTCATGCAGCCACATACTGCTGTTGTGTTGGATGATATCGACGACGACGATGAAGAGTTTGAGGATGCTGAAGATGGATCTAATAACGAGCACCTCAAGATACAGCAGCGCAGCTTTGAATTTAAATTCAAGGTTGACACCCTCAAGGGTTCGCTCTACCGGAGCGATCCAAACCGACAGAAGCCAGACGTCCTCCTTGTTGAACTGGTCGCTGAGCGCTTCGATCTTGAATTTTACTCACGAATTTACGATATTGCTGCGGAGGTGTCTCTTGGATCAGTCACGGTCGATGACTTTGTGGACAATCCGGCCGGGGAATTCAAATCTATCGTATCATCAGGTGATAGCGATGATCTTCAAGCTGGAAGAAGCCTTGTTCACGTCAAATTTGTCAAGGTTAATCCCAAATCACCGGAATTCATGCCAGTTTACGAAGGTGTTGAGACCAATATCAAGGCAACGGTGTCAACAATCAATCTCATCGTGACGAGGAAAACATTGCTTACCCTCTTGGATTTCATCCTGATCACATTTACCTCTGGCAACAATCCACAGCCTCCAGAGACGCCTGCAATTGCTGATAGCCCTGGAAGCGAATCCCCTGAAGAGAAATCGGTTGAACTTGCGCAAGACCAAAAGCCCAACACGGGATCAATTCGTGTCCACGTCGAGCTAAAGAGTATCAGACTCATCTTGAATAATGACGGTATCCGTCTAGCAACATTATCTCTCAATCATGCAGATGCTGGCGTCTTCTTGCGTGGTAATACGATGCGAGTTAATGCCCGACTTGGTGATCTATCACTGGTTGACGATATCAACATGGGGGCATCTGAGAGTTCTAGCCTTCGAAAGTTGGTAGAGATCCAAGGCGACGACCTGGCTGATTTCCGATATGAAACATTCGACGCAAACAACAAAAAGGCATACCCGGGATATGACAGCTCCATCTACCTCCGAGCAGGGTCCGTTAAAGTTAACTTTGTGGAGGAGCCATTCCGCAAAATCATTAATTTTGTGGTGAAATTCGGCAAAATGCAGGCGCTCTACAATGCTGCGCGCCAGGCTGCAATGAATCAAGCGAACCAAATACACCAAAGCAGCCGTTTCAAATTTGATGTTATTGTCAAAACCCCCATTGTTGTATTCCCCCGCGTCGTCGTACCTGGTCGAACGAAACGAGATCTCGTCACAGCTTATCTTGGTGAAATATACGCCCAGAATAAGTTCGCTCCGATAGACGATAGCAAGGGCTCCGATATTGCGATGAAAATATCGGCTGGTATTCGAAACATCAGGCTGACTTCTGACTTCAACTACTCCGACGACAAGTCAGAAGAGTTGGAGATGATTGACCATGTTGACCTTGGTTTTAACATCACACATGCTGAACACACGCCTGGTGCTCAACGTCCTGATACCGAAATCGAAGGATCAATGTCAGACTTCAATCTACGAATCACTCAATATCAGTTGAGATCTCTGATGGCTATCTCGCAATCTGTTCCGGCTGCATTTGCTGGAGAGGGCGAGGGTGGGGACGAAGATGCCGCCAAAGCTGTCGATCAGGATACCCTGCGCCGAGCGCAATCGATCAACCAAAACCAACAATCCGATGATGGGCCGCTCATCCACTTGGGTCCGGAACTCAGCTCGGTCGACACGACATGGACAAAGTTAGATCTTGTGTTCCAAGTGAATACTATTGGCCTCGAGCTCATCCTTGCAGAGGATGATCATCCAGTTGGTGATTTGGCAAAATCAAGCTTGTCTCGGTTCTCACTTGACGAGTCAAAGGTCAAAGTCCGCATGTTATCAGACAACTCGCTGGAAGCTGAACTCCTGATCCATGCTTTCACCATATATGATAGCCGACCAAGCGAGACTAATAGGTTCCGTCGTATTATGGCATCAGCCAACAAAGATGTCCACCAACTGATGGCCTCTATTACAATGTCAGGGGGCAAAGAAAGAAATGTGATCGCAATGGCAACACTTGACAGTCCTCGCGTAATCTTCGCACTTGACTATCTCTTCGTAATCCAAAAGTTCTTAACTGAGGGGCTAGTCCAAGAAGAGATCTCCCCGGTTGATGATGAAAGTATCCTGGGATCACCCGAGGAGTCTGATACCGACTCACTTGCAGTTACATTTGACGCTCAGCGATCCCAACAGGCAAGATCTCTCTCCTCAGCTCGGCAAAGCGAGGATACTCCGTCCCAGAAGGAGCCCGAGAAACCCGAGTCGAATATGAATCTGGCATTCCGAGTAAATTTGGTTGATGCTCAGGTAATCCTCATTGCCAATCCCCTAGTATCAAATTCCGAGGCCATTGTTTTGGGTATTCGGCAAATGCTTCTTTCGAAACAGCATTCTCTCACCTTTCAAATTTCGCAAGTCGGAATGTTTCTCTGTCGGATGGATCGCTTCGAGACATCTCGTCTGCGCATCATTGACGACTTCTCCGTCCAACTCAGCATGGACAGCTCCCAACAGATCACTACAGCCATTCATATCGAGGTTGAGCCACTTATTTTACGTCTGTCTTTGCGTGATATTTTGCTGGCTCTCCAGATCATCACAAGGGCTGGTGAGCTATCTGGAAATGACACCAAGGCTCCCAAGGAGACACCAGCGGAACAAAAGGCCAAACAGCTGCGTAATGCTGGCATGAAGCAAAAATCTGGCAGTACATGGGGTCATTCTTCAACTGGAAAGACAAAGGGTTCGAAATCAGTTGGCGCTGGGGGTCAGAGACCACATAGCGAAGTATCAAAGTTACCCGTCCGAGCCCAGGAGGAGCTTTCTGCAACCATTGAAGGCGTCCGAGTTGTTCTCATTGGTGATTTGCATGAGTTGCCAATTCTCGACATTGGGGTGAAGCAATTCACGGCCTCTGCACAAAATTGGTCATCGAATCTCAAAGCGGAGGTGGCCGTCGATATGTACTCCAACGTCTACAACTTTTCTAAATCCAGTTGGGAGCCACTCATCGAGCCATGGCAGGTCGGCCTTGGTGTTGCCAGAGAGATTGGAACTGGACTGCTCTCTGTGGATTTAGCGTCTAAGCGGGCATTCGATGTGACAATCACTACGGCTACCATTGCTCTTGCTTCAAAATCATTTGATTTCTTGACCACAGAGCAGAACGTGTTGGACAAGCCACGTGTGAATGAAGCTCCTTATCGAATCAGGAACTACACCGGGTTTGATGTCGTGGTCAACTCGAAGAGCCCGACTAGCGAAGAGCCGATCTCGGTCTCGTTAGAAGACGGCAAGGAAGCTCCGTGGAGTTTTGAGCACTGGGAAAAGATGCGTGAAAATCTTCTTACCGAATCCAACCAGAATGATGTCAGCATAACTCTAGAGGGCAGTGGATTTGATACCGTTAAGAACGTACGAATCAATCGCGAGGGCGAGTTCACTTATGGCCTACGACCCAAGGCAGATGTTCTCCACCGGCTTTGTGTAGAGGTCGGCTTAGGTGCTGACAACGTCAAATATGTGACTCTTCGCTCGCCCCTGCTTTTCGAGAACGCGACCGAGATTCCCGTTGAGCTTGGAATCTACGATTCTCAGGACGGCCATCTGCTCAAGATTGAGAAAATCGCTCCTGGAGAGTCGAGGCCGGCTCCAGTAGGCGCAGCGTATGAAAAGGCAGCTTTAATCCGTCCCGATGGAGGGTTTGGGTATAGATGGAGCACTGAACAGCTCTGGTGGAAAGATCTCTTGATGCGACCTACCAGGCAGATCGTGTGCAAAGGGGACACTGCGGACCCGTTCTATTTCCAAGTGCATGCGAGATTTGACAAGGCTAATCCCCTGACAAAGTAAGTCCACTGACTGGTTGATTGGAGTATGAAATCTGTTGTTCCGATATGCTAACCGCTTGTGAAGGTCATATCCAAACATGAAAATCAAACTGTCGGCACCCATTACACTCGAAAATTTGCTCCCATATGACTTCAAATACAGGATATACGACCGAAATACTAAGAAGGATTGGTCTAATTTCCTCCGAAAGGGAGGTGTAAGCCCTGTTCATGTCGTGGAGCTCTCCCACCTCCTCCTTCTCAGCGTTGACATGCAGGATACTGTCTTCAAGCCTAGTGATTTTGCAATCATCAATTCTGGAACCAATGAGGATTTTCGAAAAGAGAACCGCATTATTCTCAAGGACGATCAAGGACTCCCGCTTCATCTCAACGTACAGTATTTCAGGATTCCCAATAGTGGAGGTGCCTTCAAGGTCACCGTATACAGCCCATATGTCGTACTGAACAAGACTGGCTTGGAATTGATGGTTCGAGCGAAGACATTCTTGCAGCAAGCCAGGCCCGCCGCAGGACAGTTCCCATTGGTGGATACTTCCGATCAAGATCGACCAAAAGCTCTTCCATATATGTTTTCATACGGCAACGACGACCACCGCAACCGAGCTCTGCTTAAGGTAGCCGATTCAGAATGGAGTAAGCCTCAAAGTTTTGATGCTATTGGCAGTACCTCGGAAGTTGTGCTTAACTCCTCGTCAAAACAAAACAAGGAGGTTCATCTCGGCATTACCGTCAAGTCTGGCGATGGGAAGTACAAACTTACCAAGGTGGTGACTCTTGCTCCACGCTTTGTCATGCGAAATAAGCTTGGTGAAGAACTTCTCATTCGGGAGCCCAGTTCTTCGGGTTACCTAACACTCCAAGGCGGTGCTCTGCAACCTCTTCATTTCATGCAAAAATCTACCGTCAAGCAGCTCTGTCTCTGCTATCCCGGTGTTAACAACCAATGGACCTCGCCGTTCAACATCGCGGATATCGGAACAACTCACGTCAAGATCGCCAAGGCTGGCCAGCGTCAGCGTTTGGTGAGGGTCGAAATCCTCTTGGAGGAATCTACAGTCTTCCTCAGCTTCAGTTTCGAGACCAAGAACTGGCCATACTCTATGCGAAACGAGAGTGATACCGAATTTACCTTCTACCAGGCCAATCCCAATATTGATGAAGACGGTGTTGAAGATCTCAGTGGATGGAAACCTGTGCGCTACCGATTGCCTCCTCGAAGCATCATGCCTTATGCTTGGGATTTCCCGGCAGCGAAGTTCCGCGAGATCATCATTTCTGTAAACAAGAAAGACCGGCACGTCAAGTTAGCTGAAATCGGCAACCAAGTCCCAATGAAGTTCATCTCGCCGGAGGGACAACAAAAAATCATTGACATCAACGTGGCCGCTGACGGACCCACCCAAACAATGATCCTCAGTAACTTCCGGGCAAGCAAGAGCATGTACAAACCCAAGGCGGTTGAGCGAACAAAGTCTGGTCTAGAGGCGTTCGAAGTCAAGGATCAGGACACTGGTGCCACTTTCCGTGCGCAGCTGAGGCTGGCCAGTGTGGGCATCTCCCTCATCAACGCCCAGCTCAAGGAGTTGGCATATCTCACCTTTAAGGATATCCAGCTTCGGTACAGTGACTCCCCTCTGATTCAAACTGTCTCATTGTCAGTCAAATGGATCCAGATTGATAACCAGCTGTATGGCGGCATTTTCCCAATGATCGTCTACCCAAGCGTGGTTCCCAAAAAGGCGCAAGAAGTTGATGCACACCCTTCGCTGCATGCGATGATCAGCCGAGTTAAGGATGATTCCTATGGTGTATTGTATATCAAATATGCCACCATCCTACTGCAGCAGTTGACTATTGACCTTGACGAGGACTTCGTGTTTGCTCTTCTGGAATTTTCCGACGTCCCTGGCGCGCGCTGGACGATTGAGGCTGAGGGCAAGCTGTGTGATGAGAATTTGGATATCCCCCAGCCTACACAGCAGGCAGCAGGACAGGACATATACTTTGAGGTGCTCAATATTCAACCGATGCAGGTTGATTTGAGTTTCATGCGGACAGAGAGAATCAATGCCGAAGACCAGCAATCTACTCGGAACCCAATCATGTTCTTCCTCAACGTTATGACAATGGCGATTGGCAACGTCAACGATGCTCCAATTCGCTTCAACGCTCTCATCCTTGACAATGTGCGCGTTTCGACTCAAGTTCTCATCCAAAACATTTCAAACCACTACAGTCAGGAAGTCATGTATCAGATACACAAGATTTTGGGTTCAGCGGATTTCCTCGGCAACCCTGTGGGCTTATTCAACAACATTTCATCTGGTGTCACGGATATTTTCTACGAGCCATACCAGGGTCTCATTCTCTCGGATCGACCTGAAGAGTTTGGGATCGGTATCGCCAAGGGGGCAGCCTCATTTGCTAAAAAGACCGTCTTTGGTTTCAGTGACAGTTTCTCCAAGTTTACAGGTAGCTTGAGCAAAGGCCTCGCGGCTGCATCACTCGACAAGCAATTCCAGGATCGCCGTCGTATCACTCGAGCCAGGAACAGACCCAAACATGCACTTTACGGAGTGGCCGCCGGGACAAACAGTCTACTGACCAGTGTCGCATCCGGCATCGGTGGATTGGCGCGGAAGCCTCTGGAGGGCGCCGAGCAGGAGGGAGCCCTTGGCTTTTTCAAGGGAGTCGGCAAGGGAGTGCTTGGGCTTGCCACGAAGCCTGCTGTCGGTGTTTTGGATATGGCAAGCAACGTCAGTGAGGGTATCCGCAATACGACGACCGTATTCGATGGGTCCGAGTTGGAGCGCACGCGGTACCCACGTTTCATCCCGAACGACGGCATTGTGCGACCGTACAATGCCCGTGAAGCGTTGGGCCAGTATTGGCTGAAGCAGGTCGACAACGGGAAGTACTTTGACGAGCAATACATTGGTCACTTGGAACTGCCAAAGGAGGATATGGTAGTCATGGTTACCTTTGCACGCATTCTTCTCATCAGGTCTAAGCGACTGGCTAGTGAATGGGATGTGCCGCTCAAGGATGTACAGACGATTGCCAAAGAGCGTACTGGCGTAAGTCTGACTCTACGCGGAGGTGCCAATGGTCCTTTCATACCAGTAGGAGGGGGAGGGGAGAGAGGTTTCCTGTACAAGATGCTGGGGATCGCGGTCGAGGAGTACAACAGGCGTTTTCGAAGCGGTGGCGGGTAGAGCCAAGTGGGAAGAAGCATCGACATCTTCGGAATCCGGCGACGAGCGAAAAGTCGGAAGGAACTATTAGATTTAAGCGTGAGAAAGGGGGGGGAGTGTAATGAGTTTATCGGTTCTTTTGTGTTTCCCAGCTTTATCCATGTCCGTATCAGATAACGGCCCCGATAGGACAACGTATACTTATCCATCTTCCATCTACTTCATACTGATTACAGGGTATAAGATGAACTACAAATCTACGGTTAATGGTGGTGTGTACGTAGGCATCTTAGCTGCTTCGACTGCTTCCCTAGCTAGTGGGCTTGACATGGATGGTGGGAGCCACACGCATCCCCAGGATCTCTCCGCATTATCAGACGCATGGAAGGTCGCACCTGAAGGCTTGTTTGCACACGTATCTGGCAACGAAGGCGGTGTTCGATATGGGAGGGGCTGCCGATCCGATCACCTCTATTGACGCCAAGCTACGGTTCCTTGTACATGTGAATGCATGAATTCGATGCGGCTGAAGCAGATCAACAAAAGTGCGCCAGAGAGGCAGCCGGAATAGAACTGGGCTCTGCCCGCGAGCATGGCTTGCTCTTATTGCCAACGGCGTAAGCCGCCATATGAATTCATTTCGCTCTCGGTGCCAAGTTCCTCCTCAACCACCTACCTAAAGGGATCATCTTGGGTGCATGGGTTGGAGGGAGAGACTGTCCAGTGGCGATGGGCGAGTTTGTCAATGATCATTGTTCATTCAGTTTCTGGGACTGTCGCCCGGCTTGGCGTAATAGCGTGTGTCTCGGCAAGCATGGAGCTTGTTCGCATCTGCGCGCCACTCCGGGGCATTCTCCTCTCGTGCCACGGTCTCGATTGACCTGGGTCTGGCTCCGGCTGGAGACACAAACACCACGCTGATTTGATATCGAAACGTAAGACCTATCTTATGTGGGACAGTGGGAAGCACGGTGCCAAGAGATGGGGCCAGGCCGACGAGTCTGGGGTGGTGATAAGCGGTCCTATCCATATGTGGCAAATTGTCGGGTGATCAAGAAAGTAAGATCGAGGAGAGGGATTGGGCCATGGGCTGAGAATCTCAATCACTCGGCTCATCTGAAGGATCGAGGTCCAGAGGAGGCCCTTGAAAGGATTGGCTTGGAGCCATGCATGCAAGTGCTAGGGATCAGGGTCATATGCCCGCTGGTCGTGCCTATTGGCCTGAGTATGTCTTTGTCTTATCTGTCTTATCAACGACCCCGTTTCTTGCTTCTGGAGCTCTGGAGAGGCGGCCGTCAGATCAGCGTCCGGTGGTCTTGGCACAGACTCTTTTGACCAAGAGCTCCGGGCCATCAGTCGCATATCAATTATCAATGAGATATGAGACCTGGAGGCTCGAGCTCGATAGGAACACGCCTATCAAGGGACTGGACCAGAGATAGTTGAATCTGTAGAACAAAATGGCCACTAAAGATTCTCAATTAGGCCTGGAGATACCAACTGACAAGATACGCTGCCATTAGTGCCACGCCCCCAGTCGTCGAGCCAAACTCACCGGTGCTGATTGGCTCAGCCCCTCTGCTGGTTACATTGTCCTTCCCGAACGGGAAGTCAGACACTAGAGACGCCGAGCGCCTCCCGAAAGTAGCTGCTCAAGAGAAACAACTAAAAGTCTGACCAAGCCTTGGTAGCGGCATGCCATTGGCTGGCAGCAGGCCCATTTCTGGGGTTTGGCTGCTGGGGCTTTATCACTGACGCGAGCGGCACGGAGCACCAGCAGACGGCGAGGAAGAGCAAAAGAAAGAAAAAAGAAGTGTGGGTGGGACATCATGCACCGAAGGCTTCGAGATGGCCAACGAGGCACGCCATTCCCTCCATCGCCCCGTAGCACCACTGGCAAGCGTCGTTTCTTCCCAGGCCGATCGCACTGTGGTCTCGTGCCTCTCCGGACCTTCAATGCACAGTGAGAATGCCTTGGACGACGGTTGAAAACCTCCACGGCCAGAGTCGCAGCGGAGCGCCATGACACGAGAGGCGCTGCTATTCCGTTTCGGGGCTGCCTGGCCGACGCACTTGTGCCAGGCTTGACCAGGGTTTCCCCATCACAGGGACTTTTTTTTCAACCCCATCCTGACCAGGGCTCCGCGAAAGCTGGGACACACGACACACTATGCATGTGGGCGTCGAAAAAAAAAAAACGAGGGATCTGGGGCCATTTCCGGAAGGGCAATTTCACGTGAAGAGGAAGATAACGGCGCTGGGCCGAGAGACCCTGAGATGAGACTGTCATCTTAGCTGACACTGGGCATCTCGATAAGAAACAGAGATGACTGAGGCATGCACGGAGGGACCTGGTGGGTAACGGGAAAGAGACAAGGTAGCGACGGAAAGAGCTCCCTGCCCGGCTGTCCAAGGCAATTGGCCATTGCCATTGACGGAGGGGAAGGTGCATCCAGGCCATTTGCTATCGTACCGCCTTCCACGGTGCTGACCTACCGCAAAGGCGAGGAAGGTCAGCTCTGGTATGCTGTGGCCAAGCTCTACGTTTAAAGTTGGACCGCGGCCCTCGCCACTTGCCTCTTGCTTTATCTCTTGCTGATGCTGCCTCAGCGGCTTTCTCTGCCATAATTAGCCTTGAACCCTTCCTCCGAGATATCCTCAACGCCACACCTCTCTCGTCCCGGGAACCCACTCTGTTCTTAATTTGCGTCTTGTCGTGGATACCAACTGCAAAGTGGGTAGACGTGGTGTTAGTAGACCTGGGCAACGATCCGGCGTTGCATCCTTCGGCACAGCCGATCCCCCAAAACGCTCCCACCCCAGACCAAAGATAAGGGCGGGTGAAAAAAGGGCCTTATATTCGCCCTGTCTGTCGCGTCTCCGCAGGATTTTTTTCTCTTGGTTCACCCAGCTCTCTGTTCAACCATAGAAGCCCTGGGGCAGCATAGCGCAAGCAGCCATTGACTTGGTCCCCGCCTCTTGTCTTAGAATATACCCTTTAGACAGGCCTTGTCCTACCTCGCCTTCGCAATGGCCGATACCAAGACGACGCCACACACTGACCCGGCTCTTGATGCTGAGAACCAGCATCATCATGCCCACAAGAACCACGCGGCTAGTGCGCAAGCACCAGACGACATCCTCTACACGACTGGCACAACGGCCGACGCCCCTCACGTGCCTCTCCAGCACCACCATGAGCCCACGCCCAAGAAGGAGGTTGAAGGGGAGACTGTCACTAAGGTGCCTTCTACCACCCCCGGCACACCTCCCGACTATAGCGACCATGAAAAGGCCGGTGTAGTTCGTGAAGCTGCTTCTTCAGGGGAGGAACCCAGTCGCGCGACCAATCGCAGGTTCGCGGTCGTGTACCGTCATCGCAGCAAGCTCATCCACCTTTTCCTCCTGCTTCTTTTCACTGGGTGGTGGATTGCTTCCGTTGTTGTTCACCGACACGACAAGAATTGGGTTGTCCCTTTCCTGCTCTGGCTCGCCATCACTCTCCGCCTCATCTTCTTCTATGTGCCCATACGCTATGTGTCTAACCCGATCAAATGGGTCTGGCACAACACTGCTGTCAGGATCTACGACCTTGTCCCTGAGAAGTGGCGCAGCTTGGCTGGCGGTGCCGTGACGGTTGCCGTCATCCTTGTTGGCTCCTTCGTCACGGATGAGAGTGAAGACAATACCCGTGCCAATCGCGCAATCAGCTTGGTTGGCATGGCCCTCATCATCTTCTTCTTTTGGCTTACCAGCACTGCCCGAAGGTCCGTCAACTGGCGAACTGTCTCTGGTGGTATGCTTGCTCAGTATATCATTGGTCTCTTCGTCCTGCGCACACAAGTTGGTTACGACATCTTCAGGTTTATTGCAGACCGCGCCAGCGACTTGCTCAGCTTTGCTAGGGATGGTGTTGCTTTCTTGACTACTGAAGAGATCTCCCAGTACCTATTCTTCTTCTTCAGTGTCCTCCCCGCCATCATCTTCTTCATCTCTCTCGTCCAGGTCCTCTACTACATCGGATTCCTGCAGTGGTTCATCAAGAAGATGGCTACCTTCGTCTTTTGGATGTTGGGTGTGTCTGGTGCCGAGGCTGTGGTCGCTGCTGCCACACCCTTTATTGGCCAAGGTGAATCGGCCATGCTTGTTCGCCCCTTCGTTCCTCACATGACCAAGGCCGAGATTCACCAGATCATGACCTGCGGTTTTGCAACCATCTCTGGTTCCGTCCTCGTCGGCTATATCGGCCTGGGTCTGAACGCTGAGGTTCTTGTTTCTTCGTGTATCATGTCCATTCCTGCTTCCCTTGCTATCTCCAAGCTGCGATACCCCGAAGTTGAGGAGACCCTCACCGCTGGTCGCGTTGTCATCCCCGATGAGGACGAGCACAGAGCCGAGAACGCCCTCCACGCTTTCGCTGATGGTGCTCTGCTGGGTATTAGAATTGCCGGAACCATCATGGCTTCCATCCTGTGTATTATTGCCGCTGTCGGTCTCATCAATGGACTGCTCACCTGGTGGGGTGGATACATCAACATCAACGATCCTCAGCTTACCCTGCAGACCATGTTGGGCTACATCTTGTACCCTGTCGCATTCCTCCTCGGTGTTCCTCGAAGGGACTTTGACCCAAGTAACCCAGACCTGAAGAGGGACCGAGACATTCTGTTGGTCTCTAAACTCATTGCTGAGAAGATCATCACCGTAAGTCATTTTTCTGTAGTTTATGCTCTACTCGATGAACATTCCTGACACGCTTTTTTTAGAACGAGTATGTTGCCTTCTCCAAGTTGACGAGTACCCCTGAATACTCCGAGCTCTCCCCCCGATCCAACCTGATTGCCACCTATGCCTGCTGTGGTTTCGGTAACATTGGCTCTCTGGGTATCCAGATTGGTATTCTTGGCCAACTGGCACCTTCTCGAGGTGGTGACGTTTCTCGACTTGCCTTCTCTGCCCTGGTTTCAGGTGTCATGGCCACCCTCACTTCTGCCGCTGTCGCTGGACTTGTTCTTACCGGCCAGAGGTAGTGGAAGGTGGAACGCAACCCTCTAGTAAATAATGTAGCATCATATACTATGATACCCAACATATGGCCTAATAGATACACGGCCCTCCGTTGATATAGCCGTTCATTTTTGAATATCAATCAATTCAGGATTCGATACATCTGCGCAAAAGCCTTTTCGATGTGGGGCCGTCAAGTGAGGTGAACTGGTATTCGTCGTGACAGCCAACCTGTGAAGTGTTGTTGAGAGCAGCGGACGGGAGAGTAGCTGCTTTGGTGAAAAAGCCGTTTGGTGACCGGTTTTACGCTCACGGACAGTCGCGAGATGGACTGAGGCCGGAGACGCCAAATGAACCAGCTATAATAGCATCTTGGTCGAGAGTGTGAGGAGCGAGCAGAAATGGCGTTATTTGGATCGAGATATTTCGGGGCCAACGAATATTCCAAAGGGCGTAGACGATTTATGGTCCTGACCTTGGCTGATACCCCTTTACGCCAGCTGCCTTGGGTAAACGGGGTGATATTGCCCTGTTCATCACACTCATGATCCTTCCGTGTTTACAATTGGTGAGTCATCGAGGTGAGTGAGTCGTCAAGATGAGTATGTCGTTCTCAGTTGAAGTCATGATTTGGCTGACAAGAGCAAAGTCCGAGTAATAGGGGAATGAGAAAGTATTTATTGATTAAAAGTCTCGCCACAAGAGGATATTCCACTTGAAATGAAGTAATCACACCTTTCAGGCCCTGGGTGCCGTGCTCACAAATAGACCAATCCATCTCAGAAACTCGGCCTTACCCAAGGGCAGTGGGTCTACGCGCGCTGGGGGTTCGGATCCATTCGAGGCGGAAGCAGGCGAGGTCCGATGGGAATTGACCATATTTTACAATTCGCTGAACAAAAACACAGAGGGCGTGAGAATGGCATTATGTAAAAGTTTCAAGGTTTTGCCTTTGGAGGACGGCCTTGCCCGTGAGGAACCTTGAGTTTGTGGCACGGCGTCCAGATCGTGAACCAATCCCGGGCCTGCCGAATGAGGAAACTCGTCCGGCCTTGCGATTTTGCGATTTTTGTAATATCCCGGGCGCCCAACGAGCGCAAAGCAGCTGTGGCTCGGGGTTATCAATCAGCGCTACGGTGATGCTCAGGTCCGAGGAGGACAGGCTGCTGAGAGGATTCAACATGTGGTTGAGCCCTGGCGTCCAATCATGATAGGTCGGAGCTGAACGTGTGGAAACGAGGAACTTTTAAGATGGCCCATGCATGAACGATTGGTGGATTCGCGATTTAAGCTTGGCTTTGGGCAGAGCTGCTGCTTGATTCCACTGTGTTGGGTTGGCTGCTGTCTTGCCGTTCCCATCATGGGTCACCTTGCGATCTTGCAAGCTTCACGTCGAAGCAGCTCCTGTACAAGGCTTGGGGAGCGTATAATGGCATCGCGTAGGTAGTTAAGCTTCCAAGGACAGCATATGACACACAGCCTAGTCGTCTTCCCTCGGAGGATGCGGCAACACCCACACCATCTCACGGCATGAAAAATCTCCGGTTTGAGTTTCTCCTCGAAGCCGCTTCCAAATACCAATCACTAGCTTTCAATTTCCCTTCAAAGGTCATCTTTCCCTAAATCTAGTTGGTACTAATGATCTGTTGGTCTATATTATTTTCAAATGGGTATTGTTCTCATACGAGGAACCGTAGGAAACTGGACTCTTATGTGCTGCCACTGCTAATGGTTGGGCGCTACTGATTCGTAAGTTAAAATCTTGAACCTAAAGTTTACACGAAAATGTTTATAAGAAAGAAAATTTCGTGGCGATAGGGTTCGAGATATCGTTTCAAGTGAAAGATTAGCCACAGCGCTAAAAAAAAAAAAAAAGAAATTTGGTCAGCAAGAATTTCGCTGTTTGTTTTGGTAGGCACAAGATCCTCTGGCAAGGCAACGGCGGCACCAAAACAAACCACGCGCTAGGGTCATTGTTGGGCGATGTAGGATGCCAGTTTCAATGGTTGTAGGGGACGTAGGTGTACTCTGGTTACACAATAAAGAGGGGAGCAGATATTCATTGGTACACCTGATGTTCATACTTTTTTCGGCGTGTATTTCATTGTTGTGGAATTTGTCATGCTCTGGATTGATGACAAAAACCGTTGGCACGCTGACAAGCCATTCTGAATTCACCAATTGTTGGTTGCATGCAATCAATCAATCGATTAGTGGTGCCGCAGCGCCAGTGGGGCCGCCCGCGGCCTTTCGGTACGTCGGAAGCCCGTGGCCCCTGCTGAGGCCTGGGCAAGGCTTGTTCGGAGTCCAGTGTGTTGCCGGCTGTGGCACGTAGCATTGGTACCAGCAGATGGATGATGGTAATGCCGCAATAAGCAAAGGTGGCGGCCAGATGTCCTTGATCACATACCTGGCCGCCTCTGCATCGTGGGTGATTGCGATGAGGTCATCGGGTGAACAACTCATGACTCTTGCGGCTAGCAGATCATGCAAGGAGAAGATCAAGGTTAATAGCACTGGGATCCAGCGCTGGTTTGCGGCGCGATAAGATGCAATGAGAGCCAGTGGTAGAGGCTCATGGCAAGATTTAAAGTAGAGCCTGCGAATCATGGCACAACCACCGCCAGACCCCTACCTCGATGAATGATCCTCGATCCCGAGACCGAGTTGCTGCAGCGAAGCCGGAAATTCGGGGGGTACCTGGCAGGTACTTCGGTCAAAGTCTCCACGGCCAGCCACCACGAGTCCGCGAGCGCCCTGTGACGTAAAGCACGGCAGGGGCCTGGGCCAAGTTCCGGTGGCGTAGAAGCCAATCAACGGCGGCCATGCGCAAGCTACAGCCACTGACCATTACACCATCTGCCGCTGCAGTTAGCCTCGCTTGGCGTACCTCACCTCACAGCTTGTAGTCGCCAAGTACCGGCGGTTCTGCTACATTAGTAACCTCCATCCAGTCTCCATCATGATGAACCACTCCCCACCCCCTTCACTCAACTTCAATATTTGCTGTTTGTTTTCCATCCTTTGATGCTCCCGCCTGTGCTGTGGAGGCGAGTAGCACTGTTGCCGCATCTGCAGTTTCAATGGCTTCCCACAAGAGACCAGCCGACGAGGCCGCAGACATCGGCCTCCCGCCCATCGGCCCTGTCGCATCTACCGGCTACCTCGCCCCAACCCCAGGCGAGAGTTCGAGAGCACAGCACCAAGGCCTGAGCCCGTCGCCGTCGCAAGTATCCCTCCAGCCCGCGACTCCCTCCGCGAGGAGCGATGTTGGCCCTACCGAATACTTCCCCCCATTGCGCGACGCACCCTCCTTCCAACAGGGATCGCGGCCTACCTCGTCCTCAGGCTTCCCGGGCTTCTCGGGCGTCTACGACGAGCCTCCCACGCCTGGCTCACGCCGACCGAGCATTCGCATTCGCCGACGTGGTTCGTCGACCAGCTCGAGACCTAACAGTATCGCGGAACAAAACAACTTTCTCCGATCGCTTGCCGACAGTGGGAATCGGAGCACCAGCCATAGAAACGATGACTTTTCCGGGCGTCCACGTAGCATATCGCAGCCCGAGCGTACTCATATGGCCCCTGAGTCTTCGCACCTAGGCCGTGCCTCCAGGCGGGCGCCCCAGATCTCGATGCCCCGACTCACCGAGGAAGGGGCGCGGCCAACGATGGAGGAGCTGGGCCTTCATCAGGACGAGCCTCTATCGCCGGTTCGCTCATTACCAGAGCAGAATTTGAGCCGGCAGAGGACGTCGCCAGAGATGCCTTCCCAGGGCCCGATGTTGAGACGCATGCGTGCGGTCAGTCGCTTATTCAAGCCTGGCAAGCGCCAGGATGGGCAAGACACATCGGACGTGGAAGCAGCCAACGCACCACCGCCCCCATCGCGTCGCGGGAACCGTAATAGTCGTGTCGATGATGAGTATGATGAATTGTTGGTTGACTATCTTGACACTATTGGTAAATCCCCCCTCCCGGCTTCTCTGCAATATCCTTTGTTTGCTGTATTTCCTGGGACTAGGTTGCTAACATGTTTCAAGACCCGGAGATCCAGACCCTTTCCACCCTCACAAACGTCCAGAATTCACTCTTCATTCCCGATCTTGGCAGCTGGGTCAACCGCCGGCCAACTTACAACCTATCCCGAAATGATATTGACCCACGACTGCCAAGACCTGTAACTGCCACGGAACCGCCTGGGATACTTCCAGGGGAAAGGATCGAGCCTACTGACATGGCCGAAGACCAAGGGCCTCCTCAATTGGACCGTTCAAACACCATCTCATCACGACTCACAGATTCACATTACGCCGCTCTCCCACACGGCGCCAGCTTAGAAGGATGGACAGAGGACGAGAAGTGGGAACTAGATGACCATGTCCGCCATATGCTTCACTCACGGCGATCGAGATTCAAGCGTTCTATGAAGGGCTTTGGCCAGTACGTGAGACGCCCGCTCGGGTTCTTGGTCACCCTGTACGCGACACTCATCACCCTCTTTGGTTTGGCCTGGGTACTGTTCCTGATCGGGTGGATCTACGTTGGTGACAAGCAATTGTATGTCATCCATATCATTGACAGCGTACTTGTCGCACTTTTTGCCGTCATGGGTGACGGACTGGCTCCATTCAGAGCCATTGATACTTACCACATGATCTACATTGTCCATTACGCGCGCATCGTCAAGAAAGCGCAGGCAAAAGGTCGACCTAAACCCAAACGCAAGTGGTGGTGGCAGAAGAGCGAGCCTAAGGAGCAGCCCCAGGATGCAGCACCCGATCCCACTACAGCCCAGCTTCCGGAGGTGACGAGCCCCGAGACTGTCGATTCGCGAGACTCGGATAGCAAGAGCGAGCAGGATCCCCATACCCGGAGAAACAACATTGTCGACGTTGACGTCGAGGATGCCAGGTCAGGGATTGAGGTGTACGAAGATACGCCGCTGACGTACGCTCAGCAGCAGAAGCTGTACCACCACCAGACGAAGCTGGCCAAGTCCCACAGCTTCTACAAGCCCAACGAGACGAACACGCACTACGCCTTCCCGATCGACTACCTCATCGCCATCGTCATTCTCCTCGACTGCCATTCGTGCTTGCAGATCTCTCTGGGCGCCTGTACTTGGGGCATAGACTATCACGTCAGGCCTATTGCCCTCACCACGGTGATCCTCTGTGTCAGCATAACCTGCAACATCACCGCGGGGCTCATCATCACCATCGGAGACCGCAAGACGCGCAAGAAGGAGGTCTGGAAGCTCATGAACCGCCAGGAGCTGACGGGAGACGCGATGAAGCACATTGAGCAGAAGAGGACGACCGGGCAGCTGTCCCCCGAAAAGAGCACGGGGTCGGACTCGGATAAGGAGCCTTTGTCTCAGAAGGCGAAGCGGTTCGTCTCGCTCATCGTCGAGGAGCCGGAGAAGGAGAAGGAGATGGAGAAGGAGGCCGAGAAGCCGAAAGAAAACGGTGGTTCCAAGCAGCCCCGGCGGGTGGCGTAACGAGTCTCGATGTGACGGGAAAGCAAGGCGTCCAGGAAGCATGATGATTTATGTTTTTCTGTTGGAAAAATTCTTTTTATTCTTTTATGCCCCCCCCATCACTTACGTTGACGTATTCGGTCGCTCTGAGCGTTTTTAATATTGGATGACTGTTTTGGACAATACACATAGGATAGTTCACGTAGTTTTAATAAGTGTCCAGAGGCAAGGGTCGGTATAATACCCTATAGATGCCTTTGAGACACTTTTTTTTGTTCTGGAGATCATGTTCATTCATTCCTATGTTGAGCTATGTACACTGCTAAACAGACAATCGACACTGAAACGCAACAACAGAAAGGGAAAGCTAAGACACCAGGGAGTTGACGTAGTTCTCCAGGTTCGTGTACCCATTAGACGCAACGGCCATGCCGTCCGACTTGTCATTTGGGTTGAGCCCGTTGGCAGACTCCCACGCGTCGGGGATGCCGTCGCCGTCCGTGTCCGTGGGGGACGTGCCGCCGCTGATGGACCCGGGCCCGCCCATGGAGGCCTCGTCGGAGATGAGGGCGCCCTTGGTGCCGTACGAGCGGACCTGGTCGACGAGGGCGGCGTCGACGGCGTCGCGGGAGGGGAAGCTTGCGCCGGCGCTGTTGAGGACGACGGGGACGGCCTCGGTGGCGGTGTAGAGCTTTGAGGGGGCGGCGTAGTTGTAGGGGGACGCCTGGAAGTCGATGCTGGAGTAGCAGGTGTCCTTCTCGCAGAGGGCGGAGCCGTCGAGGGCGCCGTTCCTGTTGGAGTCGTAGAAGTTGTCCTTGACGTCTAGGATTTTTGTCATGTTATGTTAGCTGTTTATTGCTGACTAGTCAGGGAGGGGTTGGGGTTGGAGTTTGGGGTTTAGAGGGATGCTTACAGGCGTGGAAGTTGGCGTTGCCGCGGGTGAAGGCAGTGACGGAGGTTGAAGGGCCGGAGATGAAGTAGTTGTTGATGATGTTGGCGTAGCTTTGGCCGTCGCTGTCGCCGGCGATGTAGCCACCGCCGCCACCCCAGTTGTAAACGACCTGGATTATCCAATGTTAGTTTATACGTTTCTGTATATTTTGGTGCTTGGATGCTTACGTTGTTCTGGAAGTCGTTAACACCCTTAACCTTGGGGTTCCTGGTCTTGTTGTCAATGTAGAGGTTTCTGAAGAGACTGATGCCGCCATCGGTCTGCATGAGGCCACCGCAGGAGTGAGTCTCGAGACCCTGTGCGATGATGGAGTTCTGGACAGTTACGTCCTCGGCATCACCGCTGATGGAGAAGGTCTCGTCACGGCCCCACGAGACGCTGACATGATCGAAGATCATGCGCGCGCCTGAGGCGATGGTGATGGCGTCCTTGCCCGAGGAGCCGCCCTTGCCCATGCGGATGCGGATGTAGCGGACGATGGAGTCGTTGGCATCGGACCAAGACCAGCCATCGCCGTAGACGGTGATGCCCTGAGAATTTGTAAGTTCAGGCTGGAGAAATTCGAAAGGGGAAGGGGGAAAGAAACATACACCTCCGGGGGCAGTCTGGCCGGCAATATAGACGCCGGATTTGACGACAATCCGGGAGGAGATGTTGATGACGCCTCCAACCGTGAAGACGACGATGCGGTTGGACTGCGACACGGCATCACGGAGCGACCCCGTTCCGGAATCACTGACAAGTTTCCTTTATCAGCCATCTATAATATACCGTTCGTCCGGAATGGAAAGTTTCTTACTTGAGATTCGTCACCTTGTAGACCGAACCTGTGCGTCCGCCCTTTGCATAGCGGCCGAGACCCTCAGCGCCGGGGAAGGCAAGCTGCTGGCCGGCAACAGCGTTGAGCAGGAGCGCGAAGATGGGCAGCGACAGTTTCATGGTGGATATCGGACGGTCGTCTCACAAGAGTCTCGGGTGGTGACTTGAGAAGACCAAACAAGGGGGTTTCCTCCCGTCGCCGCCATTCTGGACCCCGAAACTCTCTTATATACCAAGCCTCTAACCAGGGTTCCCAAAAGAATGCCTTCCAGTTGAAGCTCCGTGGTTTTTACCAATCTGGAAGGATCCCAGTCTTGGTATTGCGGGTAAATGCATTGGCTTGTTTCGGGGATCCTTGTGTTTCGTGGGATTTCCGACCCGATTGGTGGAAGGGGGTCATGGAGCTGGGCAGGGATGTGTTTGTTTGGGGGAACTGAGATGCGAAACGACGACCGAGGGCCTGGATTTGAGAGACGGGACGGTCTGATTTATCCTCCAAGAGGATTGCAAGGGGATTTAATAAGACGCTTAAAAACCCGTCGGGACGAATGCTTCACAAAGAAAGGTGGCACAGGGTCAAGGTGGTTATGCTCTCCTGCTTTCACTACCAAGAGGCAAAACAGACGGTACACACATTGATAGAGAGGGTGAGATGAAGACTGAATAGTACGATATTGGGCAGTAAATGAACAAGGGTAGGTGAGTTTTCGATTTTGTTATTGAGGGGCTTCTCTGGGCTGTCCAACTTGAACCCAAGCGTGATTCTTGACCCATGTTGCAGGGCTGCTGGCTGCCCGAGACTGTCTGCGGGTATACGCGTCCAGCCTGTTTTATCATATAATCAGGCATCTATACTGGTTCGCCTGCTCCTGGCTGGTGGCGATGTGCCAATGGCAATGCAATCAGTGACACCGTGACACCCGGCGGCTCGGAGGTCGGCTGGATAAGACTAAATAAAACAGAAGATGGGTGTGAGTGGAACAAAGCTGTGAGACACAGAGTGCCCAATGACTTCTCCAGCATGGTTATACAGTTCTCTCTCTCCTCTTGCCTTCTCTCTTTCTGAGGAGCCCGTGTTTCTCCTCTCCCGGATAGGCTGCGAGTTACTCACTCAAGGACGAACTCGAGGGTTGCCACGCAAACAAATCTAGCGAGATATGTGAACGAAACCCAAAATATTTTAAAGTCTCGTGTGAAAAAGAAAAGAAAGACAGGCAACGAATAGACAGGGGATGCCAGTGCGTAAGGTCTGTACCAGTGGATGCGTTTAAGCATTGTTGCCGTGACACAAGAATCTCGACGGGCATTAGGGCAGACAACAGGCATACTTGCATCCGCGAGCGGGACGCTATCGATGGCATGAGAAAGCCACGGCCCTCTTTATGTGGGAGCAGATGCCCTATTTGAAGTTGAGCTGGCCCTTCTCCCCCAGGTTGCTCAATATCAGATGAGTTCATCCCACCTTCTTGCTCTGAATAGATCAGTCCCGACGAAGGACATCACTATTAGAAAGGTAGGACAGATACCTACCTACCTACGCCCTTACGCACACATCTATTAACACTAACATGTCCCAGCCGAGGACAGCCAGTACCCAGAAAGAGACCCAAAGAGAACGGGGTTTCCCAAAGAGAACGAAAGGACCGATTCGAAAAGACTAAAGCAACGACAGCAAAGCAAGACGCAACAGGACAAGACCTCAGCCATGTGCAACTGGAACACTTACACATTCGACTGTGGCTGCATGTCGATGGATCTGCGATCGCGATGCCAGCGCAAGCTCGCCGACGACGAGCTGGACCCGTGCTTCTGGATGCAGCGCGTCAGCGACAAGTGGAGATTCCACCAGCAGAGGATGTGCGACGGCTGCAACTACCGGCTGATGCACGGCGAGTACGTGCCGATGAGGAAGCAGACCAGATGGAGCGATATTCGGGCGAGAGCGCATGAGATTGCGTGGCTCATGGCGAGGGCTAGACAGCTGGGCTGATGGGGCCAAGAGGTTTTTTTAATCTCATAATAATGGCTTAAACTTGATCTCTGGAAATTGCCTACGAGAAATGGTGAGAAGAAGACGAGTGTCTGGTGTTGGAAATGCAAAAGTACACGAATAGGAGAGAAACAAAAAAATCGGTGGTCGTCTAGCGAGGAAGTGAGGTTTTCCAGCAAGCGAGGATCAAGTCAATAGCTACAGGTACCAATCAAGTTATAATTGAATCCTCGCCCTACAGCCCTACAGGCAATGTAACGGAAACGCAGTTGCTGTGACCTCATTATCAACTGGCTGTCGGATAATAAGAGAGAAGAGGCATGTGAAGAGACACGCGACTGCGCATGCAATTGTGGATACAAATCGCAGATGGAGAGAACGAGAGAACGTAGATCCTGGACTAGGTACTTAGAAATGGCCTGCCGCAAACTGCCCTATCAACAAGCCAGACAAAAAAATAAGACTCTCTTTTCTCTCCTGGAAACGCAGAGTCCGTAATCGATAAGTGCCTCGTTAAACTGCCCGGTGAGGTCACTGTTACCTGTTACCGACGTCTCGCTAGCAGGGGCCCCTATTAAGGACCCCTAAAAAGATCCTGCCGCGCGGCTTCACGCCTGTGCGATTTGTGATGTTGGCTGCATCGCGTAACTGCTCCTCGCAGCTGGCGGTAGAACAAGACCACGAACAAGCACCCGAGCAAGAACTATCCGAAGCAGAATCCTGGCACTACGACCTCGTCCATACACACTTGACACACGTCTGGCAGAACCAGGCCCCTGATTAAGAGCAGCCGCAGCACTCGACGGCCCCCCACCCGCCCCTCTAAGTCTAGCGCGGCATTGGCCAGTTGCGACTTGGCACAGCGGAATTATTCTGGGTACAAGGGAAAACACCATCTGTCAGTGCTTGACCCCTTCATAGGCCTGGCATCCATCTGGTCCTCGACGTATCTCTCCCGCCTCCATCGTCATTCCTTCCTTTGCCATACTTTCTCTTATATTCACCATTTTCAATTGCGCCTCCTCCCCTATATATTCCCTCATACCAGCCTGATCTCGACATACGCCTTCCATTCCGCTTCGTGGCCTGTCACCATCCTCAACCCCTTGTCCGCCGCAAGCCATAGCGGGCTTCCATTATGGCGTTAGGGAGGACGAGATGGCTGGTGGTGGCCCTCGCCATCGTCACCACCTTCTACGTATTTCACAGCTCCCTCCTAAACGTCAACTTTAGCTCTGGGTCCCATGGCCTGCCGAAGCCCCTCGCCCCCGTTCCGATACCAGAGCCTGACAAGACGTATCTCTGGCGCAAAGTCGAATACCACAACCCCGTCGAGTCCTACCGACCGCTCCCCGAACCACCAACCGCTTCCTTGCCTCGTGTCCAGGCCAAGTTCTACACTGGCGGATCCAGCCAGGAGAGCCGTCGAAATGCGATCAAGGATGCATTTGTCAGTGCCTGGTCGACATACAAGCACCATGCGTGGTTGCGCGATGAGGTCACGCCTGTCACCGGCAAGCAAAAGGATACATTCGGCGGATGGGGCGCCACCCTGGTTGACTCCCTCGACACTCTTTGGATCATGGGTTTTGTCGACGAGTTCAACCAGGCCGTCGACGCCATCGACCGCGAGATCACCTTTGAGAGTACCAACCTGAAGGAGGTCAACATTTTCGAGACCAACATCCGATTCCTCGGCGGACTCCTCTCTGCCTACGACCTCAGCGCCGACCCACGCCTGATCAAGAAGGCCCGCGATGTTGGTGACATGTTGTACAAGGCCTTCGACACCCCCAAACACTTGCCCATCGCCCGCTGGAACCTGAAGGCTGCCGCCCAGGGCACGAAGCAGGACGATTCCTTCCTACTTGTTTCCGAGTTGGGCTCTCTGTTCCTGGAGTTCACCCGACTGAGCCTTTTGACCAACGACCCCAAATACTACGACGCTATCCAGCGCATCACCGATATGTTTGCTGAGGCGCAGATGACCACCAAGATCCCGGGTCTGTGGGCTCACGGCACCTCGCCTGCTGAGGGCAAGGTGGACCTCGCCAAGGACTACTCTCTTGGTGCTACGTCCGACAGCTTGTACGAGTACCTGATCAAGATGACAGCTTTGCTGGGCAACACCCAGGGCGTCTACGGCGACATGTATGGCAAGAGCGTCGAGGCCATTATGAAACACCTTATCTACCGGCCCATGACCCCCAACGGTGACGATATTCTTTTCTCGGGGTCTGCCCAGTCGGTCAAGAACAAGAAGGACGGTTCTCCAGAGATTAGGCTCGACACCACCGCCTCCCACACGGCATGCTCCGCGGGTGGTATGTTCGCCCTCGGCGGGCGCTTGCTGGCGAACGAATCCCAAGTCGCTACCGGTGCCAAGCTCACTACCGGGTGCGCCTGGGCCTACCAGAGCATGATCTCGGGCGTGATGCCCGAATCGCTCTACTTCAGGTCCTGCCCTTCTCTGGAGCCCTGTCTCTGGGATGACTCTAAGTGGCACGAGGGTATCATTAAGCAGACGTCCAGCAGAGACGTGAAGAAGACCATCCTGGAAGAGCGTCTTCCCAAGGGCATCACGCGCATTACGGACTCTCGCTACCTCCTTCGCCCTGAAGCCATTGAGAGTGTCTTCATCTTGTTCCGCACCACCGGTAACTCGCACTGGCGGGACGTGGCCTGGGATATGTGGCAGGCCATCGATAAGCTGACAAGGACTAAGCTGGCAAACAGCGCAGTGCGCGATGTCAACCCTAAGGGGGAGAAGACCCCTCAGGAGCTGGAGGAGGAAAAGAAGGAGGGCAAGACCACCGACAAGGACAGCGAGACTGACAAGGATGTGGCCGGCAAGCTGGACTCCATGGACAGCTATTGGACGGCGGAGACCCTCAAGTACTTTTACTTGATCTTCTCCGAGTCGAGCCTCGTTAGCCTGGACGACTGGGTGTTTAATACGGAGGGGCACCCCTTGAGAAGGGCGCAAACACATGCGTGAAAAGAAACGAAAATACTAAGTTATGTTTTTGTATAAATCACATTTTCAACAAAAAAAAAAGGCGACATAGCCACGAACAAAGTCCTATACGAAATTGACGCTTGGAGTCTTGTATGTTTGCTTCTTCAGCAGGTTATTGGTGGTCATAAACATGGTGTGAAGGTTGGTTCCGAACCGTGGATATACAGAAGAGTCATATTATGAATTATCAAAATTGGTTAATACACACTTGAAAGACACGCTTTATTCTTTATATATCCGTTCGTATTTGCTAACATTTGGTAAGTTTCCTCCCCCCCCCCCCTTTTCATAAATTTTCACATATATACCCCCGACTACGTTCGTGTTTCGCACACTAATAGTCAGTGCCGCGGATGACATCCTTCCACTCTTCCAGGATACCCTCGGTCTGCTTGATCTTGCCACGGATAGTCTCCTCGCAGTCCGTCCCGAGGACGATCCTCACGGGCAGCTTCTTCCCCTCGGCGACACCAGTGCCCGTCAGGATGTCCACGATGGTCTTGCCCCCCTTGACGACATCGCCGGGCTGGTTGCCGTCCGTGGTCAGCAGCGCGGCGCGGACCTGACCCGCCGCCGACGACGGGTCCTCGTAGGCGGGCAGGCGCTCCTTGGAGACGACCTTGGCGCCCGGGTTGAGGAACCCCGTGCGGAAGTAGCCCGGCTCGACGACGGTGGCGCGGATGCCGTAGCTGGCGACCTCGGCGGCGAGGGACTCCATGAGCGCGGAGCAGGACCACTTGGTCATGGCGTAGACGCCGTAGGTGGGGCCGCCGATCCAGCTGCCCAGGCTGCCGAAGGCGACGAGGGTGGCCCTGGTTCCTGTGTTGTCGAGGGGCGGCTGGGCGCGCAGGTGGGGGAGGAACGCCTTGATGGTGGCGACGGCGCCGAAGACGTTTGTGTTGAAGGCGTCGAAGATCTCCTTGGGGGTGGCCTCCTCGATGGCGGCGTCGAGGATGTAGCCCGCGGCGTTGATGAGGTAGTCGACGCGGCCGAAGCGGGCGATCACGTCGTCGGCCACGGCCTTGAGGGTGGCCGGGTCGGCGGTGACGTCGAGGGCGAGGGTGTGGGCGCCGGCGTCGCGGAGGTGGGCGATGCGGTCCGCGTTGCGGGCGGTGGCGACGACAGTGTGCCCGCGCTGGAGGGCCTGGAGGGCGATCTCGCGGCCGAAGCCGGAGGAGGCGGCGGTGATGAACCAGACTGGGGTGGTCATGATGTCTTGTAAGCGTGTAAGTGAGGAGGTGGTGGTGATGGATCTGGTGATGAAGCAGGTATATCAGATTTTTGAATTCTTGAAGAAGGAACAGTCAAGAGTAGTCAATTGATGCCGATGATTGTATTTTATCTTCATTTTGTCCCATTATTGCCTTCATTTATATACTTTTCCTCTTGGTTGAGGTTCCGGCTAGTGTAAGCTTAAGTCCGAGGAAGCCCTTGGCGATTTGGAGTTTACGGACCTGATAATAAAACTGGGCTAGTTGACCGTAAGTGGGCTGCATTAGAGCGTAAGCGCCCTGCATGTAATGGATCGATGTATCGTCCGAGCACCTTTATTTAGGGCTGGCAGTCTGGGGCGGCATTTGGGTGGTGGAATGTGACATGAACCCGGAGATGACGTCTGACCTTGATCTCGAAGCGAGGTTCGTCCACCGCAAACAGTCAGTCCGAGCACCGAAAAATCCGAGGCCCTGGAAATGCAACTGTGATTAACAAGCGATCCAGCATGTCTTGCAGACAGAACAACAGTTTGAGTCTGGAAGCAAAACGGTTACCCTCAACCTCAATCATGTTCTGGCTGAGGCATAGCACTATCACACGCTGGGAATGACCCCTCACTGTCCAACTACAAGCGAATGTCTCTTCTCTCAAATCAACAACTCCGGGCTTGTCTTTGCCTCGAATGACAGACTGCTCTCTTATCCGGCAAAATAGACCTCTCCCCTCGGGCCCAATCAGACTGATGATCATGGGCTCTATCGTCCAGCTGCGTGATCCCTGGATAGGAAGGTAGCGGTGATAATCAAGCAAGACAATTGCATGGGCCATCTCTATCCCCTCACTAGCCGCTCATGCTTCTGAGCGAGCCCAAGTCTATTCCGCGCTCTCTCCGCGTGCTTCATCACCAAAGGAGGCCAATTCAATAGAAGAACATACCCGTCGCCCACAATGATCATCCAGAAGCTCATCTTTCTCGCATTGGCGCACCCAGCAGCCCTCGCCGCGGCCGCCCCCTCCTCGAAGGCCCTCCCCTTCGTCATCAACACCTGGGGCGGCCCCTTCACCGCCGCCACGGACGCGGCCTTCCTCGCGCTGCACAGGTCGAATGGCTCGGCCACGGCCCTGGACGCCGTCGAGATCGGCTGCACCACCTGCGAGGACAACCAGTGCGATGGCAGCGTCGGCTTCGGCGGCTCGCCCGACGAGGATTGCGAGACCACCCTCGACGCCATGATCATGGACGGCACCACCATGAAGTCGGGCGCCGTCGCCGCCCTCCGCCGCGTCAAGCACGCCGCCTCCGTCGCCCGCGCCGTCCTCGAGCACACCTCCCACACCTTACTCGCCGGCGACCTAGCCACCGCCTTCGCCGTCCAGAACGGCTTCGCGGAGGAGGACCTCACCACCCCGGCCTCGTTAGAGAAGTGCACGTCCTGGCGCGCCGCCAGTTGCCAGCCCAACTACCGCCTCAACGTCTCCCCGGACCCAGAGGCCTCCTGCGGGCCGTACGCGCCCCTGAGACAGCTCGCAACGAGGATCGATACCCCCCAGGCCTCCCACGACACCATCTCCCTCATCGCTATCCACCAGGACGGCTCCATGGCGGCGGGCACCTCCACCAACGGCGCCTCGCACAAGGTCCCCGGCCGCGTCGGCGATGGCCCCATCACGGGTTCCGGCTCCTACGTCGACGGCGACGTGGGCGGCTGCGGCGCCACGGGGGACGGCGACATCATGATGCGCTTCCTGCCGTGCTACCAGGCCGTCGAGAACCTGCGGCGGGGCATGGCGCCGAAGGAGGCGGCCGAGGACGCCGTGCGGCGCATGGTGAGAAAGTACCCCGAGGTGTCGAGCGGCATCGTCGTCGTCGACAAGGACGGGAACCACGGCGGCGCTGCTAGCGGGTGGACCTTTACGTATGCCTACCGCGGAGGGTCTATGAAGGAGACTGTGGTTGTTTCGGTCGAGCCTGTTGAGAGTTTGCATCGGGAGCTGTAATCGGCCCCGATATGCATTGTATTTCACATGCGAGCGTGTCCAAATGTGAAGATGGCCATCACAAAACTGGCCTAATAGAAGTCAAGTAATTGTATTCAAAATCTTGCTACTATCTAGTGACTGTAGAAAATCTCATCGGAATTTAAAATATGCATTTGATGAGAAAAAATTGAGATACTCCTGTAAGTTCAATGTAAATCTTGTTCTCATCTAAACTGTCATGACCCAACCAGGGTCGAAACGCCAATAATGCAAGAAAGATGGAGGAAAGTATATCCAATAACCATCCATCTGTAGATCCCTTTCCTAATTTCTGAATGATAAAAGCCCCGGTGAGATAAAGTCTCGATGCAAAATATATGTAAGCCAAGAAGGTATTGTCAAGGCCAGAGCGCGAAAGCAAGTGCGAAACATTGGAGCTGAGAGCTGGAAAAGACCAAAACGCAAAGTACAGATAACATCATTGGGCGCCATGTTGATGGCCATATTATACGCGGACCTCGCTTCTGCTCTTGTTGTCCTTGAACAGGGCTTTGAGCATATTGCTGCCCTGTCTGTGGATCTTGGGCCGGAAATCAAGATCGTCGTCGCCTCTTTGACTGCGCCCATCCTCAATGAGCCTGGGAGTAGATCGTTCTCTTCTGGTGCTAGACGTCTTCCTGCTCCGCTCACTGCCAGCGACACTTTCGGCTGTGTGATGCCGGGTGCTTCTGCGGTCAGAGTCATCCTCGCGCCTCGACCTTGAGGTCTTGCTTGTCTTGCTTGTCTTGGCGGTCTTGGTGGTCCCAGTGGTTCGTGTACTTCGTCGGGACCGGACATCGAAGTCATCGTCCTTCATCGACTTTGTCGCACGGTCGGCTGTCGGAGTAATCAGCTCTAGATCGGCGCTCTCGTCATCGCCGTACGCAGGAACACCCCGCATCCACGTCTCGATAGAGCTAAGCTCGTCATCTACAATGAGAGCTTCGTCCACACCAAAACTGTATTCACTCTGCGTCCTCATAGGCGCAGGGCGATTCATTGGCACGCCCTCGTATGCCATGGCCTCCCTGGCGGCAGCTTGCTCCTTCACCCTCTTCACGATCTTCCAGCCACCAAACATAATGACGGTCAGGCCCACGACGGCGCCGGTGCCAATCATGAACTGCGGCGAGGCCAAAAGACCCCAGACGGCCGGGGAACCGCCCTTGAGCATGGCAAGAACCGCCGGGGAAGCCTTGGTAACAACCTTGGAAAGCTCGGCAAGCGTGCATGCCACCGCCGCAGCTGCATCTGGGTTCGTCTGCAGGTGGGCGATGGTTTTCCCAGCCGAGTATTTCAGGCAGTTGGCTTCGACCAGAAGGCCCTCGACCCTCTTGGTCAGAGCCTTCGCTTGATACTCATCTCCATAGACCGGATCGAGATCATAACGTTCCTGCAGGTCAGGCGGGAGCTCACCATAAGCGAGGTTCATGTCAATCTCCTTGGCGGGAGCTCGGATCAACTGGCGGTCTTGGTCGTATGGGCTATGGCTACCGACCTCTGAATATGATGCCCGTCGAGTTAGGGCAGTCGGCGGTGGCCTGCGTTCCGATACCGCGAGGTCGCGCATCTGCGCGTTTGTCACATCCATCTTGGACAATGCCATGGTCTCGGCGTAGGGCCGCTGGTAGGTCGAGGGAGGTGGCCTGCTGGGTGCTGTGGCAGAGACCTGGGTCATGGCTTTGAGGTTTTTCTCAGTCAGAGCTGAGCCTCGGCTTGTGGTGCTACCGCCATACTGGCTCTCCTCGTCGTCACGGCGATGTGTGCGCTTGGAGACTACGCTCTTCGATCGGCGGCTGGTTCTCCTGGAGCTTGCCTCGCTTCGTGCGTCATGACCTCGGTGGCTGCGTTCCTCGCGGTATCTATAGTGGTGGTCGTCATCCTCCTCCTCTGCATAGTCATGGTGATGGTGGTGGCGGTGAAGGCTTCGGGTGCTTTGGTTGACGTTTTGGTCAAAGGTTGCCGCGCGGGTGAGCGCCCGGTCCGATTTGAGCTGCGACCTCTTGTCCTTGTAGGCCTCTTGCGCTTCCTTGAAGACTGAGAGGAGAGTTTTACCCTGCGACACAGGTTGGTTAGCTATTTGGAGGGGCGCAAAGGGATGTGGTGAACGAGGAGCGGGGCCGTACCGTGCCAATAATCTTGCCCGAGTTGTTCAGAATGGTGACAGTCTGTTGGAGAGGCATCTTGCTTGCTACTCAGCTCAACGGCGAACCGATCGGCGCTGAGAAACAGTCCAAGGCGGTAGATATAAATGTGACAAGCCGGCCTGCAGCGTCTAGAACAAAAATAACTCTGCGAGGGCACTGCGCGCACTGCAAAGCTTCCCCCCAGCGAGAACGGTTGGGGCCAAGCGAGCCAGAGTGACGGTGAGAAAACCGGCTGGTAGTCCACAGAGATCTGCTGCTAGTGCTGTTTAGTATAACTTCACAGTCCCCGCCAGCAGAAGGGGAGCAGGGTTATGTCCCTGTTGAGGGAACCCACAGTGAACTGATCAGTGATAATGCGATGGATGCGCAATGGGCTGACCCTTTTTTTCCCTTTTGCTAGCGAACTAGCTTATTGTAGCCGGGGTCAATTAGGGACCATATGGATTTTGTCGGTCAAGAAAGCAGGAGGTGGGAAGGATGGAGCCAAGTAAGTCGTGGTGGTGGTAGGAACAGGGAGGTGAACCGAAGGCAACAGAATCGGGTATCTCGGTTCTCAAGTATCAGCAGTGCAGTCAACAGAAGCTTGGGAAGGTGCGACCTTGGCTATCTTATTCTTTCCTAGTTGGCAGGATGCGGCCTGAAGCAGTCTTATAAGTAGAAACAGGCACTTGGGGGCTAGTCAAATGCACACCTATCGCTGTCTTGATCTGTGTGATGGCAGCCCAATCACCTCAGCTATCACACGCTGCAGAGAGTCCGCCCTGGGAGTCTGGCTCGATCCTCAAACATTCAGGCATGCGCACCGCACCCGCAGACGCACCGCACACCCTCCCTCCCTCCCGGGCCCAGGCGACACGCCGAGGTCGTCGTCACCGTTCCAGCCACTGAGGCAACCCGCCGTACAGGGCACCCGGACTGCCTGTAGCCAGCGGGTACGTACCGCCTCGCTGCCCACGGTGGAGCGACGGCCTGCCTCCTCCCGCTCCCTGCTGCTGCCTCTGCCTCCTGCTGTTGAAGCCCAGAGAGACCATCCCACTCTGCCTCAGATCCCGATTGGACGCTGGCAGCCAGTTTCCTCCCCCGTTAGGCGCTTGCGCATGGCCAGGTTGTGACTGGACGCCAGACTGACAAGTGGTACCTGCGACACCCTATGAAAATTGGCGGGGCTGGCAAGTACCCACGGCTAACTCAGACAGTCGGCGACAAGGCAGGACTACTGCGAATCCCCCGTAGTCCTGCCCAGTCGTCTCTCGATGCCCTGCATGAAGGTCACGACGGTTGTCTTGTCAAACGCCCAGGCCTGTTGGGCACCCACTGGAGCTAAGGTGAGCCAAGTGCACCCAAAACGCTCACCCGCGTCTCCCCGGCCTCGCTCGCTTGGTCATCGTCGGTGGCTGACGAGGTGAGTCTGCGCGAGAGCCTGACGAGCCCCGGGGAGGTGGAATCGGCGAGATTCTGGGAGTGGAAAGACATCACCAAAGTCCCACGGTATTGGACGGGGAGGGAGGGGAGGGGCTTGAACCAAAGCGGATCAGCTGGACAGGTATCTCAGCGTCGTCCGCATGCCCACTCCACGTCTTTCATCAGCTTGGCATGCCCATTCTTGTTATCTGTGAATGGACGGCAGGGTGGATGCCTTCACCAGTGGCGACCCAGTACCGCCAGCATGCATTTCTGGTCAAGACTGATTTGGTCGCCTCCTTCATCTCTGTCCATGTGCTATGCACGCATCGAGTAAAGGCTTAGTCCGTCTGATCGTCTCGACCTTCGTTGCGGGTACCTACACGCGCGTTATCGCCTTCACGCGCGGCGCAGGGCTACGGGTCCGATGCTCAGCGTGTCTAAGCAAGGAGAGTACTCGGATTTGTATGGAAATGGATGTCCTGATCCAATGGAGTGGTGGTTTGATCATCGCCAACGCATACATCCGCACACGCCGGCTCGCCATCCGCCACCACCCAGTCCCTACCTCCGAACATCCTACTTCCTAATCAGACCCTCCAATTGTGGCTTTCGTAAATCACCCCGGCCGTAATACTCAATCATTATGAAGTGATGCTACGGAACATTCGACTCTTCGGTGGGAAGAGTCCCTTGCTCACGGTCCGGTCGTTCCGTTCCCGCACGTGAATTTTCGAGATGAGATCCGAGACACGGCGAAATATCTCCGTCGTCATCCTGCAGCTACAGAAAGCATTATTACGCTCAACTACATGTTATATCCAAGAATGCATCTTTCGATGCGTCTCTAGGTAAGATTTGACGCACCCAGAATCGGATGCAAGGTTACCCCTGACATCATCGGCGCGCTGCATAACACACCCTGACCGTTAGGGAAAGCTTGCAGCCGTGAGCTTTGGGGAAGGCCCCATTCTTAATACCCATCAGTCCCTTGATTTTTGTGAAACGGCGGAAATTTCCTGGTGTTTGGGTTCGTGATCATAATAACCGATGCCACCGCCAGCGGTGAATGGAAGCCATGCGAGGCGGTCTGGTACCAGCCTCCGTCTTAACACGAAGGGGCCGCAACCGGGAGAACACCCAGCCATTCCTGTCACCGACTCGTTGGTAAGCCTTGTATGTATATGCACGGGATTTATGATAGATCGTTCCTGGGCTTGGCACAAAATGCCATGCTCTCCTCTCTTCCCCCTCCCCTCCATGCGTGAGCTATGTACATGCACTCACATACATCAACATGCAGTAGGAGCAATGTCCAATGACATAGGTGACTAGAGACTCGCAACAGAATGACAGGTCTCACCAATGGGCCTACCAGTTAGAATGATGCAGTCATGTACAATTACGTGAGAGGCAGCATCAGCACCACTTTTCGACGACGGTCTAAATCCAACACACTGGTCCAACTGGCTGACAGGTAACCGATATTTCTGCCCAACACTTAGCATCGGGCCAACTCACACCCCCCGAGGGAACGAGAATACGGTCTGGTTGACGCACTGGAAAAGACGTCTCGTGATTAGAGTCTCATTCATCATACGCCTGAATGAAGCCTAGCTTGGATGTTTACCACTGCCTTAATCGTCTGGCTGCATCCATTGATATCTGACTCCACCTATGAAGCAGTTCGGTATAGTTGCCTTTTTGACGCGCATATAATAATTATGTCATTTTGGAGAGGTTGAAACATAGAAAAAGAAATGAAGGTTAGAGCGAATTTCTTTTCATAGCAAGTATCTAGGTTTCATGTCAAGTGACCTGAGAAACCATCCTACGTAGAAAAGTTGATGACGTGCTACTACTTCAAACATGCAAGCAATGGCACTTTATGCGGGCTTCTCAGTAACTCATACATGCTAAAATCAAAGATGCCATGCAGTGCTGTATTATTTGCCTGTGCATGTCTGGTTGTATACATATTCGATATCGGTATCAATACCGTTTTGGAATCAATTCTTGATGTTGTATCATCTAGAGTTCAGAAAAGAGGATTTCAAATAGAAACTGAATATAGGAAAAAGAGTTGCAGTCATCTCCATTCAGCTTTGGCGAGGTGTTGTAGGTCAGGCTAAAACTGGCATGAGTTTTTGTCTCGCGCAACCCGCCCATTTACAACTTTGATTGGGTAGATCGCCAACGCCAGTTTCACGGATCAAATGACATCTACATCTCTAAAATTAACTTCATATTGGCATTGCTCTCTTTCCTGAAGAAAGACCAGGCAATGGGACCTGAGTGTCTTCCTTAAGCGCACATAGCCAATCCGCTACCAGTTTCACTCATTGACTCTGGTGGTAAAAGGTGAGCCATGGTTCTTTCTGAAATTGATTGACCTCATTGGCAATTTGACGAATGAGTGAGTCTCTGAGAGCACAATGAGTATGGCGGTAAGTGAATGCACCCCAAGTGGCTGTCGGAAAAACAAGGACTGCAAAGTCGCCTCGATAGAATTATTATGGTAGTCAGTCGTATGATATTACTTCTTATTGTTTCTTATTATGTGATAGTAAGTAGATAATATTGCCCAATAATGACTCAACAATTTATTATTATCACCTATTATCTATCGATATCGTGACCTGTGTTAGAAAATTGGGAGAAGGCATCTTCATAATCCCTGTTATTCTGACGCCCACTTGAACCTACTCGCGCGTGACAGCAGCGCCCTTTAGTCTGGAACTCATCGAAAACACCCACTCGCCAACTCCCCTTGGTAGCCATCATACTAGAGAAGCTAAAGTTCATAAGTCGGTGATAAAAAAATCTCTTTTTTTACATTCAATCCACCTTCCACATACATTTGCTACTTGGTCATATACGGCGAGGCCAAGTATCGACTCAGATCTAAGGCAATACTAGTTCTAACTTCATAGCGTTTCTGATTCTGATTCCAGGCGAATCTCCCTAGTTCCCTCAAACTCTAGCCTTTTTTCTCTCTCTAAAGGTACGGGGATCACCACTTGACTACCAGATGGCTGGCCATATTTCCGGTTCGCGAACATGTTTAAAAACGATTAGCATAACTATCAACTTCTGGGACCTGGAACCCTGAAATGAATGAACAAGATACTAGGCAGACTTGTGGGCTCACTTCGAAGTTTAACAAAATGGAATACCCCTAGCTTAGTATAAATGGAAAAGGCACGCTTCTTGTACTGTCTCCTTTTGCTTGCGGAACTTCATGAAAAACGTATGGGTCCACGGCCGCGACCGCAAACTTCTGGCTCTTGCCAATTATATGACAAACACCTTTAGTCAATTGTGCCCATCTGCCTCGAAACAAACTACTAATCCTTCACTTCTCTTGTTGGTGCGCTATAGGTTGACAGGATCGAATGGTGTAGTCACCCTACAACGTATCAAAGGGTTCTCGTCCAGATCTTGCAGGCAAGTCGCCCTCAAATCACCGTCCCTTTCGGCGGGAGACTATAGATCGAGGCATACATATATTCAGCTAAATCGTTGAGCTTGTTTTGTACCACAGTAGCATACTCCTTTACGTGGACGGGTCCTTTGCGTACTGAAAACCTACCGAGACCAAATATATGTGTCGACCACTAGATTTCTCGGCTACGTTCCTTCAAGCCTTAGCCCACTGCGTGATGACCGCAGCTTGGATGAATTACCAGGTATACCGTATTCATTAAAGCGTTCCTGGCCAGTGAGATACGCTTGAAGAGTATTTCGGTCGTGTTTCGATATATCGTGGAATAGTCTTAATCATGACACGTCGTTTGACATCGAGCTCAAGGCAGTCTCAGATAAGTGAAAAAGAGCATATCTTTTGGTCCTTTTTTTTCTTCTTGGTGCCGAGGCATTCCCAGTGGAGTGGAATTTGGAGCTCCTTGGAGCTCGGCTTGATCTTTAGTTCTTCAACAATCGCAACACCGCAGTTTCAACAATGGTAACGCAGTGTGTGGTGAGATGTCCATGTACGACAAGGACAAGCTCCGCGCTCTGTCGTCACAGTTTATTTCCTCTGGTATCCTTCCCGTGGATCCCTAAGCCGTTCTGTTTGCCAAGGAAGTGCCGGGTACCAGGATTGCACGGGACTGGCAAAGATGATGGTGATACCATAACCTCAGCAATCAATTACGAGTTCATGATGTGACTTTTACATCCTGTACGATGTGGTAAATCGAGCCACCAATTTTGGCGCGCCCAGCGGTGAAATGGTGATATCGAACGATAATAGTTCACTGCTCATTTGATTAGGTCATCTTGCGCGTGTATTGCAGAAGTCAGCAAGAGACCCCGATAATCAAGGGCACTCTGGTCACTACTCCTACCGTACGCACTGACCAAAGATGTGATTTCTTTTTTTTTTTTTTTTTTTTTGGAAACATTACATAGGCTGGCCCCTTTTCTTGGTTCGGTGGCCAATATGAACTTGCCGATATCCTGTGAGTAAATAGCAACGAGTGCACTCAATACAATCCTAGCAGAGTCGTTCTTTATGTTCCTTTTTCTCGATCTGTAGCTCTGGTAGCCAGGCAGATCCCATTCTCTCAAGTTAGCATGGATGTCGCCAGCCACCAATTACAAGCTAAAACAGCGACTGGGTATTCGGGGTCGGGCGTGGGCGGGGATTTGCAAAACAAGTATGCAGGACAAACGGCACACATCACCCTTGACGCACCCCGTTCAATGCTCTTTGCTTTTGCATCGTATTGACTGCGCCACGGCGGCTTCTGGTGTGTTCATGTTTGGGGTGGCTGCCATCTCCTGGCCTGCTCCTCCATTCTAAGCCAATGAGCCAGCCAAATAGTTCGGCATTGGGGACAGATTCTTGGTCGCGGCCAACCACCCTTTCGTAGCGTATCAGCAGGGACGCTAAACGCGATGTTTGGCACCAAGGGGAAGACTAGAGGCCACTAGTGCTCCTGCAGCACAATTTCCAAGCGAATGTTGCTGAGACGTTCATGGTCTTGCGCCACTCTCCCAAGCAGCTCTTTCTCTCAAGCCAGGGATCAACCTGATTCAGCCCTGCAACTACCGTAGCAATATGGAATAGGGGACTTGCGAAAGCTCATCTGCGATCCCTGCTCAAACGGCAAGGCCAATGAGGTGCTGCAGTTGTGCTTACATGATAGGCAAATCGTAACCTGCAGCTGGTCGAAAGTAAGACCACGTGATTTGGGCTTCTTAGATCGGGCGACAGGCCAATCAGAGGGCGCATCTAAAATTACTCTCAGCCATGCCGTTTCGCTCCTAGCCGGGCACATCAGCCCGAATCGTACAGGGGAGGAGACGCTATCAGACGTGCTACGACCCAGCCCCGGAGAGATTTTGGGACTTGCACGGCAACCCCTGGGGCTGAGATGCACAACCAAAGGGCTGGATCGGCCCCATTAACCACTGGCTGGTCGCGATCGAAGGCGGCCTTTTCGAGCTAGCCAGCTAACTCCGTTCCGTGCTTATGGATTGGCCCTCCCACTGGTGGGCTTGGTCCAATCAAGCCTGCAATTCTTTCCTGCCGTACGCTCCCGTCCCCTGGCTTGTGCACCCAGAGAAAGCCCTCGGCGCCACGGCTCAGCTCTCCTTTCCTTTTCCTTCCACCACCCATCATATACCAGCACATTCGTTTTGATAGAGAACGTACTGCGAGCGCGCGCCTAATCTCGGTTGGACCTGGATTCTTAGCTTGAGCCAGAGGGATAACATTCGCTTGCTCTCGTTTCTCCCCTTGTGTGCCCAGCCTACCACCCATACCCCCACCTGTATACCATTTGGTGGCTCTCTGAGTATTAGAACCGATCATGGCTCGACGAAATGTACAGTGGACCGCGTCGCTGCTCTGCGTGTTCCTCTTTGCCGGCTCAGCCCTCGGTCTCGAGAATGACTTTAGCTTTTACCCCAAGGGCGCGCAGAGCTGTCTCACCCAGGCAGCAAACCAGTCGAAATGTTCAGGAAGTGACGCAGCTGCCATGAACACCTGCCTTTGTGGCAATGGGGGGAACTTCATCACCAATGCCGCCGCGTGTATTGGAAAGAACTCGTCCGGCGATGTCAAGGACACCTACGACGTAATGCAGAAGGCCTGCTCGACCTCAGGCACCCCCATGGAGGTCAGCCAGGCCGACTTCATGTCTGCAGCATCTGGAACCACAACCACCAAGACGACCTCGACGACAAAGACAACTTCATCCTCGACCAAAACGGCAACTTCTACTGATGCTGCCACCACAACAACCAGCGCCCAAGCAACCGCTACTACCACCTCACCAGCCGAATCATCCTCAAGTTCTAGCGATAAGGGAGGTCTGTCCCAGGGTGCGACCATTGGTATCAGTGTCGGTGCTTCTGTTGGGGGCGTCGCCATCATTGCAATCATCGCCTTCATCCTCTTCCGTCGCTACCGTCGCCGTGGCCCTGAGTCGGACCCCATGCTTCCAACCCGCACCAACATGCCGACGGCCTATCCAGAAGGGGGATTTGCTAGCTACAATGACTTCAAGTCTCAAACTCACAGCCCGGCCCCTACTGCGCCAACTTCAATCGCGACCCCCGCCTCGTGGGTTACTCCTTCGACGCCGTCATTCCAGGGCCAACCGCACCCGGCATACGCACAGCACGGAGGATATGCGCAACATCAACCTCCGGTGGCAGAGCTGGCATCGGATGCGTTGCCTGGGAACACCACATTTTCGGCAGTGGAAATGCCCGGATCAATTCCTCAGGGACGGAGGTGATGTGTTGTTCTGAGCGAAGGAAGAAATTTCCGACAACCTTGATTTACGAGCGACTGAAAATAAAGAAAGCGGAGGGCAGGGATTATCGACCACATGTGGTCTGGGCGTTTGTCTCACTGGAAACAGACAGAGCCAGGCATAAGGCGAGGGACAGGACATTTAATATATCCGGCTTAGGTGCATTGGCGTCATTGTGTTTTGGCATTGTTTCTCTCGCGTTGATTGGATTTGGCCTATCTTAATGTATATTGGTTTTGCACATGGTTCGAGCCTTGGAGTGTATGCATCTGTTTCTACTGGCATCCCTGTATATAAATGCTGCTTTGACAGCAGGTTTTCAAATCCAGAGATAAAGAATATTTCAACATCCAAAGTTCCAATCCGAAGTCCTAAGACGCCGTGGTGGGACTCATCCTATAGGTCTACTCATCACGGTCCATCCGCGACCCTAGCCAGGTCAGTTACGTGGGTTGGCTCGCGGATGTAACCGCAAGGCGATGATGGGTCGCATCGTTTGATTTCTACAGAAATATCGCCGAATACGTACCTGCGTTGCCAACATGTGGCAGGCCTGCACGATGCTACCTGGGCCTCGTGGCGATGTGTTGACCCAGCACCAATGCAACCATCTGTTCCGCTTCTTTAAGAATCCCCATTGCCGGACACAGGCCAGATCTCAATTCTCGTAATAGGACATATAAACTCGTCGAAATCACGCGGGAAAGGGTTAATGAAAATGAGCAGATGCATTCCTGGAGGCATTGGGTATGCCCTCGTTTCGAGTATCAGCGTGCAACACACCCCGAACCTACCATTAATCCTCACCACGTGGACAATCTAGAGCTGACTCCAGCCAGGTTGCCAAGCCATAACAACTACTCGAAACCCAACAATCCTTGGGAACTAACGTTGCAAGGCTTCAGCGCTGTCAGGCTGGATGTCACCAACCAATTAGCTCCATGATAGATCGGAAACCCCCCCAAGATGGCTTAAAAAACAACTCTCAAACCTAATAGAGAGGTGTCCAACCGCAATTATCTTGCATGTTCGGTCTGATGCGAGAGTGGATAGCTGATCAATTGGCAAACAGAAAGCCGAAAGAGAGAGGAAATAACGCTTCTGCTCGGATCCGAACCGAGGACCTCTCCTAACCGCCGTAATGTACCCGTTCTCTCCACTACCTTCGCAAGATATGAGGAAACTGCGGGCGTTCAAAGGCTCTCGAAGGGCGAGTACATCACAGTGCCAGTCATCGGAGCGCGCTGACCACTACACCACAGGGGCTATTGTTGAATGCCATTCCCGGGGAACTTGTATATAAGGCGTTGGCCTCTGCGGGTTGGTTGAGGATTGGCGATTCTGTCGTGGTCGGCGTTGTGCCCAAGCGCTAACGGCTGTCAACGCTCCATACTCCTCACTTAACCAAAGGCCAACCACCTTTTATGGACCTATTCCCCTGAGGCTGATAAAAGCGCTGTAGAAGCTCCATCATATCTGTCATCGATGTCCGCTCCAGATTCAAGCAGAGGCTCCACAGCGTCCAAGTGACGCTGTGTCGAGGCTATGATAAGTGATGACAGGCCATCTGCTTGACAAACATAGATGCTTGCCTTGCGATCGAGGCCCTTGGTCCCTTTATATTCTCTCCTTGAAGCTGTCACGAGTGGAGAATTCTGGCCATTGTGATAAAGCTTCACATTTGCCCCTTTCTAAAAGAAGCCTCACGAGCCTCATTGTGTCTGGCGCCGGGGAAAGAGATGTCAAACCATCATCGTCTTCAGTATTCAAATCTGCCGCATTCAGAAATAAGGTCGGAAGGAAGTCTTTCCTTTGGGGTTTTTGACATCAGGAGATTCGTCTGTGACCCGCCTGGCTCAGTCTCTAGGAATCACTCTCTCTTTGTATCTGCCCCATCACCAAAGCTTCTCCATACCGTTTATTTAACATGGGTCAGGGAGCTATTACGGTGGACCGACTCCAAGCAGGCAATAAACGGGAACCTTGATGGTCAGCCGAAAGAACGGCCCCACCCGGGATCAAACCATCAAGGTTCTCAACGCACACTCTTCAATTCCACCAGGTACCTCGATATTCCCCAGCTGCGTTTGGCCCTGTCCTCTCCTTGACCGTGTTCCCCTGCGAGAAGATTGACTCTAGCACTATGCGTCATTTAAGTTTGGTTTGGGCTGATGCACAGCAGAAAAAAAAGGTTTAAACTTTCCCCTAGCTTACTTATAAGCTTAAGGAGTTTTAAGTACGACTTCAAAACGCAAAGACGACTCACCATGAGAAGTGGTACCAGAAGATCTGAGTTTTCTTAGACAATGCTAGTAACTTCTTATTTATCATTATGTTTGTCCCATAGCCTTCAATATGACTAACTATTTTACCCGTCCTACGCATGAGCTTTTATAATATGCCAAAACAGACAATCAATGGTATCATGTTCCTCCCAATTCATCATTTTACAGAGCAAATGCGACAGCAGCGAAGGCTCCAGCAAGAGGGACAAACTCAGCAGCAGCCATACCACCCTGGGTGGAGGAGCTGGCAGCACCAGTAGAGGTGCCAGAGCCAGAGACGGCGGCAGTGGTGGCGGGGCCGTCGCAGTGCCCTGCGTGTAGAACGTTAGTATAGAGGCCAGGGACGAGGTGATCGGGGGATCAAGGTAACATACAGTGGTCTCCGTGAGGCTCGCAGCCAACAGACTCGGTAGGGCTGGGCTTGAGGCTGCCGGTGCCAGCAGCATCGGTGTGGGAGGTAGAAGGGGTGGTGACTGAAGCAGCACCGGTGGCAGGGCCCTCGCAGTGCCAGTGGTCGCCATGGGGCTCGCAGCCGACAGAGTTGGTTGGGCTAGGCTTCAAGCTGGCAGTGCCAGATGAGTGGTCATCGTCATCATGGTCGTGGCTGCGACTTGCAGTGACGGAAGCAGAGCCGGTAGCAGAAGTGACGGCACCAGTTTGAATAGCAGGACCCTCGCAGTGCCAGTGGTCGCCATGGGGCTCACAACCGACAGAGTTGGTGGGAGAGGGGCCAGGGTTCACGCTGCTGCTACTCTGGGCCAGGCCGAGGGGCAGGAGGCCGAGGCCGAGGAGGGCAGTGAATGTAGAGGTTCTCATAATGACGGTAGGGGGAGTGATGGAGTGTTCTAGACTCGAGGCACGAGGCACAACGTGATGCAAGGCTGAGATGGGATGGCAGAATAGAGATTTTAGTCGGCAGGGCAGAAAAACTACAGGATGGGTATTTATACGTATCATGCAGGCAAGGAAGGTTGGTCCTTCGTGCCTGCTCCCATGTAAGTGGCCCATCCATCCTTGGATTGGGCTTGCTGTGGCGTCCGGGCGACCCTCTTCAGCCCCCACACGTTTATAACTCAAGATGGCGAGAGGTTCAGCTCGAAACGGTCGATAGGCCGATACGGACGCCGTCTTCTGGATGGGACCCATGTTTGCGTTGACCAAGAGGTTGGACGTGATTTGCTCCGGCGCGCAAGAAGCATGTGGCCGTCCCGCTGCTGGTCTGGCTGCTTATTGCCGCAACCTTCTTGGCAAACCATCAAGGTGCACCACTTGCACCGACTTTGGCCCTTTGAGCAGGGCTTCAGACACGAACCAAATAAAACGCACAAAAGGACCTGCCTCGTCTGGTCGGCCGAACTTGTTATTTGCCTCGAGACTCCATTGAAATGTTAGCTTCATCGTGATCGGAGTCCCGAGTTCCTGTTTTGTGCTTTCTCTTCTCTTCTCTTCTCTTTCTTGTATTATAGTCGGCCCTTCGTTTTTTTTGACGACCACCTAATATGCCTGGGCCACAGCTTGTCGCAAGATTTCTTGCCTGTTCTGCTCTCTGCCTTAACATCGTCCTATCACAAAGTGAAAAGCAGCCGGAACTTGCCGCCATCCCGATCATCAAGGATGGAGAGGTTTGTAGCTATTGATGATAACGCGTGGGAAGAGAAATAGAGCTCTAACACTTGACTTCAGCCCCAATTTGCATCTGCTGTTGAGCCCCCTCTAATTCAGCCGACAGAGGTTCGCAAAGTCATCGTTACCGTGGAACAGCCTCGTGTAATACCCTACCCAGACACACCTCGCCATAAAGACGAGAAGGCCAAGCTCCTGGAAAGGCTACCAAAGAACAAAGGCACTTGGAACGGCAATCACGTACGACACCGTCTTTTAGACGCACTGTACGGGTTTGTCAAGTACCAAGAACGACAGAACGAGGAATTGGTGCGGCTCCGTGGCCTGTACACCAATACCGCCAAACATCAGAAAGCAGTGAGTTGAGTTTGACGCCCCGTCGAGAAGCACAGCCGGTATTCTGATGCTCTCTGATCCAGTTATTGGAGAAGTTTGTCCAGTATTCGGATAAGTTCACCCAAATCGAAAAGCTTCTGGCAAAGAATCAAGAGCTCTGCGACCGTATTGTCGAGTCATCCCTCTCCTTTTATGCCATTGACCGCTCAGAGCTCAATGAGCACATAAAAAACTCGGAAAAGGAGGGAAGGAAGGGCGATAAGATTTCGGTATCACAGTCCTTGAAACATATCGTTCGTGACTGGACAGCTGCTGGGGGGACCTACGAACGCGACGACTGCTTTGCCTGTCTTACCGGAGTCCTTGAGAAACTCTATCCCGATCGAAATGAACGGTCCAAGCCACTCAAGATTTTGCTGCCCGGAGCCGGCATTGGGCGCTTGGGGCATGAAATTGCCGAACTTGGAGGTAGGTACTTCACGAAAAATGGTCGTGATCTGATGCACTTCCGGAATTGTGTCTAATCTCTCTGCAGGCTTCGAGGTGACCATAAATGAGTGGTCGATGTACATGAATGTCGCCTACCGTTTCCTCGAAACCCACGGCCATCGCACCAACTCCGAGACGTTCCATCCGTTCGTCGACCTCTGGTCTCACCATGTCAGCACCGCCGACATGCAACGCCCAGTCACCTTCCCAGATGCTCCCGTCAACGCCAGCGAGGTTCTTCTGGTCGAGGGCGACTTCACCACTGTATTCAACACGAAACCGTTTCGACATTATGACGTGATTGTAACATACTTCTTCATCGACACGGCTCGCAACCTTGCAAGCTATTTCGACACCATTGAAACACTCCTCCGCCCAGGGGGCTACTGGATCAACTTGGGACCACTTCTGTATGGAACCGCTCCCTTCGTTCAACTATCTTTGGAGGAAATCATCGTCTACGCCGAGGAAGGTCTTGGGTTCAAGTTCCTGGACGTTGCTGGGCCAGAGTGCGGCGAGCTCACCTTTCCGGATCGCCACGTCCGAGGAATGGAGGCGGCGTATGGTTTCAATGATCGCGCTTTAACCAAAAATGCGTACAAGGCGCAATTCTGGGTTGCACAGCGGCCTTGAGGCGCGTGATGTCGTATTTTATAGACTTGTATTGCTGGGCAACTAATGTGCTCATTACTACTCCATGTTGCCATGATGCAATCAGGACAGGGTAAAAAAAGCTATGAGAGGACGGATTCCTCTGAAAAGACAATAGGGGTAGGTGGCAAAATAATGAACAATTTCATAATGAAAATGAATGGCCATGTCAACATAGCCTACAGGGACGATTTTCTTCCAAACTTGCCTGATTCTAGACCCGAACTCCTATGCCAGTAGCAAGCATTCTCCATATCTGTTGATTTTAATGCCTTCCAAGAACAGACGCCAACCATGTATTGTACACCTTAGGGCAAATTACCAGCAAAGATTCGTACACCATCAAAGTTTACAGACGCTCAAAAACTTTACTGAAAATCTCCCGTGCCTTGAACAAATTCACCATGCTTAGCCTCTCATTGTCTAAGTGGGCTGAGTCACTCGCTTGCCCACACGGTAGATGCGCCGCCGGAGCCCCAAATTCCTTTTCCAGGAACCGAATAGCGGGAATGGATCCACCCTCCCGAATATATAGAGGCGTTCTTGGCTTGAGGGCCTTGACAGGGGAGATGGACCGGGGGAGTTCATCTCCATTAAGAACAGGTGAATCAGTCTCGAAGCAAGCAGGCCACGCCTCGATGATGGCCTGCTCCAAAGTGCGGAAGATCTCGTTGGTTGGGTCTCCGAGCCAGGGCTCTGCTTTATTGTCGATGCTAGTTCTAACCCAGTTCTGAGAACCGATGGCCGCGAACTCACGGTCCAAGAATTCAGTGAGCTCACGGGCAACATCGTCTACCTCTTGTCCTGGGACAAGTCGAAGGCTGATGTGTGCACTAGCTTGCCCACTGATGAGACTGCCGTCCGGTCCGGAAACCTTGTAGCGGTGAACTGTGAGATTCGGCTCCCGCCACCTGGCCATCAGTGACCGCTTCAGCTTATCCTCAGAGATGGACTCGGAACTGCGTTTAAGCAAAATGGAGGCGATATCATCATAGCGAGCCTCCTCTTCTGGAGTTAGAGGCGGTATTCCATCGTAGAAACCCTTCAGCTGGATGCGATTTCCTCGGCCTTTCAATTTGGACAGGAGAAGAGTTAGATCAGATAGAGGTTCGTCCATCATGTACGAACCGTCCACACCAGAATGAATATCAGGCCAGGAAGATTCTACACTGACGGTGGCGTGCAAAACGCCCCGCAATCCATATGTCAGGCATGGAACTTCGTCGTCCAGCCAATAGCTGTTAGCAAGTAAAATGTAGTCCACATCGCCAATCAGGGCCTTGTTGCTTTTAACGATGTCCTCGAAGCCCCTGGATCCGTATTCCTCTTCTCCCTCGATGAGGAAAATGACGTCGTTCTCTAACTTCTGCGCTTGCATAAGATCTGTAACAGCATATAGGGCTGCAAGAATTGGGCCCTTGTTATCACTCACTCCTCGGCCGTACAGGTAGCCATTCGTGCCTGTAAGCGTGAACGGATCATTCGTCCAAGTACCCTTCCTGTTGTCGGCGGCCACGACGTCGTAGTGCCCGTAGAAAAGGATTTGCTTTCTGCTGTCAGATCTTTCTGTTTTCCCGGAAAAGCGAGCATACACGACTGGGTTGTGTGATGCATTGGTACGCAGCATCTCAACTTGACCACCGAGCCGCTTAAAGAGAGCTCCGAGATAAGTTGCGCCCTTGTGACAGTCTTCAGCATACTCGGGCCGCGACGAAACACTTTTAAAAGCAACAAAGTCTTTGAGAGTGGACAACAGAGCATCTGTGCTTTGTTCGATTGAAGTAACAGATTGGCAGAGATCTTCAAACGTCCATATAGAGATGTTGTTGTCATTGGCTCCCGTAATGAAGAGTTGCTCGTCGCTAAAGGAGGTCGTTGCAGAAGCAAGGATTTTGCCTTGGTGAGCTTTCCATCGGCTGAGGCACTTGTATTTCTGGTTGACTTTGCCTAATGCAGCCGACTGCTGGTATTTGCCATAATGGGCAGTGCTATATTTCTGTACAGCTTGTTAGCTCGAGGTTTGTTGAAGAGTCAGATGAACAATTGCAGACTTACACCAGACCAGCCGTCGCTGGAAGCCGTCCAGAGGAAGCCCCATCCCATCTGGAGAGCCATGATATCGGAATCGTGGGCTTTGATGACACGTAATTTTTGGGTGGTATCTAGATCCCACAATTCTACAATGCCGTCAAGCTTCCCAGCGTAAAGAAACGACCCATCGATCGCCAGGGAGAAGACAGAATCTGCGTTATCTGTCCCAAGGGTCATGATTTCCTTTATACCACCAACATTGTCCTGGGTATCTTGAGCTTTGCTGACCAGACTCCACAACTTGATTGTCCCATCACCGCCCCCAGAGATGAGTACGTCAGAGTCGGCGTTTGCTCCAATTGTCGGGCCCTTGGCCATGAGCATGCAGTAGACATACCCATTGTGGGCAAAGTTACGGACCGCACCGCTATCAATTTCCAAAACAGTCTTTGGTTTCGGGATGAGACTCCATCTCCCATCGGTCCTGCGTGGTGTGGCAGAGCCACCAACTGCTTTAGAATCGAAGAAACGATGGGCCCTTCTGTTGGGGTGTCGTTGAGAGTCGGGAGACACCTTGGCATCTGAATCGCTCAACTGGATCCACTGGATGGATGAATTCTGTGCCCCTAGATATAATGTATCGTGCTGGGGACTGTACGCGGTACAGAAGATATCCCCGGCGTCGTGGATGCTATAGATCTCGTACAGCCTCGTTAGGCTTTTGGGGCACCACACATTGATTATCGGGTCGCCGGCACTCGAGAAGAGTAAGGAGGCATCGGAGAGCACGGATAGAGAAAGGACGCTTCGTTTGTGAGCTTGGATCGTGTGTACCCGTTGAAAGGTGGTCAAGGACCAAGCGACAATTTCGCCATCTTGGGTACCAGCGTAAATTCGGTCGTCGCCCGGACTCACAGCCAGAGCCAAAACCGTGCTCCCATGATTCAAGGTGTGGACAAGCCTTGGCTTGAGGTCGGAGGTGAGGCTGTCCTCGTGTGTCGGGCTCAGGACGGGAGAAGTGGGCGACGATACCACGTCGACCGGCGGCATTGCGCTTGCGTGGCTAGGCGAAGCGACTACTTTCAATACAAATTGTCAGTACATGCCAAGTGGCGCTGGTTCGTGTAGGTGTGATGAGTAGGAAGTACAGGAATTGGCCGAGAAGAAGTGTTGAGGAAGAAGCTGGAACCAACCAGCCTGACTGTGATAGCAAGCTGAACTGGGTGTAGCTGTGGCTCCTCAAGATTAGGTTCTCAGTCCATTGGAGGTCGGAACGAAGAGAAAGAGGTGGGGTCTAGGAGGAAGAAGAAGAATCCCAAGGTCGGAAGGAAGCTTTCAGGAGCTCAGCATTGCGCAGTCGACTCGAACAGGCACGCCCCCTGGGAAGAGAAAAAGCAACGTCTCCCTCTGCCCTCTGACTCAAGCATCGGTGTATTGCGATATCGTCGACGAGGATGCGATGGCGACAGCGCGCACTGACCGACTGGTCTCAGTGTCTAGTGCCCTGGCAGGCACCATCGCAGTTCCGTACAGGCTCCTTCCCAGCATTTGGCCAGCAACAGGCTAAAACGTCATACCGACATCCGATGATGTAAGCACGCCATGACTGCCCCTTCCCACCTCATTCAAAGCGCCCTTGCAGAAGCGTCCCTGATCCGCTGCCAGAGCTGGGGTTCAGCATGTGGCACTGGGTCCTCGACAGGGAGTAATGTCCGATGGGTGTCGTCTGCTGCTAGACCGACTGATGGGCCTGGTCTTGTGACTCGACCGGCAACGCATTTCTCTCTTTGACAAGACGACGTCTCTTCCGAGCAGCCTCCACGATACAGCAACGGGCAGTGTGCTAACAAGGCTGGGAACCGAGGAGAAGGGGCGGGAGGATTGCCTATTCGTCCAGTGCAACTAACTTACTAGATGTGTTTGGGATGCGAGCAGATCCATTCTGGTGGCTTTGGTTGTTGCCGTCGTCGTTACCGGTCACGGCGCGATTGCCATCTCGTTGGTGTTCAAGGATCACACTACCAGGCCAGATCCTAAAGGCCATATCTCAATCAATCGTCTTGTCGTCGAGCTCGGCGGGGGCAGGATAATGTATTGAATGTCAAAGTTATAGCATATGTCAGACCTGGAGTGCGAATGGCGTCGGACGACATCGGTCTATATATGTTGAGTGCGGCTCGTCGGCGTGTCGAAACACGTATCCCGCTCCCTTGCAGGCATATTGCCCTCACCGCATCCCAGGTTACACGGTGCATATTTCCAAGGCGGCCAACCGGAAGCCATATCCATGCTCCGAATCTCACCGCGCTATGCCTGCATATGTGATCGACAACCCTTGTCTTAGGATGATGCTAACAAGATAAGGCCGTGCTACTATTGCTGTCATGTCTGCACGTCCTCATAGCAGATACATCTCCTGTGCCCGCTAAGTAATTATCATAACTGCCAGTATGCATGAATCCAGCTCATTGCTGGCTTCCACCATTAATGTACCTTAAAACACCAAGATAGGGACGGGCCGGATTTCGGTCCATGAAGTTACGGCCCCGATTGCCGCCCGCCGCCCAATTCTCTTGGCGTCTTCCATCAGGCAGCTTCGGCACTTGAATCGGGAGGCCTAATTCTTACCCACAAAAACACAGTGACGGGTGGTGGATGTTGGGGTAAAGGGCAGCAGGTTGGTAGCAGGCAGGTGCTAGGCAACTAATAAACCTCCGTTCCGTCTAATAGGCGAATACACTGAGAAGATCGAGCCCAATGAGGCAACCGCGGTGTGCGTAACTTCCTTGTGAGATGGACACAAGCGAGCAAACAAGCAACTGGATTTCACCTATCACCATACCTAGCCTTGGTAGTATAATGACCTCGGTAAGTGCACAGAGCTTGTGTTGTTAGATGAGATCAAGGCATCCTCTAGCAGTAGGTTCGGCTGCTCTGTTCTCTTTTCCTTTCTCTTCCTTTCTCTTCCTCAACTTTGCAACCAGCTACCGAATACTCATGATCCAGCTCCCAGTGGAATCGCGACTTCTACCTATTTAAGGGCAATTGCTAGTGGCGCTCGCTCTTTACAAGTTCAATTCTTGCTCTAGAGCAGTCACCGGATACTCACAATAACCAACAAGTCATTCGCCTCATCAGAAGTACATCCTTCGCCTTTGCCCAGCCTCCCATCCTCGACAAGAAAACGCCAATGTGTGCTTGCTCATCTCTAGCCCTCTGGGACAAATCTCCTGACTCCAGCCAACCTTTGCCGAGCAATCCTCCCAGAAGCTACAGATATGCGGAATCTTCTTGTGCTAGGCTCCTTGATTGGGGCCCTGCACCGCGCCATGGCCTATTACACGATGGTCACATATGCACCTGAATCTCCAGAGATCGACGGGAAGATCATCAACGCAAATTCAAGGTCGTTCATCATCGGCGCAAAATCACCAAGCACTTACTGTGATCTCAACAACCCATCTGAGTGCCCCAACAGCTCTTCTACGCTCGTAAACAATGACATGACCCTTTTAGCTGTCCGTGCAACCCCATACTTGCTCAATTCGTGGCATGAAGACATTGTGCTAATAGTACAGGTAGTCTGCCGTGCCTGGAGGTCAATTCATCTGGGTCGGCCTTGATGGTTCGGTGTCTTATGCATCGCCCCATTCTGCCTTCCGACCTCCCGGATCACAGATGGGTGGTTTTTACCCCGTGAAGCTCCTATCTGATTGCGCGACTTCAATTACAGTTCTCGTCTGGCAATCACACGATGGCGCCTCTGGGCTATGGGCCTGCCCCAGATCACCCAAGGAGCCCCTCTTTCGAGAGGCCGTCTTGAAAGCTTCCGTCGCTAATTTTGTAAATGATGGGTGCCTTGAAGTGGAAGCGATCCAGATCATGGAGGCTGGAGACGAATATGGGGCATGGGCTTATACTTGAGAAATATACCGTGGCGATTCTTGTTGCGAAACATGTCCAAACTGTGTGGCGGGCGGACTTCATCGAAAATGCCGGTATATGTGCGCGTTGCTTCGTTTTAGGTCAACGGTCATGTGTTCCATTCTCTTCTATTTCAATTTACGCCCCAGAATTCACTCTGATGGGGAAAGCTAGTTACTTATGTCAATTGATGTTGTTCTCGGAATCGCAGTCCACTCATTAACATCAAGCGGCTGTCTAAGTGTGACGATGTAAAATAAGAGTATCGTTAACAAAGCACCCCCAGAAGCCATAACAATGTATACATATTCTTTTAATGAATATATGTGCATCGAGGCAGGGTGCAAGCATAGATGCTTGTATGAGGAGGATGCCAAAAATGTAACAAAGCAATAATGTCCCACAGTTTGGTAGCCTCTTAAATCCCAAGAAGATTTCAATCTTCATGAATCGCAAGAACATTACCAGAAGCATCGATTCTAGCTTTGGTCTTCTTCAAGCTCTCATTACGCGGGTTTGGTGCCTCAAATATGACGCTCAATTCCTCAAGCGTCTTGCCCGCAGTCTCGACGAACCATTTCCAAATAACAAATATTTCGAATGCGATCCAGCAGCAGTATACAATGTCTTGTGTCCAAATTATTAGAAAGATAATGGGATGAGCAAGAGATGGCGCTTTTTCCAATGTTTACTCACATAACTTCCACTTGATTTTTGCTATTCCCTCACTGATACCGTAGGTATTGATGACTATCGCAATATTCAAGAAGAGATAGTTCAGTCCTGAACCCTTTGCTCGGGTACGGTTTTCTAAGCACTCGACGGCATATCTACCCTCAGGCGTCAGTAAAAGCAAGCCAGGGTATGGTTGGGATAAAAGGTCTGCTCACAAAGTCTGGAGTGGAGTGAAACCCCACGCAAAACAGATATTAAAAAGATAAATCGACACTATCACTCCGTAGGACAGATTAGGATGGTTCTCGCTCTGTGCCGAGAAGGCCGTGAGCAGGATGTAAAAGGTAAGGGAGCCAATAAGACCCCAAATCATCATCGTTCGTCGGCCAAGCCTGTCAAGCTGATATGAGCCCACCATAGCCGCAATCATGGCGAAGATGGGATTTATCGCGTTAATAAGAAGCTGAGTGTTGGTGTTGGTGATTCCGGCCGTTTTGATCATTTCGGGCTTACAGCGTTAGCTGATTCAAGCGAATACCCCTTGTCTCTTTTTCGTTTGACTCACCATAAAGTAGCTGACTACGTTGTTCCCACTCCATTGGCCGATGAAAGATGTGGCGACCATCATTGTAGTCCTATATCTTGCGGCTCGGGTGTTAAAGAGTTCGCGGTAGTCCCACCAGGGGTTCTCGTCTCGGTACTGCGCGGCCTGCTCTATGATTTCGCGGTACTGGAACTGGACCATTGGAGAGTTGCGGTCACCCTGTCCGTGATACTTGGCCATGACATCCAATGCTTCCTCGGCCCGGTCGTGGGCGATCAACCAACGAGGCGACTCAGGAAAGAAGAGAACCAAGCACATGGCTACGCTAGGCATCCCGGCTTGGACGACAGTAGGGATTCTCCATGCCCATGAAGATGAAATATGCTTATTCGATCCGTATGTTGCCCAGCCAGCCCTGTGACAATAGAGGATTAGCGTTCTGTCAAGTTATTCGAGCCGTATTATTAGGCAATTGTGATGTTCCTTCTTACAGGATATTACCAAGCCCTGCATAGTGTCAGTTTTAGCAAGATCCCCTTTAGATGCTCCGGCAGGGGTGAACTTACACCACAAGTTATTGTACGTTCCAGCCATCACACCTCTAAATGCAGGATGGGCGAGTTCAACGGCATACGCAGGACCTGCGGCTGATGCGATTGATGCGCCAAACCCCAAGACTACACGTCCGCCTATGAATGCTGCGAGGTTCTGGGCTGACGTTTGGATAGCCGTGCCGACCAACACGATCGCACAGCCAATAAACATGCACCAGCGTCGCCCAAGGCCATCAGCTATAAGGGGACAGGCAGGAAACGAGATTATCTGCCCAATCTGGTAAGATATGAACACGAGCCCCGTGCTTGACCCGGCCCCAGAGAGACCAAATGACTGTTGGTATGGTATCATGGCGTTGATGGCTCCCATGAGGGAGCTGTCTATGATAATTGTTGTTAGTGCTTGCAGTCTGGAGCAAAGATGGAGTCATACCAAAGCCATTCATTGTAGAAATCAGATATGAGATTCCCATTATCCCCCACAAAGGCATCATATGTCTAGAAAACATCTTGGGCTTCTGCTCCTCGATGGCAGCGGCGAGCGCTGCGCTTGCAGTGGTCACATGTATACCTTCGGTCTTGATCCCACTATCATCAATCGCCAATTCAGGCAGATCATTTGAGGGTCGATGGCCCAGGCCATCTTTTTGGGCCTCCTTCGACATAGTTGCTATCGTGTGCCAAGTGTGGTTGAAAAGCTGTCGAATACCTTGATGTAAAGGTACATGTAGTGAAGGGATGAGGACTCCCTAATAAGAAACACCATCGGTTCATGATATCCCGGCAGATGGCCCGACAGATAATACCCCGGCAAGGCAAATGCTGGGCCGGCCAGATGGCACGGGATAAACAGATTTTGGTGTCCTTGCCATATTTCCCCTTGTCTCAACCTGTGAGCGCCGAACGATGTTCCAATGTCACCCTAATACAAATGACCCGCCCCCGAACGCTAAGCGCTCCTCTCAACTCAGTGAGCCATTGTCGATATTGGAAGGTTGCCGAGAGTCTAAAAGGATTGTCACGTATACTTCCAGACCGAGATATAGCGTACATCTTCTAGACTGCTTCAGGAATCGTGAGTGTCCAGAAGAGCTACCCATGCCAGTCACCACATGGGGCCGAGCGGGGAACGCGGGGAAGAAGTCCTCTTTCGAACTTTGCCGGCGCAGCTTTCAATTGGCACTTCTTATTGCATGGCCTTGTTTTCCACTCATCCTGTGGTAGAGCCGCCGATGTAGGATTCAACTGATCAATTCGGCCAGCATGGGTCCCATTTTCTCAACTCCCGCACCAATGAGCATTACCGCCACTCTGTAGCACAAGACCAACGCTGTGATAGATCCACAGATCAATGACATTCATGTCGTCTCACCACGTTGAAAACCCCACCGGCCTTGGTAGTATCCGACTTACATATTAGCCGGGATGCAATCGCCAATAAACCGTAGAGTAGCATTCTTGTCAGGTGCTTTTATTATCTCTCGTCGATACAGACGCACTTGTCAGCCCACTAAGTAGACAAAGAAGATTGTTCCTTTCATCTGACTGTGAGAAGATTTCTAGGGTAGAGCGGCAGTACCAGGTAGTATCAAGTAACTCACATGGTAGAGGTGGAGAGAGGCTTAAGTATGTCCCTAGGAGGCGCTGACCAAACGTGTGTAGGTGTGTCCAGCGTACATTCACTCGCTCACCTAGAAATCTACCAAACATTCCAACAGAGCACTTAAAGGGACGTTAATCAGCAAAATTTCATACTTAACACGGCCTGATAAAAACATAAGAAAAAGAAGAGTAGTGGATATGCGCCATGTATATAATAAGTCTTTACATTTTGGGATACTCCATACCGGCAAGCGATACTATCAAGCCCCTTCTATTCTGAGGGTCTTACATCACTTTTTTGTTACTTCGAGGCCATTTATCATCCTCCAAACGACACAATGGAGCAAGAGACTCTCGTGACTGTACTTTAGATCTAAAAAATCGGAACGGTAAATCAGATTGAGGTGTCTGTTTCGGGAGATGGGTTGCCCAAGGAGGTCTATGTAAGGTAGTCCATCTGTGCCAAGCCAGGTCAAAACACTATGTAGCCAAGAGTTGTGTAACTCTTCCCCGAGGCTGTGCTAACCATATATGCCGTTGAAACAATTTCTTGCGCCTCGACCGCTTCGTCATCAATTTTGACTGAGGACCGAAGGAAGCCATCCATGACTCGCGATATGGCATGATAGATCCTTCTGCTCGATCCCGACGAACTTGAGCTTGGCGTGCTTGCTCGTCGGATGTATGAATAAACCTTTCATGTCGACAAATGCAGGCCCCTCTGTCTCGGCTAATTTGGTGATAGGCTGGGGAGAGGGACGAGATCATTCAAAGAAAAAGTATAGCGAAGCTTGCAGGATTGAATGGCAGGTTCGGGACTTCAGCCCATAGAATAGGTCAAGGTGACAGCTGCGGCCTATGGTGTCAGGTCAAGTTCAAAATACGTTGACAGTTGCTTGACGTTTGTTGACAGCTTTCTCACTTTAAACTGTGATCCAGGTGCGGTGACACAGAGGACCGAATTCGAAATTTCAGCCTTCTCAACCCTCCCAACCAGCCAGCAATTCAACGTGAGCACACTTACAGAATTCTCATCTTCCATTAAAAATATTACTTACAATGTCGGAAATAGGTCTATCCAAAAGACCAAACAATGTCAATGACCAAGGATCAACAAAAAAAATCAAAGAATTTGAAGAACCAGCGGCAAAACGACGACAGCTGCGGATTAACTTGAAGACACCCAGTTCTTCTCTAAGACACCCCAAAACTGGCCAAACTAGATTGCCTGGGCATCCTAGGGGCGGTAAACCCCACGTCAAGGACGGCGATTTTTCGATCTGCGACCGTCTGGACTTCAGACTGAAAGCATATATTGACCAAGATGGTAAGGAGCGATTATTCATGGGCGCGGTATCATGTGGCAGACATCTCCCCAATCTGGTGTCCCCGGTCCAAGGCTTGAATCCTGGCATAACGATGGGAGTATGCTCCTTGGGAAATACAAGTCCTCTTGACGCCGCTATCTCAATTGCAGGAGACCATTCCGAGTACAAACATCTACCACATATGCCCCATGTTTTTTTTATGATCTGCCCTTTTGCGAAGCATCCTGATGGTGAGGAGGGCACTCTTTCTTCCAGATATGACAGGATATTCCTAAGCAGCTCTCAGCAACGCATCAATCTTCTACCCGAGATGTCCAGAGATGGAGAAGACAGCGGTAGTGATTTGTTGAGCCACCCTGACATGGAGTGCCTGATCCAGGAACGAGACCATGCGATTCGTGAACGAGATCAGTCGAACCAAGAACGAGACCAGGCGATTCAGGAACGAGACCAGGCGATCCAAGAACGAAACGCTTTTAACAAGGTCGTCCAAACCGGGAACCCATACATTGGCCATAACCCTGTCGAGTTAGTCGGAAGATATGCCAGCTCAGAGAGCCACGCATTGCTGTGCAATGGGTTCATGAGAAAATGGGAGGTCGATTCCTCAGAATGCAGAGATAAATTGGAAAAAGCAACCGACCTAAGTGCGCGCCACGCAGTCATCAAAGCCAGTCTCGATGACATATATCAGATCTCGCAAGACTTCGATGCTCAAGCGAAATGGATGTCGGCACGGCACACTTCTCGACCCCTTTGATGGATATGATAGCATCGGATAGTTCATTTTCAGGGAAACCTTTGTTCGAGATTGGGATGAGCTAGCTCTAAAATATTACAAGGTCCAGATGGTCCCTTAGGACTCCAAGAACCTTCATTTCTTCAAAGAAAAAAAATACAACCTTGCTAGACACAATTTTACAGCTTCTTGTGTTCCTAGGTCATCAGCACATCAATCGCTTGAATGACTTGATGTCTCTCGTCCTCCATCTTCCTCTTTTTTGTTGTCTCCATATACTCCGCTTGTATCTACACTTGAGCTCGTCGCGGGGCTCAGTTGGCCACTCCTATGGAGCATGTGACGATTCTTCCAGTAAGACTGCCGTACGCCCGCGGCTGTCCTTGTGGGGAAGTGAGCCTATGATCATAGAGTTGAGATTAGCGGTTGTTTCTGTTCGTGCCGAGGGAGGCATTCGTCGAGTGGTCTTGCAAATCACCTCTATATTCTTCCATGACAGCCCATCTTCCTTCAGCTTTACGAGGAGATTTATTTCCTCAGGCGTCCAGCGCCGGTAATACGAGGAAACCTCAGTGGGAGTCTTTGGCGTGTCCTGCTGAAGCATCCGTAAATAAAACTTGTCTTACAGAATCAGGTCGGTCCAGACTTACAGGATGCTCTGATTTGCTCGGAGAAGTCAGTTCAGCTAGTACAACAACAAGATTTCGATCTTTCAATTCCTCCCACGGTGTCTCATTCGGGTGCTCTGGGAGCGGCGTGCGCTTGTTTCGGAGAGCCCTGACTTGCCAGAGCTTAAGAATTCTGACTTTTCGTCGGTGTTTCATTCCGGTATCCATAGCTAATGGAGGTGGTGTTCAAGTCCAAACAATGTGTATGAATTGTCAGAAAGCGAGTGGGCAGGGCACAGAGAGAGCGTGTGAGGAGACAATAAGTCAGGCAGCGTGAGATACAAAAATGATAAATGCTGAGAGATTTGAGGGAGAACTTGAGCTGGCAATGGGTGAGTGACGAGGTGCTTATATACTTATTGTGCGGATATCACAATGGGGCAAAGGTGATGAACAAGTGAATTGGGCTCTGGCGTCGGGGGAATTCTGAACACCCACCAATTCACCCTCTCTTTGATTTCTGCCTGATCATCTACTACTCATTATTACTTTCTGTATCTAATCGTTACTTTTTTCATTGTCTGTCTTGGCCAGAAACACGATTGCTCGGAGGTGGTGACTAAAAGGACATGTATGGAACAGGTGCTAGGCTCTCTTAATAAATATGGATGGAGCCCACACTGTATTCAATGCATGTTATTCCCTATGTTTGTGTGTTTGCGAACCTGCTTCTTTTTAAGGACAAGAGCCTGTTTGGCATGCATCGTCTTGCCAGCGGATGATCAGCTTGATTACCACGGATGTGACCTAACTCATTGAACACTTTCAAGTTTCAGGTCTCTGATTGCACAATGACCTAAAGCAATCACGAACCCGATTTCTTTATATCCCCCTTTTTTCAATCCTTTTATACTAACGACATGCCGTCAAGCGAAAATACGCATATGGCACCCTGTACGACCGATGCATCAAGCAAGGGGCAGCTCAAGCGGCACCAATTTCAAGCGTATTCTTTCTTCACTTAGTGCTTCTCCACAAATTATCCCTTCTTTACTGCTTTTTGACACACCTTGAAATAAACTGTCTAAGTCTTCTAAAGTGTACATTTAGATATGTCTTCTTGGTGGCAACCTCCATTATTTGAGTAGGTATTCATGTCCTTAGTGAATGTACTTCACAACGTTTTGCACACACCGTGACCTGTTTAAAACCAAGGAAGATCATTCGGACTATAATTCATTCATTTATAAGTAAATATACCCATTTCAGCCATTGCCCTCCTGCGTTGACGACATGAATCTCTAGGAGTAGGAGCTCATATAATATTGCTCTAGGGTAGGTTCACAATTGAACGCTGTCCCCTGTCGGTGAATCAAGCAATTGAAGAATCTATGCCTTAGTTAGTGTGGGAAAAAGTCTGCGTGAGATGCCTAGTTCTAGTCTAGTAGCCCAGATCAGAGAGAATTGCCATGCTGCATCGAGGTAAAATCGAGTCGGGTCAATTTGAGGATTGCTGACACTTGCTCCATCAGATCGCGCACGAACAATGCATGTAAGTAATGGCTGGTGATCCCTGTCTCCCCACACACAAACCCCTCCATCCGCTTCTTAATTCTGCCTAGCCGTAAGAAAGTGTTGGCTGGCAATTACCAAGTAAGGCTGGCTAGGCGCAAGTAACCTTCCATGGAGGGTCGACCGCTTTCGATAAAAAATGTGGCGGGGCAGCTAATAACCGTCATCGCAACCAGGCTTCGTCCTCCCGCGTCTTGTGTCGCCCACCTCCAGCCTCATTGCCTCCCGTCTTCATCAGTGACTGGCTCTGTTGAGATATATTCCTAGGTTCGCTGCTTCTATCCAATTTTGCATCCTCACTGGTCTGCACGTATCGAATTCTTCCTGGAAAATGGAAGACCAGTTCGGAGGCCGCACCGATGACGATCTCTTTTACGATGACTTCGAGCCCGTCGAGAGTCAACCCGTAGTCACCCAAGAGACTGCACCACCGCCAGCTGCCCCAGTCCAGGAGACTCCTGCTCCGCAACCTGCGTCTAGCTCTGCCCCTCCAGCGACGGTGAATCCAGCGCCAGCCAAGTCGGCGCCGAGAGGGCTCGCCTCCTCCCGCTACGCTGACTCTCCTGAACCCAAACCATCCCCCGCCTCTGCGCCTAGAGAGCAGCAGCCAAAGTCGCAGCCAGAACCCGAGACCAAGCCCGAACCTCAGCCTGCGCCCCCGGAAGCTGAGAAGCCTCAAGCTTCCAAGCAGACCCAGGAACCTGAGCAGGCCCAGCCCCCTCAACCCGAGCCGTCTCAACCCCAGGAACCATCACAGCCAAAGCACAAACCTCACCACCAGAAGCGCCAGAAGCCCGCCCCCAACAATGGGCCGCCTGCCAGCGCGCCCACCGCCCCGAGGGACAAGTCCCACCGATCATCGGAGAAGGACTCCCAGGCGGCGGCACCGAAGGAAGCCCGGCTGCAGTCCGGCGCCAACCCCCGACAGAAGCTCACCGAGGCCGAGCTGACCGCCAAGATGGAGCAGATGAAGATCGTCTCGGCCGAGAAGACGCGCAAGTTCGAGAAGGCCGAGCAGGACGAGAAGCAGCACGCCCAGGCCTACGCGCGGGGCATGGAGGAGGCCCGCAAGAGGAAGGTGGAGGCCGAGGAGCGCCGGCGCCGGGGCGAGGAGAACCAGCGGAAGCTGAACGACGAGCGCGCCAAGAATCGTGAGCGCAAGCTCAAGGCCATGGGCATGAAGGAGGGCGGCTGGGATGAGGGCAAGGAGGCCATGGCTGAGGAGGAATCACGGAGAAGTTTCAAGGGTGCTAATGGAGGCGTGAGGGGTACACGAAGTGGTGGTGGCCTCGGTGGCAGTCGATATGCGAGGGAGGGCGAGGAAACTCCAGATGTAGATCGATTCCTGGACGACCGAGGCCGTGGCCGGCGGAGGGGAGGAGGAGGAGGAGGTCGGGGGCGCGGTGGTAATGGCCGCGGGGGCCGGGGCGGCCATGAAGCTGCTGGGGAGAGAGCTGCGGAAGTCAAGCAGTCGATCCCCACCACGGACGACTTCCCTGCCCTCCCTTCGGATGGTGTCAAGCAAGACCAACCCAAATCAGTCCCCGGTCCAGCTCTTACCGCACTGCCAAAGCTGACCGGTGGGAAATGGGATGATGAAATGGCGGATCTCGATGCCGCCAACCAGAAGGCATAAAACGTTGAGGTCCGCTGGCTCGCATGCCAATGAAGCAATGATCAAACGAGTCGGCATTAAAACTGAGATCCTCCTGAGCTAAGCGTTGTGTTAGGAGTCCAACAGCCATCGCTCACGTAAGGCGGCTGCAGCGGTATTGGATATATATATTTTAAAACAGGATAGTTTGCCCTTGGTATTTCGCAGTTTGGATAGAGCAGAATCATGATACCTCGTAATGTGACATGGACTTTGAAAAGGATGATAAAATCCAAGAGTTGTGCTTTGTGTAGTGAACGCATTTTATATGCTCTCTCAAAACGCCAATGATTTATGCATTACCCATGCAGCAAAGACCAACCTTTGACACGTTGTAATAATATATTGACCCTGCATTATACTAACAAGAGAGGAGCATACTCAAGAACCAATAGACTCCATCTTTCCGATGTTGATCCCGATATATATAACCGAACCCTAGACGCCAAGCTTGCATGCATTAAAGAACAGTCCTAATCATCCCCAAGAATGGACTCCCGACCGCTTTTCACCAGCCTCCGCGATACGATCTGCCCCCTCTTCCGCCTCTGTAGCCTCCTGACCCCCTAGGTCCCCTTGGGCCTCCGCCAGGCCCATCATCGTCCAGAGGCTGTCGAGCGCGGCCCTTCATCTCCCTCGGGAAGGCATCGTAAGTCTTGCGCATCTGCGCGTAACCCAAGTGCATCTTTCCGTAGAAGTGATCTGCGAGGCGACGATCGTTGTCGAGGCGACTGAGGTATGCGCCACACACGTCGCAGACCTGGAGTTTCTGGTGGCCCGAGGGCCCAGACGTATCGGACAGCGCCTTCAGCTCGCGCTCGCGCTCGGCCTTGGCCTGTATCGCTTGCCTGACCCGGAAGAGCTCGTCTTGGGCGCGGGAGACTTCGGACATGGAGCCGAGGACCTCGACTTCTAGGAAGCCATTGCTGATTGATGAGGATAGTTCCGATATGTTCTTGAGCTATATGGTTCAAAGGAGCTCTGCGGTTAGCTACAATTGTCTTAAATACGATAGATAGAAATGGAAAACACAGAGGGGCTAACGTACCAAGACGTTTGTTTGACGAATCTCATCTGGCGTCTTCTCCAACCTCCTCTGCGCAGCATCGATCCTTCGGTTGCACTCTTCGATGTACTTTTGCAGGTCGCGCATGTAGTCGTACTCGAATCCGTATCTCTGCTTCTCCCGATCGGGAAGCGCCTCGTATTCCACCTTCAATCCCTCGGCGTGGACCTTGGGACAGGGCCCAATGTCCTGCTTGGTGTTTGTGAACAGGTCGTGCGGGCACGTGCCAACCAGGTACGAACGACAGACTTTCGGGTCGTTAAGCGAAAGTTGAGCGGATCGCGACGAGGAGGAGGCTCCCATGAGCTGCTCAAGCAGCTTCCTTTGTTCGGCGGCCATGGCTGCGGGTGGTCGTGGAGGATGGATGGGTGAATGGGAGGTTGTAGGCTGCGATCGCGACTCCGGCAGGTCGAAGAAATTCGGCGCCGGAGGTTTTCAATGGAGCCAGCGCCAGCTCCACATGGCTGGTAGCTCTCTGCCAGTTTCTGACGGTGCCTGCAGCTCCCTGGTGGTGGGGCCATTTTGCCGCCGTCCACCGCCTAACTTTATACGGCAAGATCCAATTCCCCATGCTGTAGGGCGCTCCGTCCGGATTACGGTACCACCTCAGGGATAGTGAATACAAGCTACGTATCTCCAAGTGTCTGTGAGCGACAAGCCACCATCTATCAAGTTGAGATGGGAAACGCCCGGTCGCGCCATTCTTAATATCGTCCACCGATTTACTCCTTCATTCCATTCCATTCATTCATTATGCGTTTCCCCTTGAGCATTTCCTCGCTGCTGGCATCTAGTCTCCTGCTTTCTACCACATCAGCATCATCGGGCTACCACGAACAGCTCAACCTGCGGCCGTTGCCTCTCTCAAACCTACTCGCGAGCTTCAACTTCCGATCGAACACGTCATTGGCCGACTTTGAATCACAAAACTTCCGTCTATTTCCTCGTTCCTTGGGCCAGATCCTTCAATATGCCGGCACGCGAGAGCTACACCTGCGCTTCACGCTAGGACGGTGGGATGCCGAGAATTGGGGAGCTCGACCCTGGGACGGCACCAGGGAGGGAGGCACGGGAGTTGAGCTCTGGGCTTGGCTGGACGCCGAGACGGACGAGGAGGCGGATGCGAAGTGGTTGACTCTTACAAATGCCCTGTCGGGTCTCTTCTGCGCAAGCTTGAACTTCATCGACGAGACCCGTACGATCCGTCCCGTTGTGTCTTTCCAGGCTGAGGGAGATCATCCCAATACCACGCTTGCCAATGCCAAGCTCCTACATGGAGTGTTGCCGCACGAGGTCGTATGCACAGAGAACCTGACGCCATTCTTGAAGCTTCTGCCATGCAAGGGCAAGGCGGGCATCGGCAGCCTCCTTGATGGGCACAAACTCTTCGATGCCTCTTTCCAGAGCATGGCGATCGATGTGCGACCGGTTTGCCCTCCAGGAGGTGAATGTCTCCTGGAAGTGGAACAGACAATTGACATGGTGTTGGATATCAGCCGCTCCAAACGTCCACAGGGTACGTATCATAGATCAGTTTGATGGAAACTAACAGATGAAAGGCTAACGCTGGACAGACAATCTGATCCCAAGACCAGTCCAAGGCCACGAATTGGTGTGCGATACGTCCAAGTCCTATCACTCGGACAGCGTCTGCTTCCCGGTGGACCATCTTCAGAGCCAGGAATGGATTTTGGAGCAGGTGTTTGGCAAGCCAATCAAGGGAGCGTGCCCCTTGACGGAGCCAGGAACCCCCCCTGTCTGTGTCGAAGTTCCCCATTCGAGAAGCATATTTGCTTCTGAAGGATCTACCGAGATCAAGAGCCAGGACAGCGCTTCCCGTTGCTATGACCTGGCCCCAGAGGGTGACTTCAATCTGGTCCTCACCCAGCTGGATGCCTCAAGCGGCGATAAGGAGCTTGTGGAACCTGAGCAGCCCCTCCTCTACGCTGATAGGAGTTTCACCGGATACGGACAGGAACACGGCGGCGTGCAAGCGATCCTCACCAACCCAGGTGACGAGGAGGTCGAGTTCGTCTACATGGAGTCTCTACCATGGTTTATGCGAGTATACCTACACACTCTGAGCACCCGCATCTCTGCCGCCTCATCTATCCCTACGACGTCGGCGGAGACGTCGGCAGAGATTATCAAAGAAATATACTACAGGCCCGCTCTCGACCGTGAGCGTGGGACCCAGCTTGAACTGCTCCTGCGCATCCCCCCCAAGTCGACCGTTTTCCTCACCTACGACTTCGAGAAATCGATTCTCCGTTTTACCGAATACCCCCCGGATGCCAATCGAGGATTCGACGTCGCCGCCGCCGTCATCACGACGCTCTCGCCCAGGAAGATGAACATCCGGACCACGAGTCTGCTCCTCTATCTTCCCACACCCGATTTCAGCATGCCATATAATGTCATCATTTTCACATCTACAGCCATCGCCCTGTCGTTTGGCGGACTTTACAACATCTTAGTAAGGCAGATTGTTGGCGCTGACGAGGGTTTCGAATCCCCAGTGAGGTCGAAGCTCAAGCGATTTCTGGCAGTCATTACCAGGCGGCTGGCAGGATAGATAGATATAAATGTAGCGAGAATAAAAATTATTTAATTGATATTGCACTATACAGATCACATTCTCCATCCCAGAAGGAAATTGGTAATATTTCAGGTCTATTCACAGATAACCAACCAGGTTTCAGTCTTCAGCATAATTAAAAGATCGTCTATGAGCATGAGGCTGATGAAATTGGACGTTGTATCCATATAAAACAAATTTAGAAGATCTAGCAACTAAATGAAATTCCGAAAAGACTTAGAGCCCAAACCCAATCAAACAAGACTCCATGTAGCGTGATGTGGCCATCCACGCGCCGTTATGATCAGAGGGCTCAAACATACCCAGTCAATTGTAACAGAGGCAAGAATTGAAGCAAGAAGGAAAAAACAACAAAGAACGCCTACCAAATGCGTTTCGCCACCATGTCGTACCGGAAAACGCCGTTATACTCAGCATCGGGCTTCTTCTTCTCGTCTACCCCGACTCGCTTCCCGCCGGGCCCCTTGCCGCCTTTCAGCCCTTCCTTCTCGTCGGCGTGTATCCATCGCTGCCGCTCCTCGCCCACTTCTACATATCCATAACCACCGGCCCTGCGGCTGTTGGCCTCGTATGCCTCTCTTTCGGCCTTCCCTGCGGCGATTAGGGCCTCCTTTTGTTTCATCTGGGCGTATCGATTACGAGAATACTTTAGCAGGACCATCCCGAGGAGCAGCTTGATGACAAGCAAAACCAAAAACATAAGGAAGAAAAAGACAATCATTGTGAGCGCTGCAATAACATCATCAGAGGTCCAAGAGTACCAAGGACGGGAGTTTAGGGGTGACCCGTATGGGTATCCGTACGTAGCACGGCCCAGAGAATCACGGATCAGAGTGTCAAAACGGTTGAGGGCTGCCATCATGGCTGGTGATGACGGCGCAGCTTGCTCCTCCGTTAGGGAGGTTTGCGTCGATTGCGGCGCTGGCATTGGCAAGTGAGTTGATAGGAACATGTGGTATGTCTGGAATGAAGCTCGAATGAATAGGCAAGAGAGGGGGATAACCGCCAATCCCAGCCGCCGGGTCAACTGAGGAGTTGTGAATGCCTAGAAGAAAACCTGTTAGTTTAAGAATCGAACAGCAGAAGCTTTGTGATACTCACATTCGTGTAGTAATCCTTGCAGAGAATATCAAGGATTCGGCTGTAAAAGGCAGGTTTGATATTGTTGAACTTGGTCACATAGGCATGCTTTATAGAATCAACCAACATCTCACTGCCAATCACGATCAGGAATGGTGACAAGACTTCCCCAGACATCAGCCACGAAGGTAGCACGGTGAAACTATGTGGGAGAATTGAAGGATTTCGAAGAGGAATGGGTCCAGAAAGGTCATCATCGGCCTCAAGCCCGGTTCCAGGAACTGATAAACCACCAACTTCTACAACATTGCGTAGACCAATAATGAAGAGCATGATCCAAAGCTGGAAGCGCTCTACTATGTCTGCACAAGTAAGTTGAAACAGATTGTCCTTTTCACACCTTTTGAATACGGTGCTCTTGATTTCGACAAACTGATTAGACAGAAGTAGGGTCAGGAGGGCATTCGAGTACGAATTGACGGCGACATTAAGCGTGATGACCTGGTAATACAGGGCGACAGAATGAAGGCAGTTGTACACCAGTGCCAGAATGAACATTCCGAGTGGCATAAGAACTTTCGAACGACCTGATGAGTTTCGAGAGAGTGTTTCGTTACTGAACAAACACTCGAGGATATCTTGGCCCAAAGCAGAGAGAAGACGATCACCGACCTCTAAGATATTGTAGATGACATAGAGCTTGATTGCGGATTGAGCACGAATGAAATGGTACATTCGACTTGCATCAAGCGTCATGAGTGCCATGGAGCTGAAGATAATGACAGCCCCTTGTAAGAGATCCGCCTTATGGAAAGTTGTCAGATTCGAAGGCATCGACTTCGTCCTCTTATGACGGAAAGAGCCGGATTTAGGCCCGGGGTTATGGTTTTGAATCTGAATCTGAACTGCTGGTCTGGTACTTCCAGTTCCGCTCAGGCGGGAATCGCCCCGTTGCCGAGCCGGGTACCGTTCTCGCGGTGTAGGAGCAGTGTCAAAGTCGACGGAGAATTCGCTCGCTGTGCTACAGCTTCGGGAACGGCCTCCGGCAGACTGTCCGTTTTGCCTCTTGGACTCTCGTCCGCGGCGGCGCAGCCTACCCATTCCAACCCATACAAAGCCAACAAGCCATTTGACCTCCTTCCATAAAACGTAAGCCCACCATTTGACCAAGACTCCAACGGCAAGGACGAATCGAATAGGTAGAATTGTGAATGTGTGCAACCAAGCGTCCAAGCAGGCGAGGGCGCCAAAGTTCAAGGTCCGCTCCAAGTATGGAGGCAGGAGAAGGACGTTTTTGAGTCTCTCAAGCTTGACAGCGCTCGACTCGTAGGGGGTGTCATTAGAATGAGGATGATGAATATAGAGAGGGCTAGGTCGCTGTGCTGCAATCTCAAGCTGTAGGTGGGTGGGTATCGACATCGGGGGCAAGGGTATTTTCCCCAGCAAGGGCGACGGTGGCCCTGTGGCAGATTGTGGATCTGGGATCTTGGGTGTGGTGATGGTGGCAGGGCCCGTTCGGATCGATGGCAACGAGGCCAGGTGCCGTGTATCAATGTTCAGATTCAAGGGAGGAGGACGCATAGATTGATTGAAGGAGTACCGTCTGGGAGATGTTGCTGCCGCGGAGTGTTCGTTGGGAAATCTGGTGCGGTTGGCTGGTGGCGTTGATGCCGTCCTGGGGGCTGGGCTGGGCTGGCCAAAGTCAACTCTGTCTCTTACCTGCTGCCACGGTCTTCGGCCCCCGCGCCCGTCGAACTGGCCGTAATCTGTCCCAGGGTCGATCGCAGACTTCGGCAACAACTCATGGTGATCAGAGGGCACTGATCTCCTGTCAAAGTCGACGAAACGTCGTTCGGGGGCAGGTGCGATTGGCAAGGAGTCAGGAGACTTGGTCAATTCCTGGAGGTCGGCCGCAGACAATCTTCGGACCTTGAGACTACTGCTCCGGCTTCGCGACTTGGCCGCAGCGCCGTCTGTGTGTCCATTCGCCATCGTACGGTCCTGCGAGGGCAATGGTGTGGGCAGTGGCGCTGGGTCTGAGGGTAGTGGCGCTTTCAATTGCTCGTGCCCAAGTAGTCTGTTCCTTTCTTCTTCTATTGAGGACCGGTCGTCATCGGAGGACGGGGTGGCCAGCGTCGAGGCTACTGACGTCGGAGGGCTAACACTCGTAAAGCTCCCATCACTTGTCGAGATGCATGGCGGTGGCTCGAGACCCTCTCGCCGTCTTGGCGTTTTAGTGGTCGCTTCTGTCTCCGGGCGAAGATAGTCGTGCTCGGCTGTAGCGGCCATTACAGGTGCTCGCGAGCATTCTGAGCTGGCAGTACTTCCTTTCCAGCCGCAGGTGGTGAGACGAGGTGGCGAGGCAGTGTGTTGCGGTGGAGGATGACAGATGGGAACTCGAGGTTAGTTCGATCATTACATAAAAGCTTGAAAGACGAACCCCCCAGCGCTATATTAGCACTGAACAGTGTGAACTCCCCCACAGTTAGTTGCGAGGTCATGGGTTGGTGCAGCGGCTCCACCCGCCTAATCCTGTGATTCCCTTCTGAGACATCAGATTACATATGTATGTCTGTTGGATATTCCTATTCTTAGCACCTCCCTCGCTTGGGGATCGTACTGACATGAATGGCCTGGTCCTGAGTCTCTATCAGATCTGTTTGCCATCTCCAAGCCACTATGCAATCTACCACTGTCAGGCTACCATGTGCCATCATATGTAGCACGAAACCTTCAACCCATTCCACTATCACGATGACGCTAGAGGGTGTGAGGACTCGACCCGGGCACCAGGTTTGACAAGCACCAGCAGCCAATCGGAACCCAGCGTCTGCAGCGATTCTCAGATGCATAACGAACGACACTTGACACTTGGGAGATACAGAGTATCCCTCCACTTATTGTAGTACCCATCAGCCAGTCAATGACTTAAAGAAAAAACCGGATCTCAAAGGTGACAAAGGACACAGTTTCATTGCGCATTGAGGTGCTACAACGTCAAAATCTTAGTTTGAAGCTAACACCCCCAAGCAACAGCTCGGTATAAATTACTCCGGCTAGCTGGACCTACACTAAAGAATGGTCCCAACATGCGCTCTTCCACCATAAACCCGCGTTGCCTTATGGGTTGACAAGAAACTCGTCAAACCACGCCACGGCCTGCTTGAAGGCCTGTTCCTTGGCAAACCTCTCCGCTCGAACGTTGGGGTTACCACGAACAGCGAAGCCGTGCTCGACGCCCTGGAAGAGATTGATCTGGTAAGGCAGGCCTGTCTTCCTCAGGATTTCTTCAGACTTGATTCGCAACTTCTCGGGGAAGATTTCGTCAGTCTCGGCAGCAGAAATGGAGAAGGGGCCGGTGATCGCAGCCAGCTCCTCCTCCTCAACAAAGGAAGGGTGCGCAGAGTAGCCAACGTCGATTCCGTGCTTGTAGTTGCGCACGACATACTATTTAGCCTGTGTCAGTGATGCAACAATGTTTAGCCAGGGCTGGGTATTACCTTGGCGCCAAAGCAATACCCGACACCGCCAATTCTCTTGATTCCCAAGCTCTTCAAGGTTTCAATTCCTTGGACGACGATGGGGTCAATGGTGGCGGGTGTATGAGGGTTATTGCCGTCACTGCCCTTGGTGATCCACGCCGCGATATCCCAACCAGCTGGTCTCTCCACTGGCGCCTGGTCGCCGTTGAAGATATCAGGAATGAGTGTGGTGTAGCCTTGAGCGGCAAAACTGTCGGCCATCAATTGGCTATTGGGATAAATGCCAAAGATGTCTGACAGGATGATAATAGCTGAATCCTTCTTGGCAGGGAAATCCGCACCAGGTGTAGCCAGGTATGCGTCGGTCTTCCCATCAGCACATTTGATGATTTCTCCAGCGGGCTCGCCACTTCATGCTGTCAGTTGTCTTGTGTACCCCCGGAGCCATGCTTTGCGAATCCATCTTGGCATCGCAATGAGGGGATGCGGGGTGGTGCCTACCTGAGAATCCAGCCGCGAGCACAGCATTCGCCAGGGGGGTTTGAGGCCATATTTGTTGTCTCGAGGTAAACCAAAGTGGGTGTATTTATTGAGGGTCTCTCTTGAAGTTATGACTTTAAAAAAGCTCGATTCAAAACTGTTGAGTAGTGGGAAAATAAATAAAAGATGAAGCGGACGAGGTGGAGATGAAGACATCCCTGCTATCATCCTGCTCTTGCCCCTCCAAACCTCGGCATAGATTCCTGTGGTTGGCTACCAGCAGTATTGCGAATGTCGAGATGTGTAAGCAGTGCCTACCCCATTTGTCAAATTTCTCATTATGGAAATTGCTTTCTCGAGCTAGACTGAGGGTCAAGTTGGGTCCTCGCTTGTCGTCGAGTGACATAGACACGATCCTTAGGACGGAAAACCGGAAATAGAAGTCGGAAAGCCTTATTCCCAAAAACACTTAACCCACCAAGTGGGTTGGGTGGAAACGCGTAGAAAGAAGGGCGCGCATGGATATATTACTACGGTGGAAGTGGTTTATGATGATATCTCTGATCATCATGATGGGACCAGATGCGCGGCCCACCTTGCTGCATACCACATAGTTAGAGACCCTCAATAAGGCTGTTTAGGTAGCATGCCTCGGGGTCATATAAAAAGGAAACTAGGGACAACTACTTCTGTCGTACCGTTTTGGGTTTCCGCTTCTTGAATACAATTGGTGCTGGTCCCGTCTCGCCGTACTCTTTTTTAACTTGGGGTTCTAGCTTCGGCTCTGCAGTGTCGTCTGGCATGGTGAGACCCTGTACCTCTGTGTCGGGTTCCTTTTTGACTGGGTCTGGTTCTTCCTTCTTGACCTCCTCCTTGAATTCGGGGGCCTCATCCTCAGCTTTGACATTCAGGTCTCCGCCGGCATTCTGATTTTGGTGTGTCAATATCGAGCCGCTCAGAAGAGCATCCAGGTCTGCGTCCTCATCTTGGTTGCCAACAGTTTTTGAATCTCGACCCCACCTCCTCGGCTTCTTAAACAGACTCTGCAGAGCTTCCTCCTCCTCCTTCTCCTCCTCAGTGACTTCTCGTTTGCGGACCCCTGTTGCCTTAGTATCCTTACTGTCCTCCCCTTCAGCAGGTTTATCCTCGATGACTCGTGTGCTTGTGACAGTCCATTCGCCAGCCATCGCCATCTCGAGTCGAAAGTCGTCGGGCATCGCCACCCCTAGCTCCGCTAGCTGCTCCCTCTGCTTCTTGAGCTCGGCCTCAGTCGAACCAGCTGACACCGGCCCTGCCTGTGAGCTCCCGCGCGGTCCAGGCCGCGAAGACGACGACGCTCCAGATACTACGCCGTCAAGCCGGGCAATCTCCCGCCGCGCCCTCTCCTTCTCGCGCTCCTCCTTTTCATGGTCGCGATGTAGGTCTCGTAGGAAGCGCTTCAACGCGTACTGGTGCTTGGCGGTAGCTTCATGGTTCTGGCGCTCAAACTTGGTGTCGCGGACGAAAACGGAGCAATGCTTGCACCAGTACTTTGGTGTGGATTTCCAGTGTTCTGCCATAGTCCAGGCTCGAGCTTCGTGACGTGAGTTTAAATTATACAGAGCTGGCAAAATCTTCACGCGATGGGCGTGGATGTAGAAAGATCGATCTCCAGGCTTGAAGAGTTGAATGCTGGTCTTTGAAAACCGACTGCGACAGGCAAAGGCTTATCGACATTTGTCTTATCGGTCCACTTGGAAATGCAGCTCCTAAATGGGTCTAGTCCATAATAGGTAATACTAAGTTGAATTAATGTATTAATCCAGGCACTCCGACTTCCAAACAGGATTACTACCCAACCGGGTGACATAAGAGATGAGACACCAAATTATTGTGCCTTCTTTGTAGCCATCAAATGCTGCAATAAAGATACAATAACCCCTAAAAAAGTATAATCCTTTTACTAGCTTCTAAATAATATTAAAGTCTCCTTTTGGTCTTTTTAAAGGATTTTTACAATTAAGTTGTAGTGAATACAATACAGAGCCTCTCCAAATATGGACGCTTGAAGTACCGGTTTGGTGTCTCATCTCTTATGTCACCCGCTTGCTACCTTAAATTCCTTCTGTCCATTGATATACGCCCAGATCTTCCGGTGAAGCTGCCGTTCTTCAACATTATCTATATGGTTTACATTGTGTTTTTTTCTCGACCATATGTATAGCTCGACTTGTTGAAGGGCGAGGAGGCGCTCTATCGTGATGTTCTTGGTTCTTACGACTTACAGCTTTAGTTTAAAGATGTGTCAGTACCTAACTCTAGCTAGGTACCTAAGTAATGGATTACCTTAAAGGAAGTAATGGATTACCTTAAAGGAAGTAATGGATTACCTTAAAGGAAGCAATGCAGAGATAGCCACAAGCTAGACTAGTCGCAGCAGGACGTGACACAATTTTGACACCTTTTACAACCTGATTCGCGCATTAAGCAGATTGCACATCAAACAGGAGGTAAGTATGTTAAGAAGAATCGCATTCAACTTGATCTATCTAAAACATGTGTAACATTAGAGCTCTGTGGTTCATCGGCATCAAGCCTGATGCCTTAGTCGTGTTCTCTTCCCCATACTGAAAACAAAAAAACGCATTCGTTAACTATCTAAATATACATGAAAACCCAAAATACGCCCACGATCAATGTTGCGAGAGAATGTGATCCCATCTTGTTTCCCCTTGATGCTGGGGGGTTGGAGGGTGTAGGGTTCTCCTCAATCGGCTTCTGTGACTGCTGGGAGTAAGAGGAGGAGGTAGCCTGTAGCTTCGGTGTCGGTGTGGGAGAGATGACACCGGTGCTGGGGCCAGGTGTCTGTGAAGGAGAAGAGGGAGAAGGGTTCCACGACGGAGGAGCTCGTGAAGGTTCAGTGACAGGACGTGGCGGGGGGACTACCGTGGGCACATGAACTTTGGCATTGCGAGTCTTGGTGACGATGGCACCCTTGGTTGGGGCCTGGATCTGGCCGTCCGCGATCTGGCTGACACGTGGCTGGTCCGCGTTGTCCGGGGCTTCGCACGACTCGACGTAGATGGTCACGGGCTCGCATTGCTTGGCCGAATTTCTATCGTAAAGGTTGTAGAAGTCCCCGGAGAGACATTCATAGAAGGTTCGTGCTGGCCCGAGTGCGAGGGTAGAGTCATCGCAGACTGCCCAGCCCTTGGTAGCGAGTGCATTGGGCTGTGCAGGGCCATCAAACTGAAACTGGTGGTTTGAGGCAATGGAGCCGACACGATTCTGCGAATCAATGAGTCCACCATCCTTCAAGGACATGACAAGGGCACCTTTGTCGGTACACTTTCCACTCTGTGAACTTGTTAGCTGGCTGTACATAGGTACTCTTTGGAGACATCGATGAGTAACATACCTGTACTTCTGAACGTTTTGTAGTTCTCTTGCTGATAATTATTTGGAACTGTCCATTATAGGACGCAGAGCAGCCTTCCGGAATTCTCTTCGTGTTGCCGACATCTTTAGGCTCACTTGGAGGGGCAGCTTGGACGGCAGCCGAGAGACACGCAAGCAAAACAGATTCCCACTTCATGATGGCCGTTTGGTGATTCGGGTTGGACTGGACAATATTATAGCTTTCAGAGAGCGTGTGGGCGAGATTTTGTATTTCTCTTGGGGTTGAAGAAATCAGTCTGTAATAGAGGCAATATGGTGTTGGCTGCCAATGCTGGGACAGATGCCAGTGTGATTGTTGCAATCAAGGTGAGCGCCATGGCATCCAATATATAGAAATCTCGATATCGGGATTTCCTTATCCCAGCCCTTTGAAGACCTTTAATACTGGATCCCAAGCGTCATAGACTGTTCCTCTTAATACGGAACTTCTCCAACATCTCGCGATTCAACCTCGCGTTTCCAATAAAGTTCCTGTCGCGTGGAGGCTGGGTGTGTCCAATGTCTCAGTGTGGGACGACCGGATCTACTCCAAGACCTGCCCCTCAAACCTTTCGGTGGCAGGGCCGAGGGCAGCAGATCTACCAGCAGCAAGTAGCTAGGTTGGGCTCATAGCGGACAACGGACGTATAAGATTTGATGGTGGCATGGATAACTCATCTAGGGCCATGAAAAGTTCCCACAGATGAAAGATTCCACCCAAAGGAGCCTTCTACTCTCCGCGGCTAAGAGGAGAGCAGGCGGAGAAACATTCGATGTAGTACCCAAGCCTAGACCCGTTCCCCCTTACAAGGGAGGCGTAGGTATGCCATCCAGACATTTCGCTGGCCGTTTGGTGGCTATGAGAGAGATAGAATTACTGTGAAATGGACAAGGAGGGCTTTTTTCTAGCAGCTCGACCAGGATAAAGCGTTTCCAGTCGTGGCTACCCGTGGAATGTGTCTTTGTCTCAGGTACCAGCGGGAATTTGCCTACCAACGTTTAGCATGCCAAACGGTCGCCCAGCCATCAAATTGATGCATAAAGCCCTGCGGAGGGGTTAAAGTTCTGAGACCCCTATTGAACTTTCATGTTCCTGTCGTCGTTTTCTCTAGGATCTTATAAAAGTGTTTCCAGGAACTTGGCGCTCGTGAGACAGACGCCACCATGTGAGCAGCGACAGCCTTTGTCGAGCATGAAATTCCTACATTAATCAACGACACAAGCCAAGGGGCAAGAACCCTCCATACCGTTTCATTTATCAGTAAGGAGCCTGTTACCAGAATTCAAGATGGGCGAGAATGATGAGATTGGTTGAGATGGATGACAAAGTAAAATTTAGGTATATTCCTTCCTCGTCCTATTCAGACAATGTGGTAACAGACTACGGTATCAAGTTCTAACCTTCTATCGAGAGCAATTAATCTCTTCGCGCTTAAAAATAGCAATAATTGTTGTAGCCGTCCACGGCCATCTCCCCATTTTGTTGTTTATATCATATCTCTTCTCGTCAATCATATCTTCATATGTACTTCATTCTTACACCCTCTATTGTGCGCCAGCCAGGGACAGTAGGCTCTGGTGGTTGGCAAAGAGACTGGGCTGGGTCTTGTACAGACCTTGCACGGTCCTCTTCACCATTTCGCGAGCATCGTCCTCGAGCTGCTCCTCGGGAGGGCTCAAGACCTTCTCGAAAATAGTAAGAAGTTGGGGAGTGAACTGTTGAACTGTCTGGTTGGATTGGTCGTCTATGAATGAAATGTTAGTCATTGTCCTCTGCACAAATTGAGCAGTTTGAACTTACAAAGCTGGTAGATGTTCTGGAAAATGGGCACATTCTCCTCGTAGTCCTCCTCCAAAGGCAAGACGCTGATGATGGAAGGAAGAGCCTCGGCGATGAAACCATTGTCGGGGTGCTTGATCATCATGCGGCTAAGAGCGCCAGATACGTTGTCAGCCATTCGCTGCTCCTTGACAGCCAAGAGAGGCTCAAGCTTCTCCCAGATTCTGGGGTAGAGAGGGAAGGTCTTGGCGGTATCGTTGGAGTTGAGAACCAGCATGCCAATGGCATATGCAGCATTTGACTTGGCAAGAGGGTCGGTATCGGTCAGACGGCGGGCAAGAGCCTCGCCGAGAGACTCGGTGTAAGGGGTAACAGCTTCGCCAATGTACTTGACAATCTCCGCAATGGTGCCAACAGCAGTGGAACGCTGGATATCCTCAGTTGAGCTAGCCAACTTGAGAACGGGCTTCTCGAAAATCTTCCAGATTTCATGGAAATCAGGCCCGAGCGCAGCAGCAAGGCCGACGACCACATCAAGAGCGGTGTCAGTGACAAGCCAGTCGTACTCGGAGGATCCAGCATCAACCTCAGGCTCCTCATCCTCGAAACCAAAGTCTTGCTGGCACTGGTGAGATCGCGTGACAATTGTTCCAACGACGGAGATGATCTCCTGTAATGCACCATCCTTAGCAACCAGAATAGAAGGACCACAAGCTTTGAGAGTGGCGGCGACATTTCGGTTGATGTCAGTCACCACAGCCCTAGTACACTCTGTTAGTGAACAACTCATTCAAATACTGCAAAGGTATGAATAGAGTGAGGAAATGGCATAAAATCAGGAGTAGATGTAACGTGTTCTCAGCAATCGCATTTTGCGTCTGAGTGAGCTGGGTTTAACGTAGGATGCTCATCATATAATAGCCTAAAATGAAAAGTTGAAAATGGTTCCATGTACGTACCTTTCGTGCTCGTCAGGCCATGCCTTCAAAGTAGGGATCAAGATAGTCTGTGCAATAGAGATGATGGAAGGAGGAGGCGTTTGCTTGGGGGGCATACCAGGCTCCCATTTGGAGCCAGAGCCCTCCTCCCAAACCTGGAAGACACGGGCATAGATACGCCAGAGGGTGGAAATGGCAGTCTTGCGGCAGCCTTCGTACGAGTGGCCAGTAAAGGGGAGGACCTTCTCGATAGTCTTTTCAACAACAGTCTCCAGGTCGTTGGTACCACACGAGTGAGAAATAATGTCGCCAAGAACGTCGAGAGCAATCTCCTGCTCAAGGGCCACGGCGGTGACAGCACCGAGACCCTCAAGATCTTCGAGATCATCCCAGTCATCATCACCCTCGGCCATTTCATCTTCCTGGTCATCAGAGGAGGCCTTCACCTTGATCTGCTTGCCGCCGACCACGATGGAACCATCAACCAGTCCGCTGGTATCCAGACCAGAAAGATCGATCTCTTCCTCCTCAAGCTCAAGAGAGTTGAACAAACCCTCAAGAGCTCCCTTGAGGAAGTGGTTGAAGTCCTCCTTGTAGACCTTGGCAAGATTGGACCAAAGAATGAAGCTGGTCTCCTTGAGACGAGGGTTGTCAATGCCCAGGGCCTCTTCGCTTGCTTCCATCAACTTCATGACATATGGCTGGAAGGCTTCGGGACCAACGGCCAAAGCGATGCGGCCCATGCTGTCGCAGGTGGAGCTTCGCAGCTCCAGAGCTTCGTCATTCTCCTTGGCAACAACGAACTTTCCAAGAGCTTCCATGACATCGTTGAAGTAAGGAAGAAAGTCCTTCTCCATTGCAGCAGCAATGGCACCAAGAGCCGAGGCGGCAGAAGACTTAACGCCAAAGTCTGAGTGGTCCAGGAGCCTGACCATAGGACCCACCAGATTGGGCCCGTACTGAGCCATAATCTTGGTATCAACACCATCACCGAGTGTGTCAAGGGCAGTGCAGGCAGAGCGGATAATGTTGATGTTCATCTTGTCGGAAGGACCTTCGGAAGCAGCCTGCAAGTTCTTCAGGACAGCATTGATAAGTTCCTCGTGGTGGGACACCATTTCATCCACCATCTCTTCGGAGAGGTGAATCAGCCCAATCAGAGAAGCATATCTGACCTGAGTTTCGGCGTCGCTCAAAAGGCTAACAATGAGAGGGAGGAGGGGCTTCAGCTGAGTGGAGATGAAGTCAGGCGCACCCTCGGCAGCGTTACCAAGAGCAAGCATGGCGGCCATACGGAATTGAGGCTTCTGGTGAGCAGCGAAAATAGGGAACTGTTCTAGAAGGGGAACAATGACTTGGCGGGGAGGAAGCTCGTTGGCAAGAGTGTCGACAAGTCTGATGGCGCTGCGGGCAGGAGTAAGCTCCTCATCATCATCAGTCTCAATCTCGCCAATGATGTGCATAGCCTTGATCATCAGCTGTGAGCCCATATCCTTCATGGCCTGGATCTTCATACGGCGGTAGCCAACCGACATGACGAGGAAGTTGATGGCCTGAGTACGCGCCTCCTCATCAACCTCGGTGTTGGCGGCAATCTCCAGAACCAAGTCGAGAAGATCCTTGAGGTGCTGACCCAACAGGTTGGGGTCGTGGGCAACGAAGGTCTCGAATACCTCGAAGACGGTGTTGTAACCTTCGCTGTCCTCATCCTGAATGGTGGCCTTGAGGATGTTGACCAAACCAGGCAAAAAGCCCTGGAGAAGCTGTGTTGCCTGAGGGTCCTCCTCTGGCTCGACGAGAGGGGCGATGACACCAATGGCGCGAACAATGTTGACACGAACGTCCTTGCTCTCGGGGTCCTCCAGACGGGAGCCGCACAGCTTAAGCAGATCGTGGATGTGGTCGAGGAAGTGCATTGGGTTGTTCTCAAGCATGGCGTATAGCAGGTATGAACCGGCCTCACGGATACCAACGTTGTCGTTGTTGCTCAGAGTAAGAAGCTGCTTCAAAAACTCCTCGCCCTCCTTGTTCTTGATGTCCACTCCAACAATACCAGCAATCAGGCGGCACGCAGAGTGGCGCAGGTTGTTTGCGGTCTCCTTCAAAAGACCATCGAGGAGGTGCGTGCGAGCAAGCTGGCGCTGGTCCTGAGCGGTTTTCTCGCCCCAATACTTGGGGACGAGGCGGAGGGCCTGCACGTAAGCGAGCTGACGGACATCCTGAGCTTCGTTGGTGAGAGCGATCTCGATCAAAAGGAGAAGCGACTCGGGCTTGGAGTAGAAGTCCTTCTGGAGTTCGGCAGTGGCGGCCTTGACCTGTTCGGTGTTTGCTGCGAAGCCTCAAAGTTAGTAGCTGACCCAAACATTCTGGTCACTGGAGGTGGTGACGCTTTGATGAAGATGATTTGGAAGACAGCACTTACGCACTTGACTGCCCTTGAGCAGCTGGACGAGCTTGGCCTTGTCCATCCTGTCGAGATTGCACGGTGAAAAGGGCTCGCAGATGGGAGTCTGTGCAAGGAGGACAGGAGGATGGGGGGACACAGCGAGGCCTTTTAAAAAAAATTGGCGGCGCGGGGCACAGAGCAACCAAACGCGTGGTGGGTTAAAAAAAAAAAATGTTTTTCTGCCCAAACAGACAGCCTCAGTTGAATTGGTGCCCCGCCCCGCCCCGCTCCTTCCATGACAGCGAGTTCAATTTGGCTGATTAGCAGCGCCTAGCAAAGGCCAGGACATGAACTGCCAAAAGCAGCATCGATCCGCGAATCCGCTTACAAGCCAACCCATCGAGCTGATGAATGAGGACATGTAGGAGGAGTTCATTCATGGAAGCATGCCATGAGTCTTCTCTTAGGATTCCTCGACATGGAACTGGCAATACGTGGCCTGCGCTGGGCAGATGCTAAGGTGCAGAGAATGGGCTCTGCAGCCTGGAAGAGGTAAACAGGCAGTGCTATGGTGTCTACGCCATAGAAGAACGTTCACGTCCAGTTGGTGTAAGTAGGAAACTAAGCCAGTTCTTGGGCTCTGGGGCCCATTGACCAAGACTAAATAAGTCAAGATAGCCCTCAGTTTTATTCCTCAACACCATAATCACAGTTTCCACTCAAACTGAAATCATGCAAAACGGGCCTGTCTTCCAGGTCGCCATTGCACCATTGTTGGACATAACAGGCGACCCCCAAAGAAAACATCCACTTTACATATGTGAGTCTTGCAATCCCAGAAACAACGAACCTTTGCCCAGCCCAAATAGTGGAGCTTCGGACGGAGAGAAGCATTAGTGCCAATGCTCCCCATCATCTTTACTCTGTCCCGTGTCTTGGTGGCGAACACCATTGATGGAGCTCTTCTCGTGATTGATGTGATGCGAATACTGCCCAGTCGCTCATTCATCGTGAAAACATAATGACTTGTGCATCATCAATTCAATCCGATGTAGGCTTCTGGGGAAGACACAAATGCGAGCCCTTCTTGAGCCTGTCGCAATCCAAGTCCTTGTTGGCCCCTACAAGATCATCAACAGTGATACCTCGGCTGTGTGCAATGTCCCAGCAGGTATCCCCAGAGGCGATAGTGTAGTCCAGTTCGCCTTCTTGGCAAATCACTTTCGGGGGTGCCGACCAGCCTGACTTCGCGGCGGAGTGCAAATACCAGAAGAGGAAGACCAAAAACAGGCCGACCAAGATGAAGAAGTTGAGCAAAGGCATCATTTCCGCACGCCATGATGGCCGGAATTGCTGTTCGGATCCGAGGAACGGTTGAGCGTCATCATCGTCTTCAGAGACACGAGCTTCTCCGACACGCGTCAATCGACCGTAACGGTTGCCGGGAGCACTCTCCCAATAGCTCCCGTCCGCATCCTTGAATGTGTAAACTTCTGTGTCAGCATCGTAGCCGACTCGCGACATACCTTCCGGTAGTCGCTCCTCGTCCGTGTCATATTGCGAGAATCGTGACATTGTATATGGGTCTCGAGGTCAAATCGATGGAAAATTACGAAAGCAAGCGTAGCAAAATGATGTGTCCGTTTCGTTTAGATGAGTGAGTGATGGTGGTTTCGGTGAGTATGCAGGAGAGAGATGAAGGAAGGGAGGTCTCGTGTCAGCTGTTAGATATACCGACGTAAGGCGTCTCATGATGATTATATAATCAATTGTCTCCCCTATATACGCGTCACACGAGTGTGGCTGGGTTACTGGGGTCTATGCCTCAAATATTGCATAGGTACCTTAGCAAGTGGGTGACAGGAGAAATTAGACACCTAGTGGAAGGGTGGTTATTAATCGACTACTTTCTGTAATAAACAGAGAAATTCAGTAGTATAAAAATAAAATCAAGTGACAATATATAAGGTATTATCTCTGAAGTTTGCATTATTGGGACTCAATAATCTGATAATACCGGTCGCAGACTTGAGAATAAGCAGCTAAATGTTTAAGTGTCTCAATTCCAATGTCACCCACTGGCTTAGATACATAGGTAGGTAGCTTGGTAGGTAGCTTGGTAGTTTCAACAAATAAATGCCTAAGTTTTTATGCCAATACAAGGATGAGAGTAGCTCAATGTTCGCGGCGTAGGGAGGCATCGGTTATGATACCCGGCACTCGGAAGTTGGTTGGATTTCACGACAGCCAACCCCCTGTTCTAGAAAAGCACAAGCGTCAATTTAAATCAATTATGTTTCGTATGCGACGAATGATGGTATCAATCATGGGCATAGTTCTTTGGCAATTTCGCCTTGGCGAGCTTTTTATTCAGCTTAGAAAGGTTTAGGCCAGGCAGCCAACCCATCAGGATAGAAGCTTGAGCATGCATTGTGGGGTGTGTCAGTATGCTCGCTAAATTTGACAGTATTTGGCGCTGGAATACGAATGCCGGCCACCTGGATGGCCACTATTCGACGATGGAAGGCTCCGAATCCGGGACATAGTGCCCTTTCCATGCTTAGCCACTCTAATTTTGCTCGACCTTCGTTATCCAACCGCTGCTGCCTCAGAAAGCCCCGTGTCCAGCGACTTCAGTTGAAGCACTTCCTAAGTGGCAGCCCAGGCCTCCCATCCCACTAGGAGCTCGGATATGGGAACGAAACGAGGGGGTCAAATGTTCTCCTCTCCCTGTTCTGGAGCGAGTGCACAGTAGACAAGAATGGCCTCTAACACATATTTCTAGCTGTGGTGATATTGGGTTCCATTACAGTATCCCCGTTCGGCGATGGACCGCTTGGACCATCGCATCCCACGGGCCTACCACACCAACATAGTCGACATCCACTTGGCGACGAAGCTACAGGCATCTTGAAAGGACCAAAAATAAAAAATAAAATGAAGAAAGAGTAAAAATAAATGGAATTTTTGCGCCATTGTAGATGTTCTCCCTGTGTAAGCTCTTCTCGTTTCAGATATGGTTGTGTAGAAGACCTTAAGCCATGGTCAACTGGTGGAACCACTTGTTTGCAACTTGAAGCGCCGTCTCCAACGCCCCGCCCCCATTCTAGTCTTACGTTCCTACTACATACCCAGATTTATATTAATAAATATTTCTCCGATGGTGGCAATTCGGGCCTTGCCATATCGCCCGTTAGTGCCCTTTTAGTAGGCAAAGGTCGAGAAAATGAAACACCTCTACTCCGATTGCGAAAGGGAAATCGGGTCCATATTGATATGATACTGTAAGCCAACCACCATCCCACCAGATGATATATAACAGTGAACCATCCCAAAGAAACAATACTTCTGCCACGCACTATAGCACACAGCATCAGTTTTCTTCCTTTACTTTATTACTTAATTCAGGCGGGCTCCTGTGACGTCTTTTCCGCCAGTCTCTTTTCGTTCCCTCTGCGCTTCATACCCTTCATCCTTTTTCATCTTTCAGCTACCTACCCACAGTCATTCTCAACATGTTTCCCAGGTAGGAACATACATTTAAGCAGTGCATATTTCAAGATAGGAAGCTAAACGATTCAAGGAAACTTTTTTCCAAATACTACGGATATACATCCACCACCAAAAAGACAGAAGAGCAGAAAGCCAGACCCCAGCCTATCCGAACAACCTCAAGCTACAATTATATGCCTCTCTTGGACCCCGAGGACTACGTGGAGCCATCCACTCCTCGTTTCGCCGCCGTCAGCTGCTGAGCTGCTACAACAATATTTACTCTCACAAGTACGCTGGCTCGGCTTGCACGATGTTACGAAATTAGCTGGCGTTCTCATTGCTCCACAACTACTTTGGAAGGATTCGAATTCAGGCTTCAAATGATAAAGAAGATGCCCTGTGTTAGACATTATAAGTTAAAATATAATAAAAACACTTAAAGACTCAATCTCTCAGTAAAATCTTGTAAATTCTATCAAGGGGCGATTCGATTCAATGTACTGCATCATGGTTCTACGTGTTCATTGACTGCCGGCTTTTCTTGGAACACCACTGCCGTCGGCTCACGGACACCAATTGATTCCTTCACTTTTACTACCGGCCCAGTATACTCACAAGATGGTTGTAATCTCAAAATTCTTCTATCTACGAAGTTCATTTCTCGCCGTCTCGTTTGCCTTGCGCCTCGATCTGGATGCAACATCATGCTATGAGGCTCAAAATTCGAGTTTCAGATCCGGAACCGAGGTTTGTTTTGGTGTTATCGGCCATGTTAATGCGGGGCACACTGGTGTCCCGGTTCACCAACCCCTTATAAATACCTACCATACTACCTATCCCTAGTCATTTAGCCGTATTAGACTGCGATGGCTCTCAATTAAATAGAAAGTTCCTTCTCGAGCTTATTTCACGTGAGGACGAGCTTGTGTAAATCGATATGGCCACAAAACCAAAGGTCCCACTACCATTGGGAGAGGTAGCCAAAGCTCACAAGCTCAGCAACAGTGTCTATGAAGTAGACTTAGTGCCGTCGTACTGTGTCGGGACAGGTAAAAGCATCTCCTAAATTACCAGTGTTGCATCACAACTGACATTCAGGATAGTGCCCAATGGAGGCTTCGTGGCAACCCTTTTCTCAGTTGTTGCCAGCCAACACCTGGCATCTCGGAATCAACCACATACACTGGCAGCTCATTGGTCATTCCTCAATCGAACAGCGGCCGGGAAAGCCTATATTCGAGTGATCGAGTCAAAGCTTGGACGTGCATCATCGGTCCTCCATCTCAGCCTTCATCAGGATGGTCTGACTCCTCAAGAGCCTTTCATCGCACCTGAGTCCCAGCCCAAGGTCGTTGCATACATCACCAACACCAACCTTGCACATGAGTCCGGTGTGACGCTACCGACCGGATGGTCACTCGGCCACCCGCCGCCCAAGGTAGATTTGGAGAAGCTGGTTTCTGGCACAGACCCCAATTGGGAGCGTTTGATCCACCCACTGACGAAGGCGGTGCCCATGCTTAACAACTTGGAATACTACCATCAGCGTTCGGGCCATGTCCTCCCTACAACGCATGACTACTGGATCCGATTGCCTTGCGATGAGAATTTTACACTGGCATCACTGGGATACGTTGCGGATGTGGGACCACCGCTTTTGATTGAATCATTTCGCCCAGCTTCGGTGGATGCGCCTATACCTCCTGGCGGTTTTGCTTTTAAGAAAGCGTTTTGGTATCCTACACTCACGATGACCTTGGACGTGCGGAGGACGATGCCACCCGAGGGACTGCCATGGCTTAGATTGCGAGTGGTGGCGAAGGAGGTCCTAAATGGCAGGTATGATGCTGAAGTGCTTATATTTGATGAAGCTGGGAGGCTGTTAGCACTCAGCAATCATGTAGCCATGGCCTTAGATATATCCAGGAATTATGCCGAAAGGCGACCCAAAGAGAGGATGTAGCTTCGAATAGAGAGGTAGATGCAGATAGCGGCGGATTTTCGGGGTCTTCGAATGACCCGGATGTAGTATCAAAGTAGAATCTGCAAGCATTGGTCAAATTCAGACCAGTGCTTCGAGTTCCACTGTACCTAATTCAAATGAAAGGTGGAGGGGGAGGTTGGGCGAGTGAGGATGGGGAAAGATGCCCGTCGCTAGTCACGATTTTACAGAGGCGGACGGATTCTGTGAGCACTCTAGTTTTCCCCCTATCACCACCCACCAAATCTCTTAATAAAATACAGTCCAATATATATTAAACTTTCGGATTTGGCTCCATGAAATCCCCTTTTCTCATCACGAAACATCCTCAATCAACATGGCGATACACACCACCTGTAATTGCCTACCAATCCCGGGTGCGTTACCGTGACCAGGGCATGGGTTTAAACTGGGGAGCAGCTCCCAGGATGCAGGATGAAGCACCGCTGACAAACAAGCTCCCGCCACATGGTAGCTCAGCTCCGATCCCCTGGACTGGACGGCATGTGGGTGGTCAGGGCCGTTTCCCCCCAGCCTTGTCCAATGTGGTTTGCCAACCATAAAGTCGCCTTGTGTCGCCTTGTCTCCGATTCCCATTGGAGGTCAAGATAGGCATTCGTGGCCAGCAATGCGGGTACTATCTCTACCTAGTCAACAGTATAGGGGATCAATCGATGTGACAGCCTCCATGCTAATCATAGGAGGGGACATTCGTTTCCTTGCTGCGTCCATCCCGCCATTCGATCCGATCCCCAGCTAGGACAACAGGTCGCGAGCCCTCACCGTTCACCATGGCGGACGACAGTCAAACAGAAATCGTTGTAGCAGCAGCAGCTCTGGTGGTCTCTGTTATCGCTTTTGCTGCTACATTGATGCAATGTCTCCAACAGTACTTTGGCTCTGCTCGAGGCTACTCACACTGCAATCCCAAGGTCATGGGGGATTGGGCCCAAACGAAATCCCGCCGATTCTCGCTCAAAGAGCTCCGCTTCGAAGTGCAATTCGACGCACCCGTTATATTTGTTTGTGCCCCCAACAACAAGAAGGGCCCGGTTCCGGAGGCAGATGTCTACAAGCTTGACGGGACGGAGGAAAGTTTGAGGGACACGTGGACCACCTTGAATATGAGCCAGAGAAAGGACTACGAAGACAGAAACCGCAAGGAGCGCATTCATACATCTGATAACGAGCGGGCATCCTGGACGATACTGCTATCGGCCGTCCAATGCATGGAGAAGGAATCCCGAGAATGGCAGGAGGAAGAGTTCGACTACCAAGGATCCCCATCGCCGCCCCGAGCCTCCCTCCCGGAACTGGGCTTACCCCCCACGCCTCCGACTCTCGATCAGACCCATACACTGGTGGTTGCATTACAAAAGAAGCGAAAGAGCTGGGATACTATGCCTGCCACTATTACAAAGCCCTACGCAACCACCACCATGTGCCATCTTATCGAAATAACTGCTGCCCTTGGGGTCTATTGGAAAGTCTTTGACCGAATCAGTGATCGATATCGTGCGGAGGGGAACGGTTTCATGGTTCTGGGAGATCGAGTCAATGATCTCGGCCTCCTGTTTTCCTTCCAGGTCAATGGTATGTCACGATTTACTCGGAACCGTGTAATACCTGTTGATGAGGTCAAGGAACTCTGCTTTGGGTGGGTTCCAACCATCTACCGCTCTACACAAGACAAGAGAAGACTCGAGATTCCACTGGATGTGCTCGATCTGAGCTCACTCCAACTGGCTAGCCGGGTTGAGATCTCAGAAACCCTTACTATGATAGGGTGCAATAACAACGTCACCAAATATTTCAATGCGAACCGACGATTTTCACATCTTTTCAGCTGTAAGAAGAAAAGAATCCCCGGCGCCAAATATGTGGACTAACGTATTACTTTTCTCAGTATCCTTTGAAATTTTGGCTATGTTAGCCCAGACGTTTCACATCGAAGACACCCTCTTTACTTTTCTGCCAAACCCGACACCAGATCGTTGGGACAGCAAGGCTGTGTCTCTTCCCAAGTTACTCGAAGCCTACGAGCTCAACTTCAAAGAGGAGCTTACAAACAGGGTTCCCAGGAATCGTACCATTGTAAACAGGCTAAAGCACCACATGGAAAACATTAATCGCCAGTATCGCAAGGATGGAACTGTGGCCGAGACCCTCCTACGTTTTAGAGCGCTACATGCGGCGTTGGACGACACTGATGAGATCCTTACTGGCAGAAAAGCAGCAGCAAGAAAGGAACCTGAGCAGGGAGGCAACCCACGTGCCAATTTGGATCCTCGGCCGCTTTCTCCGGCCAAAACCCTAGAACGAATTGGAACTTTGTTTATAGGTACTACGAAAAAGAGTGACGCCTCCGCGAAGCGAACTGGGCTCAAGAAGCCCGTCAAACGCGACCCTCCAGGACTAAGTAAGGAAACGGAGGAACAGCAGCGAAGACGAGAAATTGTACAGGATGTCCTTCGGTCTCATATTCAGGAGGTTCTTCGTCTACTCAACGAGCCGGATGAACGCAAGGATCAGCAGACTCTTCGTGTACCAGAGCAAGTTAGGGGCCGATCAAGAGATCCTTCCCCATCCGCATCGTCACAGTTTGATGATGTCCCAACGTTCGAGAATATGGACGGAGCCAGCCCGGATGACAGACAGCACATCATGATGGACGTGTACTTCAAGCGTGTACGGCGGCTGGTGGTGCCGCATGCCACCCAGTCAACGGACAATCGCCGGGCCGGGCGAATCAACTCACCCTCCGGACGGCGGGCGAGCATCGATTCTCAGTCCAGCGCCATCCGCTCTACCCTTGATAATTCTCCGACGGCAATAGTGTCTGTACCGCCTCAGATCAACGAAGAGGTAGCCGAGGGAGACGATGGTCATCCCACTACACTCGGCCGCTCAACCAATAGCTCGGAGACTGTTCGCATCAACGGGGTAGCAGCTGAGAGGCCGAGTGCCACGGCTATTTCGACCCCGTTACCCAGCTTGGCGGGAGAGGCTGTGTCTCATGATGATGTGTGGTGCACGCTTGTGTTTCGTATGATTTGTTGGTTGATGTTGCATGACTTTAATAAGTTGGACAAACAGGTGGTTAAAAGTGAGCTGCTTGGCAGCAGAATGCCGGTTTACATCTCATAATCCACTGCGGGGGGTATTCTATTTTCCGATCATGATAACGACGAATGATTGACGACAGGCATTACTCTAGAATAGGCATACGAGTATAGATAGTAACTCACTCATATTGGGCTATTTGATCTTTTAAGAAGTGCATACCGAACAACTTTGGTTAGGTAACCAACTCAACATCATGACCTATCAAAAGATCCGCATAATGACCGACTTGCCAATAACAATCGGCCTTTGTTAACACACCACATGCTGGACGCATTATGTTTTATTTGTCGCATGTTTATCTTACTGACGTGCTTTATACAGCTCCATGCTTCTCTAGGGTAGTGGGGTGATCTGGTGTACCATACCACCGGATCGGTTTCTGGCCTCATATCTGGGGATGAGTACTCGGCAAGGCAGTTTGTATCTATCGGGGAGACGTTCATACACAATGCCTTATGGCTTCTGACACAGTCTGATCTTTAGGCCTAGTGATTTTCACCGGAGAAATCATACAATCGGAACGGCCGTCGCCACTGAATCAAGACGTGCGGCTTCACGTGATGGCCCTGGTGTGAGGCGGTTACCACTTTGGGCAAGGTGGGGAATCGGCTATGGGCGAGGAATTCGCTGGAAAAGCCCTCTAGCCTTGATCTAGCCGCCGGGACCGGCACCGAGCCCACCAACCTCAGGGTCCAGGGCGGAGTGTACCCACTTCGAAGCAAGTATCGACGACACAATTGGTACCTGGCTTTACCTCATACAGGGCTTTGTTGTAAGCGCCGCGGGCTCAGGCTGGCTCCTTACATTAGCCCGAAAGGGGCTGACAATCACCAATACTTGCTTGTTTGAGGAGAAGAACGTGCAGGAATAGCATTGCCGTAGGGTATTTGCGGCATCCTGCCCATGAGAATCCGAGATGTGAGTTGAACAAGGAGTGGAATAATCTCAAGGTCATATATTGTATTTTGTGCAGCCTTTTTAAAGCTAGGCACTGGGCTGAACGGTAAACAAAACGGCAGGCGAGGGGGAAAATATCAAAATCATAAATCACCTCAGCTGATAATTATTATACCTCAAAACCAACGGCACAGTTACGACGCGCCCGTTGCGCCCGCCCGTTATATGCACTGTAACTGCCCTTCAATAGGTGCGCGTGCGAAAAGAGTGGCAGCCAACAGCCTGGTGAAGTCTTTTCTCTTCCCCGCGTGAGAGGAGTTGCCGGATGAAGCCCTTTGCCGACACCGGGCGCTGTTGAGTTTCCGTCGTCTACCCCGGAAAATCTACTATGCCATTCTCTGGACAGACCTAATTTTTAGAAAGACCCTCGGCCGTTCACTTGAAGAATGGAATTTGCTCCAATGACGTAGAGTGAATTCTGGCTGTCGCGACCAGCCCGAGTATATCCATTAGTCATCTTGCCAAAATCGCATCTAGTAGAGCGGAGCCGGGGTCTGCATCGTGATTCGGTGGTGGATTGGCATCCTCTCCCACGATCCCCTCGATTTTAATCTCAAAGGCCTTGTTTATCCCGGTGGCTGATGCCAAGGCCAGCGCATGCTCCCTGAGCCAACTTGGAGGCAAGCAAGGGATGATAATGGCAAGACAGCTGGGCGGGGACCATCCAATAGAGGCAAAAAAAGGAACAAGAAAAAGAAAAGCACGACCGCTCCCTTCAAGCAGGGCAATGCCGATCGGGGCAGTGACAGGCATAAGCCAGTTGCCGAAGCCCCCAGGTCGAGGGAAGAAAATTCCAAGAGAAAAGCATGATGGTCGGTCGGGGCCGCCAGAAGGAGAATCTGGGACAAGCGCTGGGAGAGGAGAAGGAAGGGCCAGCGCAGCCGACAGTTGAGCACAGACCACCACAGCGCCTTCCACTTGTACTTGGCTGGACATTTCGCCCGCTGGTGACTTGCTGTCTTTGTTGGTCCTTGTCCTTTCTCTCGGCCTTGGGCTCCGCTCCACATACATCCATACCCATCACTCCACCACTCCACCCACGTCCATTCCCGGTTCTACTGCCTCAGACCTGAGAATCCGTTCCCTTCCAACGCTGCCAACCACCGCAGCCCACAATCAACCCCCTCCTCGACCAAGAGGCGGCTTGATACGCGGTGATAGCATCACATTCTCGTGCAGACCTCGACAAATACCTTCCCTTTCTTTATGATTGTTTCCTTCTCTTCCGGATTCTGGGCGCGTTTTGGTTCTCACCGTGGTCCCTTTTTTCGTATCGGGCCCGGCAATCCTACGCATCGCCCGTGAGCACGCTGCCGTCCCTGGCATCCGCCGAAACGAGATACATAGTAAACCACCAGCCGTCAGCCGTCGAGGCCGTTTGTATCCCCTTCGGACCGTTATCTGGATAACGGCATTTTGGCCTAACATCCGCGGTACCGCCTGGTCCACGAATCCCATCTCCAGACCAGATACTTGACAGGACTCCCTCCCTCTTTGTCCTCGACCTTCCTTGTCCTTCCCTCCGACCAGCAGAATCACTCGACATAATGACGCCCGTTCCTGGAAGCCCTGCTGGAGAGACTCGGCTATCGAAGACACCATCACAGACTGTTGCCGTGAACGTAGCCGAGACCGGCCAAGAGAGTCCGAGACGATTTCAACTCGAGATGAGTGAATGTGTGGAGACCAAGACTGTAACAACAACGACTCGCCTCACACGCAAGTTTCCACATGTATTTGTCCGAAATCCTACACCTCTCGAATGTCTCGATTCCAAAGAGTACCCTCTGGCCCTGAAGCCTGCGCCTCCTGAGATCGCCGACTTCTCGTATAATATGCCCTTCGAGGAGGATATTGCCGAATCCATAGACACAGATGTGATCACTATCGTGAGTTGACTCTTATTTTACTACTTTTGTCTGGTGGTTTTTCTATAAGACGGAGGTTGCTAATCACGCATCACCAGCCCTCGCAACAGTCGTCGAAACAAGTATCCGAAGACTCCTTCACCAGTAACGCCACCAAGCCAGAGCCATTCCGTCATGGCACTCCGACCTCAAATCGAGTCCTACGCCCGTCCTCAGTATCGCCTTCGGAAGCATACCCTCGCCGCTCTAGACAAACTCGCTCGCAGGGAGCAACCTCCGAGCCCTCTGGCGAGCGCCGACAAGCACGAAACGCGCACCTTAAGGCGGTGTCAGATAAACTTCGTCGGTCGATAGCCCACGGGAGCAGCAATACAGGAGCCAGCAGCTCCTCTGCTCAACACCCATCCTTGAGACAGACCCGAGGGTCTTCGAGCTTTCTCGCGACCCCAGACTCATCTGAGATAGTAGAGACCAGCAGTGTGGAGCATCCAACTTCTTCATCTCGTACAAGGAATCTGCACCTCAGCCGCACCAGAAACTCCCCGGAGCCTCTGCAATCTGATGTTGCCAGCCCGATCCCGAGCGAGTCGAACCTGACTTTTAGCAGCAATGTGGCGACACCGCCAATCACCGATGCCGACGCAGAGCCTTTAACCGACAGTGAGGAAATGCTACGGCATTCCACCCGCCATCTTCGACATTCGAGGCCGTCTGTTGACGTAGTAGCCGCTCAAGATGCTAGTCTTCCTAGTCCCAGATTATCTCCTACTTTGGCTGCCGCTCAGCTGCACTCAGCTGAACAAGAGATGGATGATGGCACACAGCCCAGCAGCTTCCAGACAACTACCAGTGATGGAAGCCTTTGGATGGATGAGTCCCAAATTAAGGAGGAGGATGAGCCCTCCATGGAATTGGTACCTGCCAAGAGTCGGGCCCTTACCGCGAGGATGAAGCAGACTGAAAGCTCTCCTGTCGTTGTCGATCCTCAGATGCTACTGGAAGCGTTCGATTCGATGAAGCCCGAGATGAAGACTTTTATGATGTATCAGTTCCTTCGACGCTGCGCCCGACCCACTCTCCGTGTTGTTGCCAACGCCGTTAACCCAGCCCTGAAGTGCGACTTCTTCTTTCACTTGCCTCTCGAACTCAGCTATCATGTTCTCTCTTATCTAGGTCATCAGGATCTCTGCCGCGCTGCACAAGTATCTAGAAACTGGCGCAACATTGTTGATCGCAATGAGACCGGGTGGAAGGAGCTCTTCGATCGGGATGGCTACCAACTCCCTGTTGGCGAACTGGCGAAGGCAATCACACAAGGATGGGGTTGGCAAGATCCTGTGGGGGCCACCGGATTCGAGAAAGATCTGAGTATGCAGAGTCGCCTCACCTCGTCTGAATATGAACTCACCAAATCGGTGAGGCAAGAAGCACCGAAGTCAAGGGCCGCCTCGAAACGGAAGCGTGGCCTCAACACATACTCGGCCTCTGAGCGCTCAAAGCGGCGGGCTAGTGCGCAGGATGCCACTTCAATGCGTGATGATAAGAGCGAAGTCAAGCAGCACCGAAGTGCTGGGCCGTTATCTGCAGCCAATTCCGCCGCTGCAGCAGTGCCTGATCCCCATCTCGGTCTTCCAAGCCTACGACAGCTTCATCTCTTCAAGTCATTGTATCGACGCCATCACATGATTCGACGAAGCTGGACCAGCGGTGAGGTGAGGCCGGCACATGTCGCCTTTGCCGCACATCCCCGTCATGTTATCACCTGCCTTCAGTTCGATGAGGACAAGATTATCACAGGTAGTGATGATACCTTTATTCATGTTTATGACACGAAGACTGGGAAGCTGAGAAACAGGCTTGTGGGACATGAGGGTGGAGTCTGGGCATTGCAGTATGAGGGCAACATTTTGGTGTCCGGTTCTACAGACAGGTCTGTCCGAGTCTGGGATATTGAACGAGGGATTTGCCAACAGGTCTTTTACGGACACACTAGCACTGTGCGCTGCCTGCAGATTCTCATGCCAACGCAAACCGGCAAGGATGCGTCAGGAAAGGCCATCATGCAGCCCGAGAAGCCTCTGATCATCACCGGCTCTCGAGACAGTCAGCTCAGGGTCTGGCGTCTGCCAGAAGTCGGATCTAAGCGGTACTATCAGACAAGCCTCACAGGCTCAGAATCTGACTGCCCGTACTTCATCCGTGCTCTCATTGGCCATTCGCACTCCGTTCGCGCCATCTCAGCCCACGGCGATACGCTCGTGAGCGGTTCTTACGACAGTGTTGTGCGAGTGTGGCGTATCAGCACTGGCGAATGCGTTCATACCCTCCACGGACATTCTCAAAAGGTGTATTCGGTTGTGTTGGACCATGAACGTAATCGCTGTATTTCAGGATCGATGGATTCGTTGGTCAAGATTTGGGATCTTGCTACTGGGGCATGCCTCCATACTCTGGAGGGCCACACACTCCTCGTCGGGCTGTTGGATCTTCGCGACGAACGCCTTGTGTCTGCCGCTGCTGACTCCACTCTGAGAATCTGGGATCCAGAAACCGGGCGCTGCAAGAACACACTCATGGCTCATACGGGGGCCATTACCTGCTTCCAGCACGATGGCTCCAAGGTCATCAGCGGCAGCGAGAAGACGGTTAAGATGTGGGACGTCAAGACTGGAGAGTGTATTCAAGACTTGCTCACAGACCTTAGTGGGGTCTGGCAAGTCAAATTTGATGGGCGCCGATGTGTCGCGGCCGTGCAGCGGGATCAGTTGACCTATGTCGAGGTAAGTGTTTCCCCCCTTACGTGTTTCCACTTATGAATTTTAAGTATCTAATTGTGTTTCTAGATTCTCGACTTTGGTGCTGTCCGTGATGGCCAACCACCGGAGGAACTGGGGCGACGTGTCCTCCTTAACGAGGATGAAGTTCAGGCTATCATGGAGGAGGAAGCTTGAGCTAATGGCCGTGCCCCTCTTCCCTTGTCGCCCCTGTCATTCATTCATTTTGTTTTCCGTTTCTTTCAATATTCGTCTACGACCACCTCAACAGCATGGGATTAATGTTATGGACTGTTACTGCAGGATGCCAATCAGTCGAGCATCTGTAAAAAGGTTACAAGCATGGGATACCCGGTACTTATCAAATATTTGGGCGTTTTTTTAGTCATCATCATTCAGTTAAGCCTTTCGACCGGCTTGAAATCCAGGAATCCAGTATGGCGTTGGAGCATGGCATTATTGTGAGAAAAATGGAGGGAAATATTCTTGGTCTGTTCACATTTGATATTGGTTTAACCCAGGCCCAAGTGCCTTGGGGAAAAAAAAAGCTACTATTTGTTTTTCCAAGCTTAACGGTTCGAGGATGCTACAGAATCATGTTTATAACCACCACATAGTTAGCGTTGTTTGCTACTTGGGACCAAATATAATTGGGTGTCTATAATCATGGTGTATTCAGTCTCATCCAGGAGAGTGATGCTGTTTTGTGTGTGAGGTGGCCATGTGCCATCCATGGTGGTTGATTAGGGTTTGGATCAAGAACTGATATACTATATAGTTCTATATACAAACATGCGTAAGGTATCCGAACTGGTGCAATTGGTAGCACAGTTGAGGCGTCACCCACTAGTTCGTATTGGTGGGCCCTTCGGGGGGCAAAAGGTCTTGGTTCGAGTCCAGGGTTCGGAGTTCAATTTTTTCATCAACTCAATTTCTGGTTAACAATGATGACCCTCAACTCGCCACAGCAGCTACACCCGAATCTCAACCCATACAACACGCTCCTATCACCCACTCCATCAAGCGGCTCTGGATATCTCGACTCATACTCTTATACAACCTCAAGACCGCCCAACTTCAGTATTCCATCGTCCATATAGTACCATCTTTGATCGTACTCGACTCTCCCGTCTCCCACAACCCAATCTCCGCCCGCTGGGTTGGGACCCGTCTGAGTAATTGCGAATAGCGGTAACCGCTAGTCACATTAGAAGACACGGTATTTAGTGCTGTACCAACTACTCGTCATATTAAAAGCCAGGCTATTCAGGGGCCGCAGCAATGGTTCGTCATGATGAGACACCGAGGTCAACTTCATAATCGCTTGTCGCGTTAGGAGATAGCTAGGTTGGCTATATAACGATAGCTCGTCGTAGCATCACTCTACCCTAGACAGCATTTCTCACGCGCAATTCTTTTGTTTTTCTTTGGTCAATTGGGTTCGGGATTTTGATCATCAGTTACATGGGTTGTATATAAGGATACGCATAGTATATATATAGCGTTTACTTTATTTCCCCGACCCAGATACACAGGACGGGTTATAGCCAAGACTGCAACTTGGGGGGATAGGCTGTGAGGAGCAGGAACTGATTTAGCCGTCTCGTTTTACATTGGATCCAGAATGGCTGTCCAATACCTACTTAAGTAGTTAGTTATTTCCCCTTTTTGTTTTCTTCTTCTATTCTTTGGCTGGCCTTGTCCATTGGGAAGGCAGCGTGCTAGTTTTGGTATGGCAGACTCGCTTGCAGTGTAGATAGGTTTATGGCTACGCAGAGATCACTCGTCTTGATGGCAGAGAGGATGGTTAGCAACATACATAGCGATCGCTTGTCTTAACGGTAGATAGCTAGCCCGAAATAATCCCAGCCCACAAACACGGTTTATTCAGCTTCTTTTCCACATATCTCGAAGCATATTTGTGGCACAGACGAGCCTCTTGTTGTTCGTATCCAGTTCGTCCTTATATCTGCATGAGCTGAATGGATGTTTACGGCAGCTCTCTGTCGCCAAATTCATTTCTATGATTTCACATTTACAGTCAACTAGTCGGCATCAAGTACCCTTGATTAGGAGCCCGGGCCGCACTCTACAATTAACCGCCTTTGCCAACATTATTAGGTTGGGAGCGAGGGTTTCGGCTTTTCCACACCATAGAGATACGCAAATCACTGTTCATATCTGCAAGGCTATAATTTCTCCCATCTAATAAAACAAAGGCGTGGAAGGCTGGGACGCAAGGCCAGTAAGCCGAGAGATGGTCATACAATACTAGATCGGTCGTCCGTTATCACATTGGCCAGAGCCCCCTAATATAACCCGAATGAATCGACCGCTAAGATCTACGACCATATCTGCGAGACAGCATATCCCATCTACTTCTTGTCTGACAGGCCTTCCGCTGCTTTTTTGGACTTCAAGCCATCTGGGTTTGTCTGCTAATGCCCGTGTGCTCTGGGAACGGACATGTGGACAATAGTCCGCTAGGTACATGAGTAAGCACGTCTTACAAGTATTTTCGGATGAGATATTTTCAATATTTTTCCTTGCAATTTTCGTTCATGACTTCGGAAGAGAAGGTTTTTCTTCGCCTGAAATGTCTAAATCAATTTTCGGTTTCCGACTGTCCGTTCGAACATGTTAGCCCGAAGTGATACACCCCAAGTCGGCTCCTTCTCCCCACAACCTACCAAGCCTACCTACCTAGCTTCCAGGTTTAACCACCTCCTTCTCAACCCTCCGTGATCAGACTCTTTGCAGGAAAAGGAGGGGGCAAATGGTCAACTATGGTCTCACTTTATAGTAGAGATGATCAATCTACACCATAAATCCGCAATGGTGTTATTGGCAGCACGTTCTATTGACACTTTGACGCAATAGCATTAAGGCCCGTTTGAGGGGTGGAAGGTCTAGCTAACTGCACTAGGGAGTGCCTTGCCAGTTCTAGTACCTCATTTAGGAGCATAGCGATCTAAAGCGGATAGGCATCAAATTTTCTTTTATTCACAATTCCCCATATGGTTGCAAAACCGTATTGATCTTTCCGTGAGGTTTGGGTCTTGAAGGTTGCGTGTACGAACGGCCGGGGTTTTACCGACAAATTGCTTGCCCCGCTACCTTAGTCATCATAAATAGGTACTTACTGGCAAAATAATCCTAGCCCACAAACAATCGCTTCCTGTTCTTATTTTTCACGCGTCTCGTAGCATATTGTGTGAAGCCGGATCCTTCTGGTTAACTTTTATCTTTGGTAGGTGATTTCCATCGTTCTGTTTCTTGCAATGTCGCCACCAAGCATCATGATGATTGTTTCTATCGAGAAATACCGCGGCTTATGACACTCGAAAGAGTCTTTGATTACAATCCATATATACAACAACATTTCTGACAAAATGCTTCCATCTTCCTCTGCTCAATCACGGCTTCTATTTTCTTGCGGGCTTGCGCTAATATCGCATAGACACTAGGTCCTCGAGCCGATTTCTTTCCCGCTGTCTCGAAGCAGCAATCGACTTCGACCGGCCGATTCTACAAAGCTAAACCTGCCAGAGTCCATCCTCAGCCAGTGTCTGTCGGAACCCGGGGTAAGTGCCGCTGCGTCTTGACTCTTCCGTCATGCGTCCTCTGGCGATATATATTTCGGTCCCCTGACAGCCAATGTTGGTGGCATCTTGCCCACGAGCTTCATCGTTACACGTTCATCATGTCGCCTAGAATTTCGTCTTATTTACCGTACTAATGGGGCTGTGACGAAGTGGAATGACCGCCATTTCCCCCCTAAACTTGGATAATCGTATGCTTCTCTGCTTCGCCTGCCATAACGGATGAGGCGTTACCTTGCCCATATCACCTTAGAACCACCTTGTCGTAGGGCTAGAAATGAGGAGGTAAACCTCGTTGAATAAATTCCAATAACATTATGTAGGAAGATGAGCCCATTAGGCTGGGCTGCGAACTCGATGTGACTGATGAACAACTGTCCTGGCCAAGTGATAAAGGGTACCTTGGGCTTACGTCCTGCAAATAGCGGTAGTTGATCGAGTGGGAGCAACCCAAGAAACTACCTAAGGCATGCAGCGCGTGCATGAGAAACTGTTTTGGCTCAAATGAGAGACTAGTCGCGGCTTCCGACGAGTGTACGAGTGGCACGAGATCACGTAATTCATGTCACGGTAGCTTTGATTGGTACAAAGAAATCAGCGCGACAGCTTGTCTCAGTTGAGTGCAAAAAAGAAATCATGTACGTAGCTACTTGGCACATGAATCGTCATTATTAAATGGAGAAGAACAACAGTGGAAAACATCCTTGCTCCTGGGCCTCACCCCGTAGGGTAGCTTTATCAGAGAGATTACCATTCACGAAAAGCCTACCGAAGTCTCTCAACGTCACTTGGCGGAATGCCTCTCCTGATTTTTTGGCCCCGTTGACTTCAACGTGATCTTTTGGGGTCAAATTGGTCGAGTTGACCAGTTGTCATTGCCAGCGTTTGATCTCGGACCGGAATGTCGTCGCGTCTTGCTCTTCGCCATGGCTCTTCAAATCCCACTGAAGCTCTGGCCAACGAGCTCTTGGCCGGCATACTCACCTAGCATGGTCATGAGCAACAGGTCGTGCTCGATAGATGTTCATGATACATTTGGGCCGACAGTGGCATACTCGTGTCTCAACGGCTTCGATTTCACGCTGCTTTTTGAAGAGAGTGTCCTGACTCTATTGCCACTTTTGCTCACCGGTACGGGGACAACAGAAGACTGTCTTTTTCTCCCTTACCTTGTCTGGAGGTTGTTCGCTAAGCCGAGTCTCTAGTTGTGATACTCATCCCCCGCGCGCTTTTCCTTCGCAAGACTGCCCCAAAGGCCAAACGATCATGGCTGTTTGCTCTAAAATGTGTACTTGAACATTCGACTCATGTCATACGCGGACAAATGGCGGCTAATAGGTCAATTCTTTAGGTGACATATTCCATCTACATCGTGCTACATATCGTCATGCTGGCTCTTCTGGCTCGACAGGACACTCCTTCCACCAGACTCACCGTACCGCTAGCAGTCGCCGTCGTCTCTAGTTTCATCTGGCTTCTCTACGTCTCATATCTGGAGCATGTCCGATGTGTGAGGCCGTCGACCATTCTTTGCCTCTATTTCGGCATCTCTGCTCTGCTAGATTTGGCGCGTTTGCGTACCCTCTTCTTCATCCCGGACTATCGTATAACGGCATTGGTCAACCTCGCAAGCTACGCTGTTAAGCTGGTGCTGTTGGTCCTGGAAGTCACTGAAAAGCGAAGTCTACTGTTGTGGCAGTGGAAAGATACGTCGCCCGAAGATGTCGCCTCTTACTACAGCCGAGTGTTATTCCTCTGGCTTAACCGGGTGTTTATCAGGGGATACAACACGCGTCTGACTGTGGACAGTTTGACGCCTTTAGACCAAGATATTTTGACCGCTTCTCGGCCTACAAAGTTGGAGCAGAGGTGGGCAAAAGGTGAGAGCTCCTTGGTTGAAGTGATCATTTCTATTTCTTTAACACGCATGCATCATAGCCGAAAAATCCAGCAAGGGCGCTTTGCTCTGGGTCTTTGTATGCCATTACAAATGGGCCCTGTTGGGTGGTGTGTTGCCGCGCCTCACCTATATTGCATTCACTTTCGTCGAGCCGTTACTCGTGGAGAGAACCTTGAATTTCACCTCGGAACCTGAGAGCCCGAACTCGACAAACATAGCCTACGGCCTCATCGGGGCGTATGCTCTCGTCCACCTTGGCAAAGCGGTACGATCGAATCCTGAACATTCTCTTTGCTATCAAGGTACTAATAAGTTCCCACTATGTAGATGTCGCTAGCCTGGTACGAGCACATGACATATCGTGCCCTGACACTGTTTCGCGGTAGCCTTGTCACGTTGATCTTCGG